AACACAGCTGCAACAACCCCCAACCATTAAAAAAATCCATTCTCTGGACCATAATCCACATCACCTACACCTGCAAAATCAGTGCTAGCATTCGACTGCAAGTTCTGTGTACTTTACTTACGGTTGATTTTGATCCTTAGACTCATCCTCTGAATCGGATAGGTCTGCAACGAGATGGATAGATAGAGTAGATAGGTGGAGAGAGAGAGAGAGAGAGAGAGAGAGAGAGAGAGAGAGAGAGAGAGAGAGAGAGAGAGAGAGAGAGAGAGAGAGAGAGAGAGAGAGAGAGGAGAGGAGAGATAGAATAAAGTCAGATTGTGCTTATAAACACAATCACAGCAGTGGCAACGGCATTCAATTAGCAGGTTCGCCATATGGAAAGACAGCCAGGTCAAGTAGCTCACCAGTATAACCAGATCACACAAATCAGGTAGTACTAATTACAGCCATGCTGAAAGGCCAAACATTCCACAGAACACGTTAGCTTCAAATTTGCTCACCAGGCATCGGCGGAGAGTCTGCCTCTGCGTCAGCAGCAGGACTTTCCGGCTCAACGAGAGGAGAGACGGGAGAATTGTCATCTTCATCGGCACCTAGAGCTTCGTCAAGATCAGGTGAATCTTCACCAAATCCTTCCGGAGTTCTGAGCAGAGCAGAAGGCAAGAACATGGATGGGCTAGTACAGGTAGCTATACGCGCATACACAGTACTGACGGGCAGTGGTGCATCCATTGTCTGCACGTGCATGTCAATCGCTCGGGCTGGGTCGTGATACAGCTCACACAGGATAATGCGGCGCGGACCAATGGACATACCAAAAGTCACCTGAGCCAAGCACATGCTTCATAACACAGGGCTTTAAAAGTAACCTTTAACAGAGAGGAGGACGAACTACATGTGCTCATATCACAGTGCATGCAATGCTAAAGTGACGTCACTTCAAGTTCGACAAAGCATACAGTACATACCCTGGGCCATCCGCTGCGTTGCTCGCATCCAATCCAGGCGACACTGTCAACATGAACAGACACATGTACACACACACGCGCGCACGCACATGCACACACACACACACACACACACACACACACACATGATAGAACACAGAACACAGAACACATGCATGCAGGATAAGATTCAGCACAGAAGTTCTACAAGTTTACAACTAAATCCCATCTTGTGAAATGTACTGTACATTCAACAAAAGTTTGAGCTGGTGAAAGACTGAAAGTAAATCGCTGCTAGGACCAGTGACGGTGGAATTATTTGAGGAAACAAGAAAGCGTACACAAGAACACAGAACAGTTTTGATCTTTTCATGAAAGAGTTCTTACTGTACCAACTGGCCAAGCGCACAAGGGTTAGCAGCAATAGCAAAAAATAAGTACTTGTTGTACTACATGTACTTCAATCCTTCTAACCAGCATCATCGCCTTCAGACACGGCCGGAGATTCGGGACTAGCATCCGCTTCCTCATCGCGGGGAGACGCCGCAGTGTTAGCCAACGCGCCGTCTTCAGAACTGTCAATCAAGTACCACACATATCGGTGAAGTCATTTACACAAGCGTGCGTACGTGCACACACACACACACACACACACAAACACACACAGCTGTGAAAACGTGCAGCCAGAAGTGCACTAGTGCTGGTAGGAAGCAGCAGTGGAAGCAGCAAAAAAAAAGTCGCTGCAAAAGCAGCAGCAACAGCAGCGGCAACATCAGCAGCAGCAACAGCAGCAGCAACAGCAGCAGCAACAGCAGCAGCAACAGCAGCAGCAGCAGCAGCAGCAACAGCAGCAGCAGCAGTGGCAGCACTGCCGCCATCAGCGTAATACACTACCCAATAGCAGATACTGTAAAACAGGTTATTTTCAGTGTACCAAAATGTCGGTGATTTCGGTAGAAATTCCAGGCACCTAAATTTAGATCACACCTAAATGGCACTACTGTATGTGAAGGGAATGTTGGCTTTGTTGGTCACCTAATTCTAAGTTACACGTGAAACCAAGAGTGCATATGAGTTTATGGACTCTTGCTGAAACCCATCAGATCCCGGACACCGAAATTTTAGTACACCTAAATTTACATGTTTCGAAGTATTCGAAAACAAATTAAATTTTGTAATAGGCAAATGCAAAAGCCCTGGACAAACTTACTCTTGATCCATGCTGGTAGCACCTTCCTCCACTGTAGATATTGTCACATACCAGAAGGGCGCAGAAGGAAAAAAAGATGAAGACATTAGAGAGACAGACCGCACAGTCGCACTGAGACCATCACGCCGTATGCGGAAAAACACAAACTGCGGAGTTGCAAACTCTTTCAGAGTGGGGTGTTGATGGTGGTGTAAAAGATACCGCGTGGCTACAAGAAAGTGTGGTCGTGTGCGCATGTGTGTCGTGTGCGTATGTGTGTGTGTGTGGGTGCTTGCGCGCACGTTTGTGTATGTGGCATGGTGTGCGTGTACGTGTGTGTGCGTGTATGTGTGTGTGTGTATGTGTGTTTGTGTACGTGAGAGACTTACTCAAATACACACAAAAAATATACACATACCACTGCCACTACAATGCATAAAATTGCACATACGAACATCACCAAAATTATGAGAAACAGCGGACGTTTGCTGTACCTGAGACGGGTTCCTCGACGGACTGTGGAAAGGAAGGCAGAAGAAGAGAATGACAAGACTTATAGAATAGAATCGATTTACCAGTTCAGGATTTCAAGTGTCAGAGCCCACGAATATAAATCATACTTGCTGTTGTCCACTGTCCATGGCTTGGCCGGTAGCTGATAGGATGGGACACCACCGAACAAGTCCAATTGCAGTACTAGTACAATACTGCTTCCCACTTCTTCTTTGTCAGCTGTTGGGTGCAACGAGTTTATTAGTTTATAAAGTTTCAGTAACTCGCACCGGCTATGCATATGCGGACTAACGCTCCAAGAAAATAGAAAGGCCTTATCCACTTGCAGTTGCACACAGACAATGAGATCTGGCCGAAGAGCATGCACCAAAGGACCTCTTGCGTTTCAACAAAGACTAAGTAAAGCACTCAATGCAGCTCAGCTGTAACAAGACATCAAAAACAGATTTTCAAGACAGAGTGAACAAACTGAAGCTGGATGGAAGATCAAAAAGAGTGAGTATAGTAGGGCCGGGGGAGTGACATCATTAATATTTTCATCACATGCGCATCTGTTCCACAATATTTTTTCAGAATAAAACATTTTGGCGGGGTATGTGCACCGTACATGTACATGTACATGTGATATGATCGTGCATGCACGCCATGCAGGAGCTGCCAGGAGCAGCGCGCGGGACAAATCAAAATACAGTATTCTGAGTTGCATATCATGTCTACGTTTGTATAATGCATGATTGTAATGAATGGAACGAGAAATGGAAGGGAAAGTGCTTTTCTTTTCAGAGTTCTATGACCTGATGACTGTCGTTCTGAGCCTGAGATATTGTTGTGGCTGTTGTAATCCATTACATCGCCCGACTGGCTTTCCATTGTAGTGCTGGAACAGTGTAAAGCAAGTCAGATAGTTCTGTATACACGACCAGTGCGCCTCATCTGCTTCTGGCTGTGTGTTGGAGAGAGAAGATGAGAATTGTACTGCGCTCTGGTGGTATTTACACATCAGATCCTAGCTCTTCCGAGCGAGAGGGAAGCTCGCACGGCGTGGACGTGGACGATGGATACAGCGTGCAGCCTTCCCTCACTACGTCATCATCGCGCGCACAGCTAAACCCTGCACTGAACACAAGCGGGCAGGGTGAGTGTGTTGAGCAGGTATGTTCGTCTGGTGAACAAGGTGCTGCCGTGAACAAACAGCCCAGGCCGCAGCGTAAACCTGGAACGGGCAGTCTGGCCTGTGTCGTGCTACTAGTGGCCTGTTTGGCTGTCATAGTGTTCCAGGCAACCAAACCAAGTGGCTGTGTGAGTTGGAATAGCAGGCCGAATTTGTTGCAAACTGTCGAAGAGAAGCTCGCTACGCAGCTGACCGGTCAGGACTTGGCGATAGAGATAATTTTGCATGAGATCAGGAGTTTTGTCAACAAGCCCGCGGAGCAAAGGAGTAAACCGTTGGTACTTGTGCTGTACGGGCCTAGTGGTACGGGGAAAACCCTTGCCGCAGAGGTGCTGCGGCGCCATTTAATGTTCTCGCGCGAAAAGCAGATATCCAGTGGTAAGCGGTACTTTGTGCCTGACCATTACCACAGCGAGGCTAAGAGATGCCAGGGCCTCATATCCAACATACTACAAGACTCGAGGCTGTGCAAGCATGGCAACGTGTTTGTTCTGGAAGACCTGGACCTCGCTAAAAAGACGGATTGGTTAGAAGATCTGGCTCCCCTCTTCTCTGGCCAAACCTACTGGCAGCATGGCCATGCGTATTCTTTCAGCAATGCCATCTTTATACTGACAGTGCGCACTGCCTCTGCTGAGCTAGTCCAGCAAAGCAGTCGGCTAAGGAAGTCTGGAGTAGCGAGGGACAGTCCCGACTACAGTGGGGTCATGGAGAGCATGCTTACGGGGGAAAACCCTTCTGTCGAGTACCTCGGCCCGGTGCGTCGCTATGTGGATGCGTTTGTGCCTTTTCTGCCGCTGGAGAAAGAGCACGTGGCGTATTGTGTTTCCCAAGAGTTGAAGCAAACCGGCCAGGACGTTACAAAGGAAGCAATGGACTACGCTCTGTCGCTGGCTGGCTTTCCGGCTCGTCCAGATGCGGTGTCTGGACAGTTCTCCGAGCACGGCTGCAAGAAGGTGCCTCTTTATGTTGCCCTGGCTCCAGCTGAGTGAGCCCCTGCTTAGTACTGCCGGTGGACGTGGGTGTTTTGGACTGCTTCCCCGGTACAGTTTTTGTCAAATTTCTTTCCCCAGTTGTTGCTTTCGCCATTTTAGTATCCAACGCTCGAATCCATAATTTTGTTTGTCCGTCCGTGGTTATGCCAAACTTATGGACCTCTTCTGTATTCTTGCGGACTGCCCCGGTCCAAGCCCCAGGCTATTGCATCAGAATACACATATTGGTAACTGGTAACTGTAAACAGTTCCATGTCCAGTAATCAGCAGTACGTCCAAGCCTCGTTTTACAGCCCTGCCAAACTCTAGTCTGGACTGAGACTCGAGAGGCATTCAGACATGGGGGGGGGGGGTATACATCACGCCAAGAACTGGGGATGGCCAAAGGGGAGTTACGCAAGTCACAAGTACATGACTGTATATATGTAATCCTTGGAGTCGTGACAATAGTATACTATGCTACAATTGTAGACTGTCACAACTCGCGCGAGTCGAACAACCATGCTATATCGGCGTCGTTGTTTTCCTCTCCCTTTTTGCACAAACACAGTCTGACTCTTAACACGTCGAGTCGTTACCATAGCCACGACGACTCAATTGATCGACGTTACGTTTTTGTGCCAAAAAAATGGGGAGAGGAAAACAACGACGATAGATCATCGTTCGAACAGATCAGGCATGCAGCAGGTCTGTCCTTTCATTTGATTATGGTTTGGAGAACTAAAGTCTGAGCTACAACTAACTAATACTTATTGCCGAAGACTTTGGGACAAGAGAGAAGTCGTATTATAGCACCAGCATTCGCCCTGCACTCTGCGATGGCGAGCTCGGGCGGCGGGCTGTCGTTTGGTTTCAGCAAGACCAGCAAGAAAAGTAGCATTGTGAGTGGTCCAGCTCGAATTGATGATTCACAAAGATCTAGGCGACGTGATGGCTCAGAGGATGAAGATGGTGTAGTTACTCACGTTGGAAATACTGATTTGGCAGAGGCTAGAAGCCGAGGAGACAGACCCAAGGAGTATGTCATTCCACTCATCAAAAGTACGAAGCGACAAGCTACTGGTGACCATGGAGCTGGAAGTAAAAAGAAGCAGAGTGAGATGAGTGAACTGGAGCGACAAGCAGTGGATGAATTGGCTCGCGATGCACAAGAAGCAGTCGATGGTGATGTGGATCCTGATCGAGTTGTGCCGCTCCTAATGCAAAACAGACTGGACAAGGTCGATGAGAGTGAACTGGGTGAAGTTAGTAAACTCGATGACTACGAGGATATGCCAGTAGGTGCGTTTGGTGAGGCGATGCTGCGCGGCATGGGATGGAAGCCCGGCATTGGAGTGGGAAAAACTAACAAGAAAGAAGTGAAACCAGTTGAGTTCATTGCTCGTTCGGGTGGTCGCGGTCTTGGTGCAGAGAGCAGCAAAGAAGTGCAGGAGCTAAGTGGCAAGCCAAAGCCCCGACGCCTAAGACCGGGTGAGGAACGTAAAACAGAAAAGCAGTTGCCCGTTGGCGAAGACGGCCGTGTGAGGCACACGCGCAATGTGGGCGAGGAGCTGGAGGACAAGGAAGATTTGGAGTTGAAAGTCGGTAGCTATTGTCTGGTCGAAAGTGGCCGGCACAGCGGCCTGTATGGCAAAGCCATCTCTCTGCAGCTAGACCCCGCTCGTGTTGTAGTACGTCTGGCCATCAGCGAGCAGACAGTCGACGTTAGTCAGGCATCGGTCATCACTGTTCCCCGTCGCCAGTATGAACAGAGTGCGTTGTCTGTGTCCGCTGACCAGCGTTCTCACGACTCACGGCACGGAGGAAGGCACTCACCATCAGATCGCAGCAGTCGGGAACTTAAGCCGAAGTCTTACAAGGAATCAAATGCCAGTAGACACAGCCCTGCAGACTGCAGCTCGTCGCAACATGACAAATCCAGTAAGAAAAAGAAGAAGAAAGAGAAAAAGAAGAAAAAGCATCACAGAGATGATTATCGCTCGTCCAGTGATGAAAGCACGCATCAGCATAGTGGAAAACCTTGGCTGGCTGCTCAGCTGTGTGTCCGGGTGATCGATCAGAGGTACAAGAAGGGCCGCTACTACAATAGCAAGGTCATCATTGAAGACGTGCTGAGCCCTACCTTGTGCGTGTGTCGTTCTGATTCCGGCACTGTATTGGAGAATGTGGAGCAGAGCATGCTGGAGACTGTTGTTCCTCGTGAAAGCATGGCACCAGTCATGGTCGTGGCTGGGGAATATCGCCGGCAACTAGGTCGGCTCTTATCACGTGACAGGAACTCGTGCGAAGCTGTTGTTCAGCTTTATCCTGACTTTGAGATCGCTCAGTGCACGTTCGATGAAGTCTGCGAGTATGTTGGCCGGACTGAGCACATGTAGCGTGCTGTTTGTGTGTGTGTGTGTGTGTGTATGTGCGTGTGTGTGTGGTGTATGTGTGTGTGTGTATGTGTGCGTGCATGCGTGATGTCTGGTGTGTGTATAGTATATGTCCAATGCACATAGCCTAGTATAATTCCCAGTGTGCATCTTGGCATCTTGTAAGGGTTATTGTGCCCAGGTATTCTACCAGGTACCCTGGGCACTGTTGATCATTATCTGACTTTTTTTCTCTGTTTTGAACCAGTCTGCCGTTGTTCTTAGTTGCTCTGTGTGCTGGTCGCACGGTCACAATGCAGGTATATTGAATTTTTTTAATTTAGTAAACTTGAGCTATCAGACGGCATGTTTGAAGTACATGTAGCTTATTGAGTATATTTCAGATTGCATGCATTCCAGTTTCTTTTGTAGCTGCTTGGTGAAATCTATGTTCTGGTGATGAGTCTGCAGTCAGAGGCAAGAAGCTGCTTTGCGTTTTGACTTCGGCCTCTACCGCCGCCGTTTGCCAAGTGCCGTTGCTTGCTTACTCTTGTGCCACTTGCCGTCTGCTTGGCGTGAACGTGTTGTGGCTGGTTCACAGAGGTGTCAGCGGACTTTTTATAGGTGGCTTAAGTCACCTGGACGCACTCGGGTTCCTTGCTCAGCAGAAGAAGATGGGAAGAGGCGTTGTCATTAATTTGTGTAATTCATGGAGTTGTGTAAACTATAAATCCCAACTAACTCCCTGGTCTGATCGCATGCAATTGTCTGCGAGTGTGTCATGGACCCGTGCGTATGTTCTGTTGAGTTGTACTTCCAAGAGGAAGTACAGTGTACCTTCTTGCATGCCTGAATAATGAAGATCACTAGTATGATAAGATGTGAAATGTCGGGATTTGGGGATGAGATAAGAGTGGTGACGGGGTATGGGAGCAGTGGTGACGGGGCATGGGAGCAGTTGTGACCATGCGGGTGAGCCGATGTCCAGAGACAGAGGCGGAGTTGCTGTTGTGAAGCGACCCCCGCTCTGCCCCTCATGTGAACCGGAGCATTGTGGGGGCCGGGCCGGCTATGGCACAAGGAGTTGTACCCGAAAGCCTGGTTCGGGCACGGCTCCCTACATTTGGAGGGAGAAATAAAAGGAGGGCCTGTTTCCAAGAGTACATAAGCCGGTTTATGTACTCTTGGGGACGGTCATACCCAGGCCAGGGAGCCCTACACAATGTGTACGTGGAGGGCTCCCTGTCATACCGGTACATGACCCTGGCCATGTGTACAATTGTAGGGCTCCCTGGACCCTGGCCTGGGACTGCCCAAACTTTTGTTTGGGCAGGGCCTAATACGTACGTAACCAAGAGTACATAACCCCTGTACTGGGGGTTCTGTACTCTTGACGTAGCGGTACTCCTCAACCCGGTCCCCGCGCGCCCGTGTGTACCAGTGCAGTCCAGAGTCTCCAGATCAGACTCGACTCAATCGAAGTGCAAAATTCCAAACGAAATACTCTACTCCGGTAAATACTAGTATGTATTCGGATTGCTTGGTGAACTGAGATTGGGTAATTGGAGCATACTACACGTATATATACGACGTCCGCTGCCTACATAATCATTGAGAGGAAAGAGACGTCGCATTCACACTGACGAAGTAGCCTTCACAATCCGAGAGAGCTGCCCGGAAAAGTGCACTTTGCGTGGAGACCACTTTGCGGCAGCAAGGATGATTATGGCCGTCATGGCTGGCCGTCATGGGTCGAAAGTAGTCATACTGAGCCTGTGTTCAATGGTAGTGAGTGGACTTCTCCCAACCGATGGAGTCGAGCAGATGGATTTTGACATTTTCCAATCCAAGTTCAACCGGACGTATTCAAAAGGCTCTACGGAGTATGAACATCGACATCAAGTTTTCAAGGTACATAATATGCAGTGTACATGACTGCGCGTGTGTTTGTCTGAGGTCTGAGGTGTGTGTGTGTGTTTGTGTCACGTGTGTCTGTGTGTGTGTGTGTGTGTGTGTGTGTGTGTGTGTATCTGTGTGTATGTGCATGTGTGTCCCAGTGGGCCCGTGTGTATGTCCAAATGTGCTCGTCCATGTTATTATTGCATGGCACAGTAGTATCAAGATAATGAACAACGCAGAATACAGGTCTTGTACTTGTACTTGCACTTGTTGCTCACTGCCAAAACTGGTCACGTGGGTCTCGGAGAGAGATTCAAAAGGAATCTTGGAAAGATGACTCAATTGGCTATTGAACCGCCCAACGGCCGACACCCCCTGAAATCCCCAAAACTCTGGGTGGACTTGAAATGATCCCACTTATGGCCCTATGGGTTCACCACACCTCAGTAAGTGGGTGAGGACAAGGGGCAGAAAAAGGATTGACGGCATCAGGGTATCCATCCCGGGATTCAACTGCAGTTACTCCTGCCCCCAGTGAGGTTGTACTTGCTACTAGTGCGGGTGGCTGAATCAGAGTGGATCTGATAATTATAAGCTTCACTAGCACCATTGATTACACAAGAGTTCATCTAGCCAGAAGCAGTCCATGGTTAACAGATATGTATACTTCAAATAGAAAGTATACAAACCCTGGAACCAACAAAGGTGGCAGGTACAACATTACACCTTCAAGCAGCCGAGCCCGTTGGCAACAGACCCAACACAATCGGGCATAAGTGTACCCACCAACCGAACTAGCTGAGTCTACCCTTGTTAGTAGGCAACCGGGGGGGGGGGGGGGGGGGGGGGGGGGAGGGCAACATTATTGTCTTATATCGAGTATATTATCTACTATCAGGACTTGCATGTACATCATATACTGTATTTTCCGGAGTAGAAGCCGTGCTTTTTATTTAGACACTCGCAATTTCCCCAAAAAGTCGTTGCGGCTTATCGTGCATTGGTCAACTGAACTGTGAAATACAGGGTAGACGTCCGTATGCCGTGACAAGTAATCTGAGTGCCGCTTGTACTCCAGTGCAGCTTATAGTCCAGTGCGGCTTACTGCGGAAAATGCGGTATATGTACGACTATTAAACACGCTTTTTCATCGTAGATTTCAGATCGTTGTCTTCTATTGAGGTTTGTCGTGTAACCGATGTCGTACTAACGAGGGTAGACCTGTTGCAACTCTTGATCTCCGAGCTGTGGTGCTGTACACTGTGCACTGCCTTACTACGCAGTGATATAACTCTCAAGCTGACTGGTTCTAATATGATTATCCTATGGCTAAGGAGCAACATTTTCACGCAGAATACAAGTCATGTCACTTCAAAGGCAGATCCGTAATGACGCAATGGCCTAGTTGGTGGTCCGGTTCTTGGCTACGTCATGTGGGCAGTGTGCCGCGTCGGACCCCGTGTGCATACTCTGGGTGTTATGAGTCACTTGCTCACTGAATGCTGGTTTCACAAATACCACACGACCGTACTGGACGGCCATGTTGACTTCATCTCCACTCAACCCCCTGCAGCTATGGGTCACGTGATGTTGGCCATATTGGTTCCGCAGGCCCTGCTCACTTCCTACACAAATTTAAGTCACATGACCAATGATGGTGAAACGGTACAGTTGAGTGTCAGTTATCCATTACCCTTTGGGACCGGACCCTGTTGGGTAAATGACTACCGTAAAACATGTTATTTTCGGTGTAACTTTTAAAAATTCCGGAGATTTCGGTGGGGAAACAAAATTCACGGTTCGCGTGAGACTTGGCCAAAGGCCCAGTTTTCCGCATCCGCAGGAACGCCGCCACCCTCTTGGATCAAGGCGCAGATGCAGCTCCTAAACGGTGGGAGGTGAGTAGATCTCCTGATATGCCACCGGTGATGGCACCGTGTAAAAGTGTGTTACACACCTACTTACCAAGTACAAAAATATATATAACCGTTCTTACCGCTGAACAAGCGTGACTCCAGAGACCCAACCCTGTATGCCAATGTCACTGCCGAATATTTATATCCCGAACCAGCCCTCTTGCGAATACACTACTTGTCGGTTCTAGATATAATGCCCAGGTTCCTCGCTTCACGTATCAAAGGCGCATACATGCCGCCAGATTCTGACCAAACAATCTCAAGAAAAGAGACTTCCCCACAGTTTTGGTCCTAGCCTCCATTCCTCACCATACACGCAATCAGAGCGCAAACAGGTTCAGATAAAACACTTTTATTGAATTGACATGTGTGATTCAACAAAAGAGGCCGCCTCATATCACGATGACTTGTCGGGGGTAGTCGGCAAGTCCACTGGTACTTCCGTGTCCTTCTTAGACGCCTTGTCTTTTTTTGGCTTACGTGAGTTTTTACGAGTTTTCTTTCTCGGTGGCTCTTCGGCTTCGTCAGTGCGATGGCCGGCATGCCGGCCCAATATCCGAAAGGATATCATGGACAGAAAGTCCAAGTCTTCCTTTAGCTTCCTCAGGTGTCGCCCTTGGTCAGGTCGACCCACGCCTTCAAACAGGGCTATCGCCCGTTCCAGACACTGCATGGTCGGCGTCTCCCGCCCCTGGCCTGCTTAAGGGAGTTGATCTCCTCGATCATTTCCTGTGCCATTCTGGATAAGACAAAAACGCCACACCAGAAAAAGAACCGAGGATTAGTTCACATGTGACGGATCCTGGTCACAGCACCAAATGTCATGACCCGACCCCAAGGGTCAGTCAAAAGCCTGCATTGCGAACAACACCGAATAGGACCGCCACGAAGTGTGAGCAAAACCTCGAATCCCAAGTGCACAATATATGCACGCCATCACTCAACAGCCCACCAAGAGTTCCATTTCCAAGGACATACCTTGTAGATAGGTCAAAGGTAGAGTAAGAAAGAGGAGATCAAGATAGAAGCAGTACCGGAGCGGGAGGACGAACGTATAAAAGACAGGGACTTATATTCATAACAATAACTAACAACAGCCAATCAGAGCACACATACTGTACTCACTAGTCATATTAGACGGCGGGACAAGTAAAGGACAAAGCTAGGTTCATAATAATTGAACGCCTCATAACGGCGGGATACAAAATGCCGGATTTGCGATTGAATACTAAAACAATGCATGGGCGCGTGTTTGCTAAGTTGAAAGTTTGCGGTTCTGTGCCTCACACAAAAATCACAAGCATTATTTTTTTGTTGCTAGCATGCCCCTGTTTTACAGTAATGTCTGAGTCGTGCTGATTCTTCACTCTGTTCTCCACCTCCTAGCAAAACGTCCTGTCGTGTGCGGAAAGCAACTCGCAGCGCACCTCTCCTCACGATGCTCAGTGTGGCGTTACTCAGTTCTCGGACATGACCATGGCCGAATTCCTGGAGGGGCATACCATCCTCCATGCTGAAGATGGTTCTCGGTGCGGTGGGGACGAGCCTCCATGTCAGACCAAGGCTGTCGGTCAGGATCTTCCTGAACAGTGGGACTGGTAAGGTGCTAGCCGTTAACGTCTATATCTATCTATCTATCTCTCTATCTATCTATCTATCTATATGGAGAGCGGAGTCCTCGGTTCGATAGAGTGCTCAATGCGGAAGCAGAGCAGTAACACACGAGTCACAGAAAACCACGCGTCTTGATTGTCGTAACTTAAAGTTTCATGCCATATAGCAATCTTCAGACAACTGATCAGTTGTCTGCAGATTGCTATATGGCATGAAACTTTAAGTTACGACAATCAAGACGCGTGGTTTTCTGTGACTCGTGTATCTATCTACAGGCGCGTGCTCGGCGATGGGCACGGGGGGGGGGGGGGGGGGGCACGTGCACCCCCCAAAAGTTTTCAATCTGGGTAATTGCAATTGTAATGTATGCAAATATGCTCTAAAATTCAAGAAAGGTTGCAAACAAATTGCAGAAAATTGCCGGGGGCCTCCCCTCGGCTCCCGTGCACCCCCCTAGTTGGGGGGCCGAGCACGCCCCTGTATCTATATGTATAGGATATTCCCTTCGCTGGAGTGTATATGGAAAATATGCACCAAATACAAACCGAGGCCGAAGGCCGAGGTTTGTTTGATGGTGTGTATTTTCCATGTACACTCCAGCGAAGGGTATATCCGACTTATACCTACCTCAGTCTGAATCCTAAAAAGGAGTATATATTTTAACAGTATTTATTTCTCTACAGTGGTGTATATTAACAGTAGTTATTTTGTTTAAACACAGTGGATATACACTGGCCGGGCTCTGTGTGATGAATGGGGGTGTATATTAAAAGGTAGGTACAAATCAATATAATTATCTATCTATCTACTCAATCTGCGGACAGCATGCTGTTTCGTTCTTTGTGAACTCATCAGCGCAGCACAGAGGAAATGAGGCCGAACCTGATAGCAATGAAAATATCTATCTATCTATCTTGACAAAGTGTCTGTAGTCTTTGCTGCAAACAGTGCTCAATACCTCAAAAAGGGGCAGAGCTTACCACACAGGGCAGAACAACAGACACCAAAATCCTTCTCCTGACTCCGAGTTTAGCCGTTGGGATGGGTACGTTCTTGAGCGAATAGTCGATGTCCATCCGTTTTGGTCGGTCCATTGTATGCAGCTCAGGGGAAAGTGCTCAACTGCTAGCAGGAGCGATATAGACAAAGTGTCTTTCTATCTATCTATCTATTTATTTATCTCTATCTCTCTCTCTCTCCCTTCGTTACATTCACTCGTATCCTGTTTTTGTTTTTTTTTTTTTTTGTGGCAGGCGGCAACAGGGTGTTGTGACTGGCGTGAGGGATCAGCAATTAGTAAGGTCACCATGTGCGAAGGTCTCTAGTTTCTCAAGGGTGTAACTACTGGTCCGGCCGCTGGACCTTAGTTTCAAAAAGGACCTAAGGATATGTTTTAATGATGTTCGGATAGTCGATTGGTCGTGTAATTGATGTTCGGATATTCGATGATCGGCAGTATGTATGTATAGAATGGCGTATCATTCCATCTGCACGGGCTATTCAGTTTAGCCAGCTGCAGCCAGTATCTATGTAGACCGGCACAGTAGATGTCTTGCCGCGAAACCTGCCGTGAGGTTGTGTCCAGTCAACACATAATCTTGCTACAGAAAATGGAACGCCTAGATTTGTGGGAAATGAGCTGTTTCTCAACAAATAAGCAAAACCTTCCCTGCTGGAGTGCCCCAAGGAGTTCAGATAACCGGCAAACTGTAATGTGGTGTGTACTGTGTTGCTTTGCTGAGTATGTGCTCTGGACTTCAGTACTCTTGCGGTTCTTTTCTTTTCTGGCTAACTACTTTCCTGTGTGCATGTGCATATGTCTGTTTGTGTGTGTGTGTGTGTGTGTGGGTGTGTGCGCGCGCGCATGCATGTGATGTGGGTGTATGTATGTATTTATCTATGTTTCCTCCGCATGCTCAAACCCTTTTTCCTCCGACGTCCAATGGTTTCCCGGTGGTGACAGTGTGGATCGTGTTGGTGAGTCGCAAGAAATCTTGCTTCAGTGCAGTATCGTGTGTTTGTACGCCCATGTGCATATGTGCGCATGTATGTGTGTGTCTGTATGTGTTTGTCTGTGTGTGCATTTGTATGTATACACGCATATGACGGAGCTATGGCCGCGGGGCTGTAGCTATTGCTTGGCCTGCACCTTTCATAAGGCATAGGTCTTATCCACGTTGTACAGATGCATCAACTCCCGTAGAATCCTGTAGACCCGATTGGGTGTTGAATGTGCAGGACCCTATTGTGCTTACTGCCATTTCCACTGCGAAATGGGCCCAGAAGGCATTTCATACGAACACTTTTTTCGGGCAACGATCTAGCTAGTCATTAGTTCAATCTCAAAGTGAAGAAGCGGGAAAACCGATTGTGTGCCCTTAATTATGAGACAAAATTGGTAAAGTGCGCATGTATAGCACACAATGAACACCCAGTCGGGTATGTATTCACCTACGTCCCTAGTACAGAACTTTGTACAGCGTGCATAAGGACCATTGTCATATAGTTGCAAAGAACTCAATTTACAGAATCGAACACCCGCGCTCACCCATTCACTCGCTCAGCCCGGCGTCACTCCCTCGCACAACACTGTTGACCACACCTTACTGCGCAAACCAGTCGTTGTTAGCATTTATTGGTTTCTCTGGCTCCTCTGTACCGGTCTACCCTCGCTAGTAGGACATCGGTTACAAAACGAACCACATTAGTAGACAACGGTCCGAAACCCCCTGGTAAAACGTGTACTCGAAGTCCACTGTACAGCCTAACAGCCATACATTAGTCCTGATAATTGACAATACACTCGTTATAAAAAAATAAAATAAAAATTCGACGGGTTCGCGTACCGGGCAGGTCAAGAACAAGGAGTCGTACAACTCCCTGGTCAAGAACCACCTTTCCGCTTCCGTGGGACGCCACCACCCCATAATCAGGCGTCAGATGCGGCTCCTAAACGGTGGGGGAGGATAGATCAGATCCACCAACCAGAGGCCAAAGGCCTAAATCCCATTTGCCACATCCATGTATTACTCATGACTCGTTATAAGAGAATTTGAATCCACGGCTTGTCTACTAATGAGGGTAGACCTGTACAAGCTGTATCGAGGTGTGCGAATTGCAACGACTTGGTTTTCCTTGGAGTTCGTAGCATTGGAATTCCGGGAAACCCGAGAAAATCTAGTTCACCCTTGCATCTTCTTTTGAGAATACACCCGGCTCGCGGGGTCCGGTCCGTTCTTGATGTGTTCCTGTCATTCTAGCTTCTTATCCACGTGTCCAATCTGTGGCTGTGTGGGTGCGAGCTTGTGTGCGTGTGTGTGTGTGTGTGCGTGTGTGTGTGCATGCGTGCTGAGCAGGGCATTCGGCGTTGTCGAGACTATCGAGAGCCACTGGGCTATTCGCCACGGCGAGCTGCACGAGCTGAGCGTGCAGCAGCTACTGGACTGCACTCCGCACTGCTCCTGCAAGGGCTGCTTCACCGGCGACGCCTTCAAGTGGCTAGTACAGGTACGCAGTGGGAACAGGCATTGCTTGCTTGCAGTTGCATACGTGACTACAGCATGCTAGTACGTGTACACGGGAGTTTGCTCTCCCTGGCCCTGGCTGCGCTCTTACTAGTAGTCATGGGAACCGAGCTGTGTGACTCATCATCGTGAGTGCATGGCATCGAGCGCGTTAATAATTTGTGCGAGCAGATGTCGACCATTCTACTGCCAGGTTGTCCTGGTTGGAAACGTGTCCAGCTCATCACCAGTGCGTGAAAAACCGATTTTAAACAATTGTAAATAGAGGATAAGCAGCGGCGGCATTAGACTGGAGAGCGCAGCTGTGGTGTGCTGGATGGTGGAACAATTTAAACAATTGTGCGAGGCTTATTGCAAGTCCACAGCGTATGTGACTGCTCCCCCCCCCCTCCTTGGAGGCACTTCTGCCTGGCTACACAGAACCCTGATTGGATAGCCTAATAATTCTTCCCCACACCCCACCCTCACGAGATACTCTGTCTTTCCACCTTGCTGGGGGGGGGGGGTACGCTGGACCGCAACACCCTGGCTGGTCATGTGCCTGTTGGTAGCCCGTGTGTCACTCTGTTCGCCGTGTAACTTTTCGTTTCATTCTGCAGAGCCGGACTGCATTGGAGCTGAGAAAGGACAATCCGTATGCTGACGAAAAGAAGCAGTGTGCATCGTAAGTGTGCGCCGCTGAGCGGCGGGCCTAGGAAGACGAACCCAGCCTCAGGTGCTGCACCACTGGTTATGAACCCAGCCTCAGGTGCCGCACCACTGGTTATGAACCCAGCCTCAGGTGCTGCACCACTGGTTATGAACCCAGCCTCAGGTGCCGCACCACTGGTCGCCGTAAAGCTGTGTTGTACAGTGGTCCCCTTTAAATCCGGCACCATTTGTGCTAAAGAAATTATGCTGGATTAAAGAATCTCATTTACTTCTGCAATGTGCATGAAGAGGACATTCTGGCTACTGACAATTATGCCGGTTTATAAAGTGCTGGATTAAAGAGGGACGACTGTATAAAAATTGGACTAGAGTGTTTCTGTAGACGGCAATTGGCTGTACTTCTCGTCAAGACAGACTTCTATTGAAACCTGGCATTCCTGTGCACTCTTACTCAATCTGCGGACAGAACTGTTTCGTCCTTTGTGGACTCGCCAGCGCAGCACACAGGAAATGAGGCCGAACCTGGTAGCAATGAAAAATAAAATTTCCAAAGCCAGATTTAAACCACTCTCACTTGCGTACTTGTGTGAACACAAAATACACTCTAACTTGTGTACTTGTGTGTGAACACAAAAACCAGGCTTTGATATTGTTATAAATGATATGCTACTTAGTACTTATCCATCAGGTGTGTGCTGAAATTAAACTTTTACTCTAGACAGGCTTTCATTGGAGACAGTGTGGTGCACATGTATGAAGTTGTGAGCGACCGGATCGTTCCCCGCTGTGTGTGTGTTTTTTTCTGCTGTTCAGACGTCCCACGACCAATGTCAGGATCTCTAATTACTCATGTTGCCATTTGTAAGTCAAGTAGCTAAGGACGATCTCGACTGTTGCTACCTTTTCACTACCTCTTCATGTAGATGTCTGGATACGGTAAAACCTGAAATGGCGACCACTCGACCATGGCGACTACTTTTCCTTGTCACGGACGCATTCACATTCGAAACAGCTCGGATAAGGCGACTACTCTCAACACGACCAACAACCACCCACCGGCGACCACGTTTCGCCCTACTAGTACTAGTAGTACAATGTACGCATTGCACTGCGTCTGTGCACCACCCATGATCCACACATCAGCGCAGGAAGTGTAGATGTATGTGGTGCGTGCACGGCACTCTGAAACTGAGGCGCACATGTGTCGTGATGAATAGCATACACAGCTGTAGGTGTGTGCAGTGTGATGAACTGATCAAAATGATATGTCTCATGTACATGTATACCGGTATTGTATATGTTCACGTGACCCGCTGAGTCTGGATAAGAAGACCACCTGGCCAAGGTGACCACTTTTTCTCGTCCTTGAGTGGTCGCCTTAGACAGGTTTCACTGCATACGGAAACATGAGAAAACAAACTCAAGCACCACCAAAGGAAAAGGCAATATTTCACGAACTTCACATCTACAGTAAAACCTATCGAAACTCGTTTTCAAAATGAAAGGTTTTTAGTGTTGTTCAGCCCCCACCCACCCACCAGTTATTATTATTATTCACACATATCCGCCGGATGAGTACGCGTGGCCCATGCACCATGGGAACCCACGAATACAAACCAGCATATGTTCCCTCAGCAATCCCACCAGTTGGGCAGGTAAAACGAAATCCAACAAAATATTTAATAATGCTAAGGGGTCGTCCGTATTTTTTGAAAAATTAAAAAATCCGTCCTCAGGCAAAAAGGGGGTGGGTGGTCAAGAGTGCTGGCGGAATTTAATTTTTTGATTTTTCGTACCTTTTTTTTTTTTTGCTCCAGTGACTTTCATACACTTGTTGCACTGATTATAGCTGACTGTGTAGTGTACTGTAGGCGTAGTGTAGGATCGATTGTCGCTAACACCAGTATCTACTATGATATACCGTACTGGCAATATATGTTGCCGCAGTGAGGCCATGAAGCGTTACATTGGCACTTGTTTGCCGCACGCAGGGCGTTACATGCAAAGTCGCACAGGAGCCGTTACACAGGTTTCTATATTGCCGCAGTCCTTTTTTTGCTATTGCCGCATCACTTTTTTGCTATTGCCGCATCATTTTTTTGCTTTTGCCGCATCATTTTTTGCAAACGGCAATGAAAAGATCGCCGCACCCCGCCGGACGCGCGTTACGAACGCAACGAAAATTTGTCGCACTAGCCTGGTCGCGCGTTACGCTGCACCCCCCTGCGTTACGCGTTACGCGGCAACATATATTGCCAGTACGGTACATGTACATGACTTTTCATGTAGTTGTAGGACGGTGCATGGCCGGGACGTCGGTAGACCTAATACTCACTGTACTTAGCTACTAGTACTTGACACAGGTGCAGTCAGAAAACATGGGGTCAGGAGTTCTTATTTTTCGAGCTGGGCATGCCTGCATCGGTAAAAATCAAAAAATTAATGGGAAAAAAATGAGGGGTGGGTGGGTGGGTCAGAGACAATTTTGCACGAGGACGGATTTTTTAATTTTTCGAAAATTACGGACGACCCCTAAGCTATGAAAAGTATGAACACCGCAGACAAGCTATGGATAAACAAAGGAAGGACAAAATGTCACGAGTTATAACCAACTGTCCACCAATGTTACCAGGTAATATACAGTCGGTCATGCGACAAAAGGGCACGAAACTGACACTATCTCCACATAGATTACTAGTATTTGTTTCACAAAATAGTTGTGTCCATATCCGGCACGCAGCATATGCAGCAGCATAGGCATTCTCCATGTTCATTCAATCATTGTTTTCAAAATGAAACTCCTGAAACCCACCCAACCCGAACGAAACCTTTTGTTTCTGAAAAGGGTAACCTTGGATGGACCCTAAATTTACTGTGCACTGTCCGAAAAATAGTCCTTATGCTAGCTACGAAAAGACTTCGGTCGTTTAGATTGGCCAGGGTTGCCTTTTGTGGTGATGATTTGTTTCTTGTGCATGTGTGTGTGTGTGTGTGTGCATGCGTGTGTGTATTTGTGTGTGTGTGCCTGCATGTTCATGCATGCGTGTGTACTCTCAGCGAGCCCTCTGCTGAGCTGACTCAGCTAAGGAGCGTGCTCTTCCAGAATGGGCCGTTTGCCATAATGATCAATGCTGCCTCGCTGAAAGATTATGTTGGTGAGTTCTGCAATGGCCAGCCGAGCAATGACTACAATTATTGTGTCGCCCGGAGGAGATTTTTGCAGGCATGCTCCATCAAACATGGCTATTGGTACATGCAGTTCCTTCGCAAGACCGATCCCCTTTCGCCTGTCTCACAGTGGATGGGCCGCTAGGTTTGTTGGGACTGACGGGATTTAGGCTTGTTCCAGGCATCTAATGTAACCCGACTACATGTAGAGGAGACGGTTTCAAATAGCACCAGTGTGACAGCTTAACTGTGTAGACCCAAACCGATCATCAGCGTGGATTGTTAACATGCCAGCTTCCTTCCACAAACATATTTCGAGTGGAAGTTTGCTTTGAGGCCAGAGTCGATCGACCCGAGCCACTCCTTTGTGTTGCCCGTTGCCTCCAAGTTGCCCGATTTTTCGTTTCCAATTTTGGTGTCACAGAGATGGCTCCAAACAGGAACAGTTTTGGAGTGCACGTCAAGTTCACCCTGAGTTCTAAAATTAGGTAATTGCTATCGCTTCTCGACGGCCAGTACAGAGAAACAAAAAGCCTTGTCTGTGCTTTCATTAGTTTTCATTTGTATACGGTGCTTATTGGCAAGAGGCGAGCGGCTGTTTACCTGCGACATGACGTTGATTTTTTCGAAAGACGTTCAACTCAAGTCGTTGAGCAGTGCTGTAGATGACGACCTGCCTTATAATGTTTCTGTGTGTGTACGTGTGTGTGTCTGCATGTATATGTGTGTGTGTGTGTGTGTGTGTGTCTGCATGCATGTGTGTGTGTGCGTATGTGCGTGTGTGTGTGTGTCTGCATGCATGTGTGCGTGTGCATCTGGCAGGTGGTATAATCCAGCACCACTGTCCATTCAAGAATGTCAACGGCGGCTACCACAGCGTCGTTGTCGTTGGTTACGACATGACCGGTATGCACTAAGTCTGCATTACTAGTAGACCTTGGCGGATATTGCCGGCAGAAAAATTGGCAGAATTTGGTACCGTTTTTCTGGAATGTTTCATGCATGTTTGGCACTGTATGTGGATAAAGAAATGGAGCGGAATTCGAGGAAGTGCCTGTCGTAAGGTTTGTATGGTTCTGCCAAATTCACTGCTTTTGGAGCAGAATCTGCCAATTTTACGAGCATTATCTCGTTTCTCCTTCAAGGTCTACTGTGTAGCCACATACACATACTTCCTCCACAAACACTAATCTGTGACTTTTTTATTTGAGGTATTCACATCCTAAGCAGCTACTGTGATCGGAAAATTTGGTTCAGTGGCGCGAAAACACTTCAAGACAATGTATAGATAAAACGTCTTCGCAGTATGTACACTATTATACAAATTGGCACTGTTGCGAGTCTTGCTCTGAGCGAGCATCACTCGATTCCTCCGAGCGCAATTCACCGGAATAAATTGGAAATAACGTTCTGCTTTCCTCGTCACCCTGTACTTCACGCATTGCTGTTGGGAATGTGGTACGTTATTAGCGATACTCGAGCTTAGGGAGCATCTCATAAGTTCGCATTTTTTCTCTAAACGTAACGCATTTCGAAACGGGGGTAGGGGGTAGCGCCCTTTTCGAATAGAAAAATGACAGTTCGCACATTTTCTGGAAGTGTACAATCTACTGTACTACGGTGCGGTACATGTGCTAGATCGCTTCAGCAAATGAGTGTGTTTAGGTGTAGATCTACCTGTGTTTGCAGATCAGCTAACCCTTGCAGGGGCGTCGGAAGCAGTTTAACATTGGTGCGGCCAAAGTGTGAAAGTGGTGCTCCCCCCGGGATTTTTTTTGAAAATTGGGCCTAAAAGACCATAATTTTAATGCTCCAGAATAATATGAGAAATAAGAATATGCATGCTGATGATACACCGCATTGTCGATGTAAAACATGGTACCTGTACAACAGTCGACAAGCCATCAACAAGGTTGAAATGTTTAAAAAAATAAAATAAAATAAAAAAACCCTTCGAAAATTATTGCTGCATGCAACAGGCTACTCAGAGGTATCAAATGTCACACTAGTCTGATCAAACCGTGTACCTGGCCAGCTTTTACAGCAGTACACACTACAGTTGTTGTGGAGGAACTATGTTTATGTGCGTGTACATGTCATTGATTGTACTTGTAATTGTACGCAGTAGATGCGGTACTACTGTATGCCATTCACTAGTCTACGGCTCTAGCAAAACATTCATATCCCTGTAGTACATGAACATTACATCCATGTACATGTACATAAGCATACCATAGCATGGGGCATGGATGTGTACAGTAGATAAACACAGAAAATGTGCGATAAGACTTTCGAATAGAGAGGGGGGGGGGGGGGAGGTAGGGGGTAAAGTCTATTCAAAATGCGTTACGTTTGCAAAAAAGATGCTCCCTTACCCACAGTACTACATGTCCTCATTGTGCCTTTGCTCTGCTCGCGCTGTATTCGCAATTCTTGTACAGGCGAAGTTCCCTACTGGATCATTCGCAACAGCTGGGGAGAAGCCTTTGGAGAGGAGGGCTATTTCCGCGTGGTGATGGGCAAGTCAATGTGTGGTAAGTGGTTGTTTCAAATCTTCATCCTCACGATCGCCTGTGGCCAATAGAGATCTTGTTGTTGTTGGTGGTGGTGGTGTTGTTGTTTTTGGTGGTGATGGGGGTGGTGGTTGTGTTGCCGTTGTTGTCTGCATTAAATCGCAAGGAACACAAAGACATCAGACCAACCAATTTGCACTGCGTTTCTAAATCCGATTATTGCTTTTTTAACATGTTTGCACTCCTGTGGTGGTTTGTGAAGTCTAACTACCACTTTCTTGCACATAAAGATGCACACCTGTGACCTGGGACGATACGTTTGCAGAAACATACGATGACTCATAGTAAAAGCTGCATTGCCCTCGCGTTCCTTTCAATGCCAAACTGGATGCATGTTCATTTCGAGAAAAAAAGCATCCGGGAGGAATGTGGCTGTCCTTGAATCACCTGCGGGATGCTGAACAACACCAGTCCACACAGGACCTCAAAATGTCATGCATGTGCGTGTGGGTGGGTGTGCACGCGCGTGTGCAATTGTATATATTTTACGAGAAAACCTCGAGAGCAGAATACTGCCTGATAGAGTTGGCGGCAGTCGCAGCTGTGGTGGTGAAACTGGAGCATCTCCGCCGACCCGAGGTCTCGGCTTCATGTACAGTCACCTTCGCTAATAACGACAATTGTGAATAACGACAGAATTTACATGCCCAGAGCAAAGTCCCTTCTAACTGTACACATATAAAGACTTCGCGAATACTAGTAAGGACATTTTTCTGATGCCCCGCCGAGTGTCGTTATACGCAAAGTTGACTGTACGCTTGTGCATGTGTGTGAACTGTTTTTCTGCTGGACGCTGTAGGTCTGGGTGTGCAGATAACCTATCCAGTTATTTGAGGTGTCAACTCTAAGACGGGGACAGAAGTTCACCCGTAACCATGGTAACGCTGAGGCTACTACTCCAAGGATCCAGCAGACACCGACTGCAACAACCAACTCGGTCTCATGTCCAGACCCCACCCCCCCCCCCCCCCCCAGTGCAGTTACCGGTTCTGTCTCGGGTCCTCTCCGTCGTCAGGTCCGACCCAGGGGCAGCCCTTGTGTTTGCGTCTGCCGAAAGGGAAGGAGGTGGTGGCGCTGATGTCCCAACTACTGTAGACTAGACTAGCATAGAATAGACATGCTTGCCACCGCGTTCAGCACACCCACAAATCTACTGTCAAGAATCTAAGGGTTTGTTAGTGAAACTCGAATAATGATTATTAGTGGCGTGAACTGCCAGAGTGATGATGATCCCTTGACTCGGATCTTATCAAGTTCACCAGTATCATATGCATACATTCTTATCTCGGAGAAGCTTGAAGCTTCCCACTCCGTTGCTAGTGTTTTGAAAACCGACAACCTTGTACTGTCGCATGCCGTAATATTTCATTGCTGGACAATAATATTAAAACGATCGTGTCAATTTCGAATAGAACATCCTGCTCCGTTGCCGTGTGTTGCTGCTTCTTGTTGCGCGCCATTGCCCGAGCGTGACAGGTAGCATGTTTCCTCTATTGTCTTGATTGTAGCTTGCTGTTGATACGCTAACACTGCGGACGAGCCACCGTGGTGAAAACAGTACACTGGTACAAAGACGTGTGCGGCTTCACTAGAATTGCACTCGCCAGTCCACACAGCAGTGTTTAGCATCATCACGGGCGAACTCTCAGGCGCCAACACTGCGACACCAGCTAGCAAGTAGCAGCAGTACTTGTGTGATGTGAACATAGTATTGACGGGTGCCAATGCACCACGGACTCAGTATGGGCTCTGCCGTGAGGCTGAGCCGTGCTGGCCACTGCACTGGTCAGCAACGTCACGCACCACCACTTGGGACATGTATGCACGACGTAGCAACGCACCGGCTACGGAATAGTGCGCAGAGCCGTGCCTGAAAGCGGAGTGTAGTGCGCCGCAAAACCGGGTACACGCGACTCCCTGAGTGCTGCAGACACACATGCTCATTGTCACATTGAATAATGACAGGTACTTGCACAAGACACAGCATTCGACGAGTGACGGCGTTCGCAGCGCAGATTTCTGTACAATACAGCGTGGAGCTATAGCGCCTGAACGGTGTATAGTAGTCTCCTTGGTGCACTGCATCACTGGCCGTGCCGGAGCTCCGAAAGCGCCCACCTCTTGTTGTCCAGTTCGGCCTGAAGGCGCGTGTACTCCTCCACGATGGCGTCGAAGCCAGAGCCGAGACCGGCGTACGCACTCAGAGCGGCTGTGCTGGCTACGTGCCCGGCGTCCACCTCGCTACGCGCTTGGTCAAGGCTGTGCCTAGCGCAAAGGAGAAAGAGACAGGAGACAGTATTACTGGTTTCCGCTTTCAACTACAGCCCACTCTGGGTGCAACAAGCACCACTGATTATGTGCAGGAGAACTTGTTCTTCATAGCCAAAGTTCGCTATAACATAAATACACTCACACTCGCATAAATACACTCACACATGTGAAACGAATGGTCTAAGATTTCCTGTATAATGATTTCATAGGCATAGTATGCAATCCATACAGATACGCTCGAGTGCATTCACACGCTCGTGTACACACACGTACACACACACACATTTCGAAACAACAAACACCGTGCCCGACAATACCTGGATGTCTATGTACACGTGTGCGTGCTACTTACTTGACCATGGTGAGTGCAGCTGTGTTAGGTGCTGTGTACGTGTCACACTTCACCTGGGCCTCTAGAAGTCTAGCGGCGGGCACAAACAACAACAACAAGAACGTGAGAATAGAGATTTCAAACAACACATCAACCACCGCTGTCAAAGCCCCTTCTTATGGAAGAGATCCTGCCTGGACAGACGTCCAAACTCCTCACTTTGTAGTATTTATTTTTATTTTTACCTGGGTACAGTATACCCAACAGGCCTTCATGGAAGTCAGCAAAAAATTTTAAAGGTCTCTCAGATTTTGATTACCTTCTGCCATCTACTTTTCCGCTCCTGCTCAAGGGACAACTAGAGTCCATGGTCGAAAACATGTTGACTGGCATAAGTATAGGTTAGTGCATGGCAGGGAGGGCCCTATGGCCCGTTAGTGCCTTCCAGGCTAGTCGGAAGGCTCGCATTGTCACGCAGAGTTGTGCTGCGCACTTTATACACAGATTCCGCAGACACCGAACTGCCTGCTCATGCAAACTGAACCGACTTTTATAATGCACAGTGAACTGCGAATTGTCAGCACAAATCCAACACATTTTCTGTGTAAGTGAAATTAGATGTGTTGGAGCTATGTGTCAGGTCGACGAATGTCTCCATATCCCTGTCAATTTTGTGCATTGTCGCACTATCTGGCTGTATATTATCTCGTTGCCTTGGTAGACTGTCAGTCATAACTCGTAACTTATTGGTCCTTTCTCTTTACATAACATGCCAGTTCAAGGTTCGAAATATCAGATGTTGTTACCTGGAAATTGAATTGATAGAAATCGGAGCTGGAAGAAACTTCTAAATAAGCGGTATGTTCGAATTTTAAAAGCCATATTCGAAATATCAGGATTCCATCTATAGTACCCAAGGTCAAACGACTGACATAGTGTAATGCAGGCTGCTCAAAAAGACCCGACTCGGCGAGGCAAGTGCTATCGGACCAACACAGAGCTACACTCACGCCATGCAGCTAACCCTGCACCATAGCCCCGTGGCAGGCATGTGCAGCGCTCGAGCCGCCTAGCCCCTGCTATGGTCATAAGGTTAGACGCCGCTCGCCGCCAATGTGGCAGTAAACAACAAGACAGGCATCCTTACTGAAGCTTCAGAGCAACGGTCTGACATCGGATGATGAGGAGTTTGCAGTGTTCGTCGGCTGCAGAGTTGTTCAACTTGTGCTCAACCAACATACTGTCCAGCAGCTCCAGACATCTCCACAGGACCTGAAAGGAAAGAGAGAGAGGGGGGAGCGAGAGAGTGTGTGTGTGTGAGAGAGAGAGAGAGAGAGAGAGAGAGAGAGAGAGAGAGAGAGAGAGAGAGAGAGAGAGAGAGAGAGAGAGAGAGAGAGTTTACCTGTATTAGATAGCAACGATGAGAGCAAACAAATGTTAGGTATCTCTCGAACTCAACAGAAACATAAAGTTACCATAAAAGTCCGTAAATAAGTACCAGCCCAAAATAGATGCCCCCATTCATCCTTTTGACTCTGTCTGTTGAAGTCAAGTTCAGCCCGAGGCGCGTACGGTTGGCACATGCAGCACGTACCATGTACATGGACACAAAAAATGACTTCTCCACTACACGCAGGTCAGGTCCGAAAGTTAGTTCGTGCCCGAAAGTCAGTACCTGCCCGAAAGTTAGTACGGGTGTGACCACTAAACTTGAAAGTAGGTACGCACATATTTACGGACGTTTACGGTAACAGTACATGCACATGCGAGAAAACGGCGCCGGCACAAACCAGATGCACAGACAGATTTTACAAAGGTACACACTCACGTCATAGTACTGCATTCTCAGTTGCTCAATCTGCAAGGAGTCATCGCTGATCAGCCGCTTGTTCGCCCGCACCTTCTGAGCATCAGTCTGCACCTGTTGCGAAAGTGCTACACCTGCCGGTAGACCTGGCATCAACAATGGAAACAGGAGAGACAGAGAGAGAGTGAGTGAGAGATATAGAGAGAGAGAACACATTGTAGCGGGTACAATGCTTGGCAACATGCAGAACGAGGACGAAATGGGGAAAAAAGCAAACCACAAACACCAACACAATATTTAACTCGGATACTGAGCCAATAAATATAATTAAAATAATAATCAAAATTGCTTCATAACTCGTTTCCTTGTGGTTTCTTCTATTTTAACCAACACAATACTAGTACTCATTTTTTATTCGTTTCCGATTCACCATTCAAGATACCATACGGATAATTAGGTCAATTTACTTTTTATAAAGTGTGCTTATCACCAACCTGCGGGCGCATAGAACGCTGTCAGCTCCCGCAGCTTCCGCTGCAAGTTGGCCTGAATGACTGGCACAATGTGCTTGCGTATCTGTGCAAAAGAATGACAAAAATTCCGGATCGGTATCCCACAACAATTATTAGTCAACACACACATACACCTCAGACCTGCCCATCGCGGAAGCGATGATAGCGAACAGCTATGCTAGACATAGCAACTTGTGCTGGGATTACACCATTCAACAGCTTGCAAGGCTGCACACACACACACACACACACACACACACATTATGCAACGTGCCATGGAACAATGAAGTCCGGAAATTGCGGAAAAGCAAACTAACCTGTTGCGCCGCAGCTTTGGTGGCCGTTGACGCGTTCCTCTCGACCTCGGACATAGGAATACCCAGTATTGACATTGGCTCGGCTTGGGGCTGGGCATGTTCACTGGGCGGCATGCACATGTACTGTGTGCTCTCGGCATGGGAAAGTCCATACTGTACAGTCTCCAATGCCTGAAAGACCGCAAGCAAGTACGCACCCGCAAACAGTTCGAAATACAGTCAGCCTAGCAAATAATGACCCGCGGCAGTGCATGAGAAAAGTGGTGTTGCTCGTGAGGTTGACAATATGCAGTCAAATGGTCACTAGGTCTGGAGATTGTGTCGTTATTCGCGAGTTGCCAATATACCCAAGGTCAAGGGTGGGACTATAGGTAACATAACACTCATCTAACAACACCATGCAACAGATAAGCGCCCGTCGGACAGGGCCTACCAGATATACGTAGCAACATGAAGTTCGAACTCGCGGGGACTACACACACGAATGCAACACCAAAACTGGACCAGGTGCATAATGATGATGAAGTGAGTACAAAGTGCCTACAGACCTGCAGGACGATTGGGGGTTGCACCGCTTCTATAGTGCTTTTTTCATTCATCATAAAGCCTCTTTTACGGATATTAAAACAGAACACAAATTCACTGCGACACGGTAAAGGATTAGAAAAGAAAAGAAAACTTGTATGTGTAGACCTGGTAGACTGTGTTATTTGATTCTCCACCGCCCCTCAATGAAACATGATGAAGCGAGTGAATGCCACGCTGCCGGGCAGCGCTGTGCAGCCCTAGACCTGCTAACACTGGGACGTGAACTGGTGCAGGTGCAAACTTGACTCACGCGCTCGGATTTCATTGAGCAGCTCTTTAGATCTGCAAGGCACCAAAAGTCTCTTGAAAGCAGCCATTTTGTCCAGAAGATGTGTACGGATGACATCACAATTACATCGTGTGCGCAATATATTGATGAGAGAGAGAGGGGGGGGGAGAGAGAGAGAGAGAGAGAGAGAGAGAGAGAGAGAGAGAGAGAGAGAGAGAGAGAGAGAGAATGGAGGCATGAGGAGAGCGCTGACCTTAGTATCAGTGGACGGTGATGACAAAGCCAGCGACTGGATTTGGGAATCTTCCAACACCTCCTCAACTTCGGTGTACAGCAGTTTGCATTTGAGCCACTCAGTGCGACTCTGACGCAGCTCATGTTGCCACTGAATGTTAAACATACCGCCACCATCAACAACAATAGCAGGAGCAACAACAACAACAACAACAACAGCAACAGCAACAGCAGCAGCGGCAGCAACAGCAACAGCAGCAGCAACAGCAACAACAACAACAACCACTGGCTATCGTGAGAATAAAGATTTGAACAACAACAACAACAACAACAACAACAACAACAACAACAACAACAACAACAACAACAACAACAACAACAACAACAGCAACAGCAACAGCAGCAGCAACAGCAGCAGCAACAGCAGCAGCAGCAGCAACAACAATGGTACATGACCTCTTTATCCAGGGTCATTGCTTCACTCGGATACAGGTCATCCTAGATTCAAGTAATGCTTGCCGATGGAAAACAAATCGTCGCAAACTTGAGTGGTGTACACTAAATGAATAAAATGATGACTTCTTCCCAAGGGGCACTCTGATAGAGGTTATGTTATGTTACCTTTATTTTACTTCACCATAGGTACAGGTATTGCTGCCTTCTTGCTGTGGATAAATGATGCCACAGCTCCTAGGCTATGATGAAAAGGTGGCTTGGCTCAACACAGGCTGGGAGACAACAAGCAGTAATGATTGCCAAGTCTGCTGACGCATAAAAAAAGGGCTTGTGATTATGCACAGCTAGCGGAGTACATGTAGTGACACCCAACCTCGAGTACTAGTGGATCAATTATTTACTGTATAAAAATTAATGGTCGATGCTTTCGGTGCTTGTACTACACTGTGCCCAGAGCCAACACATTCATCGGGGCGGATCTACCGCCACAGCTGTCATCAAATACTGTTGTGAGCATGGCATATAGTACATCACGTATAGTATATCCTAGCAGTAAACAATAATGGTATTCAAGGCTACCTTTTCAAGTTCAGAAGCTGTCCTCAAATCGGTCCCATCCCGGGACAAATAGTCCGTGCTAAGACGGGAAAGAACGCGGCTAAATTCTGGATTCGCCTCCAAATCGGTCTGGGTGACTTTTCCAGCAGGCAACAAGTGCTCCACTGCAAACCAAACAGACCAATAAGCGCATGTACCCGTCTACGATTGTAGCTCAATTCGAAGTGAGCAATGATTACTCCTTGGTCTTTGAATTTTCACAACCCACCGTTTCGCAGAACGCCGTCCATCTTGGAGCTTCTAGACCTTGAGACAAAATGGCCGGAGCAACGTTGTTGAAGGCTAAACGATTGGCTGAAAGTTTGCTCAAGCAAACTAATTACTTCTTCAACACAACGACATGAAATCTCCAAGACAAATCGTAGGAGCAGCATCTATTTTGAACAACAAGCTTGATGACGCTTGAGTTTCGCGCTGCGTTTCGTCATGACGACCAACCCGGGTTTTCCCCACTTCAAGTGCTACCAGGGAGTAGTATTTTTACTACTCTCTGTTTGGTCCTTTGTCTGGTATGTTTCATCAAGTACATACTATACTGTATACATGTCATAATAATACTCTTATTATTATTATTATTATTATTATTATTATTATTATTATTATTAAATTTTTGATAGGGCAATCCCCACAGGCCTAAGGCCTTTTGACAGGGTACCCTAAAAAATGAAGAACAGAATTACGGAAGGTATGCAAGGAAGAACTTGAGCGGACCTCCGCTGGGAGGGCATTCCAGCGGTCAGAGCCAAGGAAAGTGACAGAAAATAAACCATAGCGACGTTTGGCTGTCGGAAGAGCAAGGGAAGAGGACACTTGAGAGCGGGTGCGAGAACTAGTGCAGGTAGAATTAGAGCGGAGACAGAAACAGTTAGCAACAAAGACACTAGCCAGATCATGAAGCGCACGGTACGTTAGAACGTACAGCTTGAATTGGTACCTGACAGACAAGGGAATGATATGGTAGCGGGCAAGAACAAGGGAGACATCAGATAGGCGGGGCATGCAAAATACAATACGCAGCGCTCTATTACTAAGTCGGACAACACGGTCATGGAGGGAGGCAGAAAGGCAGTGAGCAAAGGAATTAGACCCATACTCAAGTATGGACTGAATGGAACAGATGTAGAAAGCCCTCTTAGCATCGATCGTTAAATGGTCTCGGACCTTTCTAAACATTCCCAACTTACAGCCTATTTTACGTTCTAATTGTGCAATGTGAACTCCAAAGGAGAGATGTTCGTCAAGAACTATACCGAGGTATTTCACGTGTGCACTAGGGGTGATGGTGACATCTTCAATCTGAACGTTGACATCGGGGTCAAGAGGTTTCGACTTTGGCCTGAACACAACAAGCTGGGTTTTCGAGGAGTTCAACATAAGACCTCTCGTTGCCAAGAATTCCTTTACTTTGATGATGTCCTCTGTGAGGTCTTTGCATAAGTTCTGGACATTCTTCCCCGCCCTGTATAAAGACACATCATCTGCGTATTGACGGGCTTTGCAGTGTTTGGGCACAGCGGGGAGTTTCCTCACGGACAAGTTAAATAGAAACGGCCCTAAAACAGAGCCTTGTGGAACGCCTCTGTTGCTTGTGTATGGTTGCCCTTGTTGAGTCTTAGTGACCACGCACTGTTGTCTGTTTGTAAGGTAGCTGTGAAACCATTGCAGAGCGACTCCGCCAATACCAATCTCAAGTAGTTCTTGAAGTAACATGTTGTGGTTGACAGTGTCAAAGGCCTTTGACATATCAAGGAAGGCAGCCACTACGTAGTCACCCTTGTCCAAGGCAAGCATCCAATCGTTGGTAACACAAGTCAGCAAGTCTTCGCAGGAGTGGCCTCTGCGGTAGGCGAATTGCTCTGCAGGGAGATGTTGCAGTGCGGGTGGTGCATTCTGGATGTAGCGTATGAGTTGATCATGCACTATGTGCTCAAGTAACTTTGACATATGGGGGAGCAGTGATATTGGTCTGTAGTTGGAGGAGACCGACCTATCACCGCGCTTGTGGATGGGGCGAACATGGGCTGACTTGTACGGAGCTGGGAATTCACCAGACGTCAGAGATTCAGATAACAACTTGGATAGTGAGGGAGCGATCTCATCGTTGATTAACTTGTAAGCAGCAACTGGAACATTGTCTGGTCCGGTGGCTTTACGGCTTTTCATGCGTTGGATGTAGTATTGCACTTCCGGAACACTGACTGATGAAAACATAACATAACATAAAAACATGACATAATTATAGTCACAAGAGACCAAAAAGAACATCCAGAGAAAAAAGAAAAGCAGCAAGCCCCAGACCTGCGAACACTGGCCCGGGGGCCAGGCTGCAAAATGGTGCAAAGGCCGCGTGACAGACTTGACTACCTGATATTGCTTTCTAGCAGGTTTTTGTTGTGCCAGAAAACTGATAAGTATGTACCAGGCACTTGTACAATATTCAGTACCATACTACTCCTTGGACCAAGTTGGTAGACTACAGGTCCTTGTTGCAAATAATGCTCAATACCCTAACAAAGGCATATTTAACAACAGCGACCAATATCTTTCTTGTGACTCGGAGTTTCGTATTCCAAAACACTCTTCAGACGATGAAACATATTCTGCTATTCGTTGGTTACATGTACTAGTATATAAGGTAATTGTAGGCTAAGGTAATGCTACAACCACAATAGGAAATAATATCAGCGCTGGAATGTGTTGTGGGTAGTAATGGGAAAGCAAGCGTCATGGCCGAGGTAATAATGCTACAACCAAGATGGGAGATAAAACCAGGGGTGGAACTGGAAGTAGGTTTCAGGAGAATGGTATCAGGCCGAAAAGTTGGGGAATAGGTCGTACATAGCAGACACGGTCCGGTGTGAATATCATCCGGGGGCATGGTGTGAGGGGATGTACATGTACATGTTGTATGTTTGCATGCATGTAGTAGTTATAGAATGTATTATGTTGATAGGGAAGGCCCTACAGATGGTGCCGTCTTGTTACAGGGAACCCTAAGTGCTCTTTACAGAGCGAAACAAAAACGGATAGATGCTCAACTAACTTGACGACACGACAGGCAGAGAATTCCACCAATGCCTGAGCCGGAGGCCCGGCGGCAAGAAGATCTCGCTGATCCTCAGAAGCCAAATTTTCAGGAGCAGACGCCCTGAGTGACCCAGATCTCGCTGAACTGGCACCAGAGCCGCTCGGAACCTGGTCACCACTGGAACTTTCCAGGGTACCATCATCCATAACCCCATCCATGTCACCGGAAAGGGGCACGCCACAAATCGGACTACAAACTGCAATAACTCAAAAAATAAATCGAAGAAGAAACGTCCACCATGTGGAGCAAAGAAAAAGGCCAAAGAAGGTCTGGAGTTCGGGAGTAATAGGGTGGCGGAGTTTGAAAATTTTCTTTGAATTGCTATGGTTTTAGGAGCGAATTAGGCCAAACACACTGTCACATTCGAAGCCCGAGCTCCGAAGTGTAATAATTATGTTTTATCGTCGGATGAGTTTTTTTATAAACTTTTTTTATCACGAAACTCGCAGTCACGAGAAAGATAATTTTAATGATCTCTGTTGTTATGCATTGGGCGCTTTCGAGTACACGTTTACACAATTCTGGAACTGTTTTTTTTAAATTCTGGAATGACCAAAATGAGCGATATCCACGATATTTCGAAAAGCAACCACGATATTCAAGTTACTACGAGGTGATTTGGCTATTTTTAACATTCGGCATTTTTTTAAACAAATGTGTACAATTTGCTTTTCTTCTGGCTGTTTCTCTGCTCCGGATGGCTGTATCGAAATATGGGTGGTGGCAAATGAGAGCCAGTTTATCGTAGATCAACATTGACCAGAACATTTGGTGCATACAATTTAATTCTCCCTGCCACGTACGTCGGTATAACTAGTGGTGGGTGCTTTGCCATTTTGTGTAAAATGTGAAAATTAAGCCCCTGAATGGACGAGGAGGGCAGTGAATTGCTTCCGCAGGGCCTTTGGACGACGTCAGGCCGTCTTGCCATCACTAAAGACAATAATGAAGAACAGTACTCGTAGGTCACGGAATACAATCTGTGAAAACGAAAACATGGCTGCGATGCTATGCTACCTATCCAATTCTACCGTATTACACAGCCACTAGTTACAAAATACAAACACACGGCTTTCGCAGCATGCATACAATGCAGTTGACAGATTAATTTTCATCCACTGGCAATCCTTGAAGTGATATCTATCAACTTCAGAACATTGATGACCGAATATCCCAGTTTGTGATGCCATTTTAAAAATTTTGTTAAAAAATGACACACCAAGTATTTGAATCCTGAGAATACATTGAAAGTAAGACATGATTCAGGACACTTTCCAAAGTGGGATCATTCCCAACTTTTGAGACAACGGGCATGAAGAATAGCACTTCCACTTGCAACAATTCATTTAGATGTAGCTTGCCTAGATAGAAGTGGCTGAAAAAACGTCATTTTACAACCATGTTAAAAAAGCCAAATCACCTCGTACGCGTAGCGGTTAAGTTACACGGTTTTTCCCTTATTTCAAAACGCGGTGCAAATCTCATATAATGTGTAATTTTTAGAGGTTAAGTTACATGCACGATTTATGTTGTAAGACTCGTGCATCGTACCGCATTACAGTACAAGTACCAAAATCGGCCGCAACTTCACCACAATGATCCCGGAAATTGTGGCACTTTACCTCTCAACCTTTTCGGCGATATTTTAGAACTGTCTCCGCAAGTTTCTGGAGGGACAGCAGTGACTGCCAGTTGAATCCCAGAACTACGGACAGTAGACATGTCCTGAACCCGATGAACTCAGTCTCACACAGTATCTACAAAAAAAAGCATGCATCTGCCCAAGAAAGACACAATACCAATATTCCACTATTGGCGAACCCATCCCAGCTTAGTTACAGTAGAGTCACGCACCGAAGAGCGCCCAAGAATACCACAGCCTAAAGTTAGGAGCGGCGGTGTTGATTTTCTGGCAGCTTGTCAGGTACATGATCCAGTACAGATTGTTTCCAAGAACGCAACCAGATTGCTGAAAAAGAACAATCCAGGCCACCCCCTTGGAAACAACATTCTTGGACGCGCGAATCTACTGTACACGTAGAATCTAACACAACCTAGAGAATATTGGAGAACTTCGAAGCTTTATTGCAACTGTTTACACGTCGTGGGCAGTTGGCAGAGAAGCTCCCTTGGCCAAGAAGTCGGTGAACTCCTGGTAGGGGCTCTTGGAGAAGGTGTTGGCTGACCACATGTCTGGGGTCAGGTACGAGTAGGTGTTTACGATGGCCTGGAAAGTAGCCTTGGCTGTAGTAGCAAATAACACACACAAACAGACGCCGTTTAGATTTTACAAAAAACATGGTAGGAAGAAAAACCCGAACAACAGGCATCACAAACACGGAAATAAAGCACAGAAATAATTATCTTAAAAAGCAATGCTGTACGGCTAGACTGCATCAGGGCTGTGACAGTTAACATTATGCCTGCAACTACATACCACAATAATAGAAAAGCTGCGAGGATCGCTTCTCTAAATTTGCCAGCTGAATTATGGGCAAATTGTTGGAGGAAACAAGCTTACCGAAGTTTCCAAGGGTGGCAGTCTGACCAGTGGCAGATGTATAGCAATCGTCGATACCAGCCATCATCAACAACTTCTTGGGAACACCAGCAGCGACAAGACCAGTACCACGGGGAGCGGGGATCAAACGCACACGGGTGGAGCCGCACTTGCCGGTGACCTGCACAAATCATCAAGAAAGGTCCAGAACAGCACATTTCAGTCACAGAGAAATTGAAAGCAAACCAGTTTATCGATAAGCAAAAGATCGCGATTTGAAGGCAACACTGGGATCTAAAGGCAACATATTTCAAGGACGCGTGTGGTTGACATCACTGCTTACCTTGCAGGGCACGGTATGGGGAGTGCCAATCTTGTTACCCCAATATCCACGACGAACTGGGACAACTGACAGCTTAGCGTTGATGATAGCACCACGGATGGCAGTGGCAACTTCCTTGGAGCACTTGACGCCAAGACCAACATGACCATTGTAGTCACCAACGGCAACGAATGCCTTGAAGCGAGTACGCTGACCGGCACGGGTCTGCTTCTGGACGGGCATAATTTTCAAGACCTCATCCTTCAATGCAGTACCGAGGAAATGGTCGATGATCTCGCACTCCTGTTCAGCAAAATGAGAAAAAAACCCATAGTCAGCACTGGTAAACGCACGTGTACTCCATGCAAATTGAACATTACACAAACTACACGGATGGTGAAATAAAGCAAAACAAACAGACATAAAGAAATGACACGAACCTTGATGGGCAGAGAGAACAGGTAGATGTCCTCCAAGCGCTTGATCTTAAGGTCCTTCACAAGGCGACCCAACTTGGTTACAGGTACCCACTGGGAAGAGAAACAAGAAGAACACATAAAGTGTGAAGATGACAAGAAATTTCTCAGTCACTGATTTTCGAACATGATGTTCACCTGGCACATACGCTATACAGGTGCAAGTCATAACCAGATAACTACGTAGGTGCTTATCATTGCTCCAACTAATATTTAACCGCAAGTTGTAATTTGTTGACTTCTGACATCATTTGCAAAACTTTACACAGAATAATTGTTAATTATCCAATATCCAGCATCCAACATGGAATCTTCACATAGCCAATGGTCATAAAACTAGGAGCCAACAGAGAGCATTTGGTATGCATATCTACTTGCATTTTTGAAAGCTCTCTGAACATGGTAGTGCACAATGTTACGTGTATGGGATTTCTCGTGGACAAGTGTACGCACGCACACATACAACCAAGAATGATCGACCAAACTCATATTCTGGAAAGGACTCAAACAGAACTATTTGATGGATCAAAAAGAAAGGGAACAGAATAAATAATACATGGTGGCATCCTCTTACCTCCTTGTCCTCGGGCTTTCCGCCACGACCTCCACGGCCACGTCCGCGACCCCTTCCACGGCCGCGTCCACGACCTCCACGGCCGAAGCCTCCACGGAATCCTCCTCGTCCACCTTCGGCTGGTGCAGCGTCCGCCATATTGCTGTTGAAGGAAAGAAATCAGCCCCCGTTAGGGTCGGAAAACATAGGAAAGACACAATCCACCATTGCTTACGGTGTTATCGACAAAGAGATTCTTTGAAAATAAGAAAGATATGCGCAAGCGCAGGTTGCTTTTACTCAAGCTCTACAACGCGCGGGTACGAGTGGAAAGATGAGTGGAAAGATTCTTGGTTTTAGAACGATTTCTAGCTAAACCTTATATTATTTCCAACCCGGACCTGATGAAATCCAGAAAACAACCCAAACCGACTCGATTTATTGCAAATTCATGTGATCTGACACACATGGTGTGTTGTTGACGTAGTTCACCACGCGGTCCTTGATTCTTTTTCAATCTGACAATTATTATTATTAATTTTTTCTATTTTCAATGAAGAGAACAACAATGAGAATGAGCTGGAGGTGACTGGGTTGGGAAGGAGATGAACAATATGATGTGGCTATGACACCAAGGAAGAAGCATGGAGACAAGAGAAAGCAGCCTTCTAGTAATAGTTTTGGATTGTCATCCAATATTTTGGGGCAGGCGAGCTGGCGACGAGAAGGGAATTCATTTCGATAAATTCCTAGAATCTGTGTTGGTCCTAACTAATTCCCATCTGTTGCTCGATGCACGTAATACGGTAGCACTCATAGCATGCCACACAAAAAAGAGCGAGTTTCTGTATCCCGCTGCTGCACAATCGTCGGAAGGCACCCAGTCGTCCCCCGTCAATGGAACACCATCAGCATCCTCTGGCAACAACACAACGACAATCGTGTCTGCTGCAACTATGGTGAACGACGGACGCTACGAACAATTTCAGGTGATGAATGAAACTGTGAAAGCCCAGCTCAGAGAGCTTGTACTGGGAATTCCGGCCGACTCTGCTGACGGCAGCGTTGACAGTAAAATCGAAGGCATTCAGCTGACTGGTGGCCTATCTCAGGCACTCTGTTATATCCAGCGCTCGATACGACAAGCGCCAGCAGGCACAGTAGTGAAACCGCGCATTCTGGTGATGCAGGCTTCACCAGATGCGCCTCACTCCTATTCAGACATGATGAACTGCATATTTGCCGCGCAGAAAGCTAGCATACCGATCGACGCCTGTATAATCGAATACAGCTCCGGCTTTTTGCAGCAAGCGTCCGACATAACCGGCGGCATTTACCTGAGAATTGATGACACGTCCGCGTTACTTCAGTACTTGTTGTTTGTGTTTCTGACCGACCAGGCGGCGCGCAGCATGCTGGATATGCCGGCACCGAAACAGGTGGACTATCGCGCCGCCTGTTTCTGCCACCGTCAGCTGGTCGACGTCGGATTCGTGTGCTCGGTGTGCTTGTCGATCTTTTGCCAATTCACGCCGATCTGCCAGACGTGCAACACTCACTTCAAGCTGCCAGCACTGAAGCGCAAAAAGGCGTAGCGCTTGCTTGCTGACCCCCAGTCTTGACTGTTTCTGTTTTGTATCGACCAGTCCAAAAAATATATATATATATTACCCACCTCGCACACAAATGTTTTAACTTATCTTGCTCGTAATAGTGCAACTGCATGTTCATGACAGGCTCATATTCTGCACGCGATAATTATGACACCCATACCAAGTAGGTATGGCTGGCACGTGTCTGTTTGCTCCGTTGTGTTTTTCAACTGCTGGCACCCAATCTAAAATGTGTTTTTAATCTGTTTTTGTTTGCTTAGTGACCGTATTTCCGTGTGTCCGCCCGCCTTTTACCGCCATTTTCAACTGATATTTATTTCTAGGAATTCATTCTTTTCAAGAGGGATGTGACGACGACACGCTTTCTGTTCTGTTTTATAGATCATTACAATTCATGGCTATTCTCTCTCTCTCCTCTTCTGGTCTTTGCTGTGGACCGTTCTGTCGTGCACATACTTGTCCCCATGTCATGCTCTGTATACCAAATACAGCCAGGCGACAGGCATGGGTCACCAGCGCGTCTTGGATTTGAAATGCCAGGTGCTCTAATTCTCCACTGATATGAGAAGTGATGCGTGAGCGATCATGTTAGACATGATTTTATCATTTTATTAAACCAGGGAGCCGTAAAATACCGATATTTAAGAAATACATGTACTTCGAACTCCTACAAAAAGTATCGTCGAAGTCGCACCAACCTATTCTGATTTATACACTGAGCATGCATGTTGCCATTATGTGTATCGGATTGATTCTGGCTGGATCATCTTGTAGCGTGCACATTCGTTGCCTGCAATAGCCTAGGCTTGCACGTGCATGGGTGCCGGGTGCACATACCGGTATGCATATTTATATGCTGCATGGGAACCCATTGCTTGAAGACAAGCTCGGACGTAACTCATCAGAACTGGCAGATCGTATTGACATGTATAGTTATAAAAGTGATGTTATCAAGCATGACACGGCAGTAAAGATATTTTAATAGCAACGTCTGAATTCAACTCGAGTCCCTCTTCTTTGGCTTTAGTTAGCATGATGGGTAGTACAGCTAGAGACAGCAGGGGGGGGGGGGGGGGGGCTTCAAGGGTGGACACTTGTGTGTGGGATTCTCAAATGCTGCCACGAGACTAGCCTGCAGGGCTTTTTTTTAGCCGAGTAGTCCTTACAACAAAATAGCACAATGGCCAGACATGGAATCGAGGCGTAAGACATCGCAAATCATGTTTATAAAACCTCAGTCTTCTTTTAAATAAAATTTTGTTAAAAATATTTACGACATTGCGACTACGGTACCAGGTACTAGTAGGGCTATTTAAAAAAAATCCAACATTGATTGCTAATATTATCATACTCGAGAGAGGTAGCAATCATGCCAGATGATGCAGGTTAGTAAAAAAACATTAGCAAAAGTTAGTAGCTCAAAACGGCCGCGAATTGCTCATTTTATGAGGCAGTAATACAGAAGCATGTATTATAAATTGTACCGATCCCCAGAATAGCAGGTTTTAAAGTCAGCAATGCCTGTCCTGACACCGTTCAGAGGTCATTCCCATCCAGAATGGTGGATTCAAGTTCGTTAGTTGAGTTTGTCTTCTTTCCTTTTAGGTCATGCATTTCTTAGATAGGCATAATTGTATTATGATTCTAAATTTTGTTTCTGAAGCAAACTGAGAGAAAATCTGCCAAACAACCAAATCCGGCATCACTGACATAACTACTGTTGGTGGCAGTATTGGCAATGCATTGGTATTTTACACCACACTACACAGAGCATCATGCGGTGAAAGAGTCTCGATACCCGGGCTAAGAAAGGGCCTGGCCTGTTGTGATCACTGTAGATTTGACCTGGACTCACTGGCAGTCCAGCAGCCCCGTGGCAGCATGCAATGAGACCACGCTGACCGTGGAAAGACGGTGACAGCTGACCAGTATCGCCGCAGTGCTCTGTCTCAGCACACCGGCCGGGGATGCTCTCTCTCTAAATGCAAGGGTAAGCCTCACAGTGACGGCAGTACTCTCCTGAGCCTATAGCACACTGCCTGCTCAGTTGCTTTCGTCGCTCTCCACTGGCGCGTCATCTGCCTCCAGCAAAGCATCTCGCACGCTCAGCCGACACCCAGTGTGGTTGGCCACCTTCAATATCTTCCTGACGGTGAACTCTCGCTCCTGAACCAAGTACGTTACCACATTCACGGCTACAGTCTGGATTTCAATTTTACTGTTATGTCCGCAATGCACCTCCAGGTCATTCACCGACAGGCCTGCCTTCAACGCAAAGCGCACCAGGCGGGTTTCGTTGCAGAAGCGCATGCTGACTGCCGCAATTTGCTCCGGACTCAGCCGATCCTTGCATCTGTCAATGTTCTCCTTCGTCAGTTTCTGAAAGCAGGCCAGACACGCATACATAGTAATATTATATACATGTAGATATCATCTGAGTGGACATATGCTAGAAGACAGAAACATGCACACGGACAACCACACACATGCGCGCACGCACCCCCCCCCCCCACACACACACACGCACGCACGCACGCACGCACACACACACACACACACACACACACACACACGCACATGCACATACCCACAGTCCGACCACACACACACAATGTTACTGCTACACGGGCGCATCCGTGTCACTGTGTGACACAAATCCCCGCAGATCAGCTGCGAACGGCATTGGAAGAAAGAAAGTGCACAGCATGCCAATGGGGTTCAAACGGACACAGCTCAAAAATACCGTATTCTCCGGAATATAAGCCGCACTTTAAACACGCGTATTTCACCCCCGAAAACAGTCATCGCATCTTATACTACGATGGTCAAAATTCCCGTGATAAATAGGGTGGATGTCTGTATTTCATGAAAAAAATATCTGGGTGTGGCTTATCCTTCTACTCCAGTGAGGTTTATACTCCGGAAAATACGGCACTAAAGCAAATATCGGGTAGAGCTATGGACATGGTGAGCGCTCACACTTACCGTCCGTTGGCCTCGCTGAGATCTTGGCGCTGCAATGTGCTGAAAGTGCGGATAGCCTGCATAGAGCGGTCACAGGTCGATAGTCACACGCACGGGGAACACAGAATATTTGCACACAGCTGGCTCAAGCGAATCGGGCATCACAGCTGCAGTGTGAGATCAAGACCACTTTTCGGGAATAGCGCATTGCCAGTCAATCAAGGTGCAGAATCAGAGGGTGTTTGTTTTGAAAGGCAGCATAGCCAGTCAATAAAGACAGAGCAGTGCAAAGCAGACCCGATTACCACTCTAGCGGATCATACCTGGAAGCTCCTTGGCCTTCTCATGCAGCGCTGAAGCGAGCTGCTCCTGAGATGTCAGAACAAGCGCTTGGTAGAGCGCTTCCAACGATCTCCAGCCAGCCGACTTGATCTGCATTGAATACGGATATATGCCAGTCACCTTCTCACAGCAACACTTCGCTGCCAGTGCTTACTGGCCATGCTAACCCATTTGAGTCCCGGTAGTGAATACCCCCTCCCCCCCCCCCCCCCCCTCCCCGGATCTTGGTCACTGCTATACGATCACTAATTCAATTGTACAACTGCACCTGTACTTAGACCAGGGAGTAGCAAAAATAATTTCACCATGCTCTGGATCAGACCAATGTCAGCCACAGTGCACGTGGTTGACTCATGCACTAGTTGCTAGTGTGCATTGCACCTCACCGATGTACTCAGCCGCTAGTAAGCGACAACTAGGGAAAGGCAAGAATGAACGGCAACTTTGAAGCACCTGCTAAATTTTTAAGGCGAACTTGTTTCTATTGCTGAGAGAATGACCACCTATACATGCTCAGGGTTAACCGGTTAGTCACAACATCCCAAAATATTCCGAAGAGAAATGCAGTGAATAACAATTTTTGAATACACCAAAAAACGCCATCACAGCGCCCGGCCCGTACCAAATGGCCAAAGGCTCTGCCCGAACAGGTTTTTAATGGTCCATGGTATATATTATATATACGCATTTAACTTCAATGATTTAAATTATCAGATGGTGCGCAAGTCACTTACTAGTATCATTGACTGTACAGGAAACATATGCATATACATAGTGCAAGCCTGTAGCCTGTATAGGCTAGGTTGACCCCAAGCCTGGGGGCCAGACTCTCACCTTGTCAATGATCAGGGCATTCTTGGACGCGGCATGCACGGCCGCCGTTACGGTCTCAATGTCCGACTCCGACAAGTAGCTCTGACGCAGCAGGCGATTGCACACCGGCGTGGCGTCCATCCGCGCCTTCAAGCGCTCTGCCACGGCGGACATCTCCGGCCTGTTCCACGGGTTAGCCGGAGGAGAAGACGCCGCAGCTGCATACACACATGCACACCCGAGCAATGACAGAGTACCGGTATAAGCCACACTAATTTTCCAGAGTACAAGTTACAAGTAATAGTTACAAAAAAGTACAAGATACACTCAGTAATCCTTATGCACAGATATACAGCATTCCCTCACTAGTGGGACCATTGTTATTAGGCTAGGGCCTGTTTTGGACTTCCCACTCTAAATAAAGAATACAAACGAACAAACAACTTTATAAACACAAGAAATTCCCCCCAGAAAAGTCTTATACTACGTATTTTCCAGAGCAAAAGCCGCACTGTATACACACCTGTAAATCACCCAAGAAAAGTCTTACGCTACGATGGTCAAATTAACCGGATGATAAACCGGGATGATGTCTGTATTTCGTGACAAAATATCTGGTTGCGGCTTATACTCCGGAAAATACGGTACGCACAATCATGGTGTGCACGTGCGTATACAGGTACACGTCAATCATGCATATTGTGAGGGTGTGTGTGTGTGCTGATGAGGTGTACCCATCCCGGCAGGCAAGCGGATGCAGCCTGCAGCGTGCCGTTGCAGACGTACAACAACGCAGGGCGCAACACAAGCCAAGATGGCCATGTCATGCCATGCCATGGCTTGACATTGGTATTAATCCGGCCGCTCAGCTAGATGTTGCCTGGAACGGAAGGCAGCACACTCTAAAGAAAAACTAAACCGAAGTACTTCATTTTTGAAAGGATTGGGAGAACTTCAAATTCAAAGGATCAGCCGGGGAAGTGAACTGCCTGAAAAGAGAAAAAACGCCAGGGTCTGGCGAAGTACTTCAAGAAGTACAAGTAATTTTTTTAAAGTCTACATAAAAAAACACTAAAACAATAGTGAACTGTGCACACAAAGTCTGATGGACATTTGGTACTGACCGGCATCAATGGCAGCAGCATGATTGCCTTCTACACCGCTTATACCGGCTGCAGATGTACTAGTACTTGATGACGATGTTAAACCCGCTAGGCGGAGAAGAAATATGCACACACACACACGCGCGCGCGCGCGTACACAACAACGACGACAACGACGACAACAACAACACACACTTGAAGTAGCAACTTAGGCGGTATTACCGTAAAATCCCGCCAGAGCGCCCCTACCTCCTCGACGCTTCGTTGGGGAGGGGCGGATGGGTGAGTCCTACTTGCCGCATTCAGTACTTCATGAAAAAGTACTCACCCTACGAAAACTGTCCGTGCATCTCGTACACCGACCAAAGGTCAAGAGCCAGGAGTCGTACAGACCCGTCAAAACTCAGGGTTTGTGCAATCCTTGGTCAAGAGGGTGGGCACTGTTGCGTACATTTCCAACGGGGTCAAGCACGCGTCTGCAGTACAGTACAGCAGCAGAGAGTCATACGAAGATACACTTCCCTGACAAGAAGTCAGGGAGGGGCGGATGGGAGAGATGGGGCGCTCTGGCGGGATTTTACGGTAGTAAATGAACTGATGTCCATGTAAGTGGTTCTCTTCAGGCACAATCTTCCTCAGCCTATTCAAAACTCAACTGATGGGTGGTGAATTCCCCCAAACCCTGTGTATTGAGCAGGAAGTGGTGCTTTCTTGCAGGTTTGCCGAGTGGAAGGTGTGACAGGCTCCTCGTGTGCTCTGGATTGCAGTCATGAGTCAGTCAAGTGTCCAGTTTGGCAGGAAGCATGTGTTCCGCGTTGGAGCAACCAACTTCATTAACAATGACGATGACGACGACAACGAAGACAACAACAGCGACAACAACACTGTGAGAATAAAGAAGTCAAAAACTCGCACTCGACACTCTCCGAAGAGTACTCAAAGTAGTGTGGAAGGCTAGTACTAATAGTACTTGTAATACTACTAACATAGTTTCGAGCGGTTCTGACCTATCCATCCCCGGTGTTTTAGAAGCTGCATGCAATGTCTTGATCATTGAGAGTGGTGGCATACATGGGGATGCAGGAGCTATAATGTTACACTCTCACCCAATTGTCACTCGAGGGTCATAGCTAAACTTTTCCGGCATTCCGTCAAAATCATCAAATACGGCGTATGGTCCCTTACGGATAGCTCTGAGATATGGACATCCTTCATTGGCAAAGCCCCCTGATGCAGCCAGTGCTTACCTGCCGGATTGCTCTGGTGAGCTGAAGAATTGGTTTCTGGTCCACCGACTGAACACATACAGCACAATATCATGGCAGAGATGATCAGATCAGCGTTGGAAAGAATGCCTTGGTGCTTGTGTTTTCTATGCAGCCGCCTAACATTTCGGCCAAGGGATGTGCACTAGGGGTATGGCGTCAACCAGTAACTCTACCCGAGGTGCCTCTCCGCTGGATGTACGCCCGTACGTGTAACTACAATCAGCACAGTGGTGTGGATCCAGTGTCGATCCGAAGACCCCCCCCCCCCCTCTCTCTGTCATAGACTTTTATATTATGTAATGATTAATGCTTGAATGCTCAATACAATGCACTCAACATCACAATGCACTCAACATCACAATGCACTCAACATCACAATGCACTCAACATCACAAAGAACTCACTTGTTATCTCACTGATTACGCTTGTGACTCGATAGCCACGTTCGCTGGACACTGTGCAGTAGACACTGCAGCCTTTCTGGACGTTGTTGAGTCTCAGGACCTGGCCGGACTGGATCGGCTCGTCCCGCAGTGTGTAGTACCACTGGTAAAACAAGTCACCGGTGCCGCCCTCGCAGCTCATCGCCTCGCACGTCAGTCTAACATTCTCACCGAAAGGTGCCCTGACGTGCCGCAGTGGCTCCTGCGTAATCTTGATGGGACCCGTGGCTAACACCCGGCAACAGCAGCAACAGGAACACCAGCAGTAATAGCACCAGCAGCGGCAACAGCAGCAGCGGCAACAGCGACAACAACATTGTTGGACAGGTCTTTAATGGTTCTTGTAACGCCTGATTGGAATTGCCTTTCTTGCAATCACTTTAAGAACAGTAAAACGCGGGGTAAGCTACCCCTGGTATTAGCAACCTCCTGATTTTAATGATCGCTTTTCCATGTACCAGCAGTTCTGCATAGAAACTGCACAGTGATAATCTCGACTGCAGCAATGTCATGCGTAGATAGCTGAAACATGTTCAAAATGCCATAAAGTACCTTTCGTGATCCAGAGGCTCTTATTAGAGCAATTATACCCCCCCCCCCCTCGATGTCCACATACATCCTGGTATAGCCATGGGAATGATCAGCGCCCTTCGAAAGCAGCAGTATGCAGGCCAGGCGTCGAAACCCTACCTTGAGGTGGGGTTAGACTATCCAGCATTGATGACTGGGCTGACGTAGAGCCGGAGCTACATGTGGAGCTGAGCGGTTCAACACTCGTCATGGTTGAGTAGTGCATTGATGACTGGGCTGACGTAGAGCCGGAGCTACATGTGGAGCTGAGCGGTTCAACACTCGTCATGGCAACACTCGTCATGGTTGAGTAGTGCTGGAAACTAGAACCAACCACGGGTGCCGCAGCTGACACCTGCGATTCATCACCACACGCTACAACACCGGGACAATACAGAATATAGATAAACAGCAGCAGAAATGTATCGAGTCTACCGACATCTCACTTCTATAAAAAGGTGCAATCTACTAGTTTGGCATTGTAACTTGGGAAAAAACCATTTTTTTAGCCCCGCATACTGTCTTTTACAAAAACAGGTTTGAATAGGAGCCTGTCTCTTATACGAGCCCCACATGCACATGCATATGTACAAGTCTGTTCTAGAAAAAACTGGACATTTGGCACAGGAGCCTAACTTCGAAATAGGCACAAAAATATTAAATAATGTAACAGTACCGTGGCAATGCAAGACTCTTCAATGCACGGTGTGTACGTGGGTTCAATGCACGGTGTGTACGCGTGTGTATGTGTGTGTGTGTTTTATGTTTTGTTTTGTTTTTCCGCCCGAATCGCCCTACAGTGACTGATCGGCAGCACTTTAAACATCATTGCCGAGTCTGTAATCGACGCCAGTTTCGGAGGCGACAGGACCTGGAGCGCCATTTGAAGCACTGCCTACCTCTTCCCTAACCTCTCTGACAGTACCTCCCTTCGGGGAGCGGCGTGGCCATTTCTGGCAGCTGTCAATAGTAGTAGTAGTAGTGTGTGAGTGTGTGTGTGTGTGTGTGTGTGTGTGTGTGTGTGTGTGTGTGTGTGTGTGTGTGTGTGTGTGTGTGTGTGTGTGTGTGTGTATGATGGGGTTCATCAATGCACTGTACAGCAGCTGACAGTAACATCTGCATTACAGCGCAGCACATTGAACTGGCCAATCATCGGATGGGGCTGCATACCAGTCGGAAGGGACTCATGCGCGCCACGTAGCGGAGGCGTTGACAGAGCTGCAGCGGCACAAGAAAGTCAAACAACGCCATGATCACGTGCGCCAGGGTTGCTGCACTTAAAACAGCTCATGTGACAAGGTGGAGAGGACACTTTGGAGCGGATAGGGTTCTTGACTACATCATGTGCACTCACACCGCAGTTATCCGGACACCAAAGTTACGCCGGCACTTTGGTCAACATGTACCAGGCACCCTTTGGGTGAGTTTTAGTAGAAATATGACTACACGTATTCTTTTTGTTTCCGGCTTTAGCAGAAGAAACTGACATCACATGCCATATCTCTGGCCTTTCCCCATCAGAACATATGCGATTCAAAGTTACGGACATTTTAAAGTTACGGGCAGTACCCTGCCCCAAACCGCCTGGACAAATGAGCTATATGTGTACTGTACCTACACATGATGTAAAAGCAGAAATTTTTGGTGGTGTAATACTAACTGTTATTGGCAAGGACGTTTAGCAACGCGAAGGTTCGAAAGAAAATTCGAGTCTGGGAATGAGTACAGATAAAAGCTCGAAACTTCGAAAACTTGGACGCAAAGTTGCAGTGATTTGCGAAAGTAACCGTTTCTCTTTTCTTGGTACGCATTTGCCTACAGGGAGTATTAATTTTACAGCCCCCTGCTTGAGACTGAGCTGCATATACGGTACGGTACTATAACTTATAAGATTCAAATAACTTCGGGAAAAAGTCATTTCGCATTGCTAAACCTCACAAGTTTTCTTTTTCAGAATAGATTTTCACGAAATATCACTACCACCAAAAGTTCGAATCTTCGCATTGCTAAACGTCCTTATTGTCCAAAATCGGTGGTTCGGTGAAGGGAAATTTTCGGTAAACCCGTTTTCCAGGTAAAAGTACAGTGCGTATCGGTTATAGCGTGGTAGTGTAAAAGAATATACTGCCTACAAGAATGAACTCTCATGTTTTCATAATCATAACATGGATTTCAAGTGCACATTTATTCTTACAAGCAATTTTATCCCATAGTAGAATATATCGGTCCTAAGAATGGACTTTGTGTAGCGAAACATGCCAGATTAGTACAAAGTGTATCGCCTGTAGTAATTGCATCTGTCCAATTCCGTTCTGATCTGACTCTCGGTGCGTCGTACTGCTGCAGATTCAACTGTTGTGGTCATGTAACTCATTTTGCATAGCCACATGGTAAGACCAAGACTATATAACCCCTGGGGGTTATATAGTCTTGGTAAGCCTATGTGACTATGACCAGCCACATGCACAGAAGTACTGTCATCATGTACGATGATCTTCCTGCCCCTGCGCACATGCATGTGATATGCCACACTTGATTTATCGTATGTAAGAAATATCGGAAATAAGAATAGAAAGTCGTTTTTCAAACACCCACGCTATAACCGATACCTACTGTACTAGTACTGGGACCGAAATTTTCGATGTGTTTTATTTTCGGTAAAAATTCCGGCACCGAAGTTACCGAAAATAAAACGCCGCCGAAAATTTCTGCTTTTACAGTATAATGTAAACTATCGAGCAAGGATAGCAGGTGCCTACAAGTACATGCACAGCCATTTGTACTTGTCACTGACAACATCAACACCCGTGAACAGTCGGATCTCACCGCTTCTCCCCAATAACCTCTGGATGGGCGAGGGAACTGTACAAGCCGGGAGGACCATATGTAAGCATTGGCTGGTTGCGCGTGGATGCATTGCCGCCTGCACACTGAGCTGCTTCACGTGTTATCTTCCCATGCAAGCGACATCACACTCAAATACAGACTACGGCATGTAGTAGATCCAACCTACCATAACGTACATGTAAACTTCCATTGCCAGTCATCAATGCATGGTTAAACTGTTAAAGTGACCGAAAGGCCAGCAATCCCAGCAAAAAGGTTTCTGGCAGTGCCAGAATCCGAATCTGACTTCCACTCGTGAGCCTTACCCAGCGATTGAAGTTTGTCTGCGATGTCTGGCACATCCTTTCCCGGCAGCTGGCGTCGTTGAAGCGTTGTCAGCCACTCTGAGCACCGTGAAAGGAAGGCAAACAGAACACTGTGGACTCTGGCTTAAAGCCTACATCATACATGGAACATATTACGTATGCTTCAATGCACCCTCAGCCTAGTATTGCTGGTAGCAGTATTCAATCATGTGACAATCATGTCGCTGGCACTCCCCCGACCAGGCTAGAACAATGCTACGCTGTTCCTACTCTCATCTAAAGTGATGGTGCTGAAGTTTTTTTCTTCTTTTTTCCAAGTTGAGATCTCAGCTAGGCTGACACTGCACATTACTATAGCCGTATGTAGCGCACAGCTTTTATCTTACCTGCAGGTGGCTTGAATTCGAGCACCTTTGCCATCAAGGCCCGGTCAACACGCAGTGCCTCGTTGCAGGCCACGATCAGGGTGTTGGATGCGCCCACTCTCGGTGCACCCTTGTGATGAATTGCAATGGCTACGTGCTGAGCCCGGCCAGCTGTACTGGCTCCGGTACTGGCAGGGCTGTCGTCAGTGCTGCACTGGGTGGATATGAACAGCGGGCTGCCCGACTGGCCGGTCTCCGTGTCGGCGTCATGCTCAAACTGCGGTATGCTGTTGCCACTGCCGCTGCTGCCGCTGCTCGAGATTGAGAGGTACCTGGTGTCGACGTCCGGTCGGCGGATGCGACCCACTGACATCCAGAGGGTATCCGGGGGCTTGTCATTCGGATAGCCGGCGCAAACAACGTCGCCGTACTGCGCCAAGTTGAACACGGCTGGGTCGTCGCATGTGGAGAAGCCAGTGCACTCTGCAGGCAGCATGGACTTTTTCAAGAACAGAGCACCGAAGTCCTCTTTCCAATCGGGGGGCATGTATCCATCACACTTGCTGTACCAGCTCGGCGACACCTCGTACCAGCCACAATCGGAGGCGGCCGACATGGCGCTCTTTTGCCGGTAGATCTCAAACGTCTTGTACGGCCGGTCCTGCACACCGCGTCCACTGCCGTTCACCGCAACCTTGACGACAAGGCTCGTGGCCAAGTTGTCGGGACGGCGACAGAACAGCGCTTTAGCGGCGTCCGCACCCTCGCGAACCGAACTCATGTCCGGACATAAGACGTGTGCTGCCGTGAGAGCCACCGCGAACGCCTCGTCGTTATAGTACGCAGTCTGATTCGTGAGGAATGCGGTGCCGGGCTGGCTGAATGTATGCGTATTAGATGGTTGCATAGCGAGCGGTGGAAAGCGTGCCGTCAGCCGCAGAATGTTCCGGTACGGATCCTCCTTGGAGTTGGGAACGCGCTGTCGACGATCCCCGTCCTGGCTCACAATGCTCTCTGGGTCGGAACTAGAAAACTGAACACCGCGCGAGTGAGGCTCGTTGTGGGGCTGGAACACTACCAGCGGATTGCCAGAGAGAAGATTACCTCCATTGGTTGCCATCCTTCGCGCTTCTCACAAACGCTGCGTGGACGCTGCGGTCGGTGAGAGCGGGTGATTGCAGTTGCTAAGGACTTACGATTACTTTCTCCGCACCGCACGGAAAAGATCAGACGCAGGAGGGGGGAAAAGAATGTTTCTCGCTTCTCTCAGTTGGTGGCCTTCCTACAAATGTACATGCAAGTTACTACTAAGCCGTGAGCGCCGCAGTACCGATTGAGTTCTACAGCACAGCTCGTCCGTGCCGTGAAAAGAAAGAGTCAGACAAATGCGTGCGCCAAATCCAGTCCGCTAGCGAAGAGCAAGTCGCACCAAATGGCGCTTGAACGAGTTGTTTTGCTGCAACCGTTCCAGAATGAAGAAGAGGAAATGCGACCGGTACGCGGTACTCGGTAGTGTAGACGTCATGCTTTTTTCTAGAGCCAGGTTCGGTCAAGGGAAGTTCCCTCCTCATTTCCCTTCGAACATCTCGTCTTCGATTACACATTGCCATGTCATGGCATGCGCGGTAAGAGAATAAAATGGCGTTCGCTAACTGACGTGTTTTTGGCTTTTTGCACCTGCGAGGAAACATTTTTATCGCTGCAAAAACACGTCAACCGATCACTCCCCAAGCTTGGTCCATTTGTTCTGGATGTGTGATAAATATTCCAGTTCGGCTAGCGGTTGTATAAGTCGGACTCGGTGAAAGAAGAGCTTGGAGCGGGCTGCCGGCGCAGCGCAGTTGGAAATGAAGCACGCAACGGTTCTGTGCTTGCTCGTCATTGTAGCAGAGACGCTCGCTGGTCGGGATTTTTACCAAATCTTGGGCGTGGAGAGAGGAGCAACTACGAAGCAAATCAAGAAAGCGTATCGCAAGCTAGCTATGCAGTACCATCCTGACAAGAACCCTGGTAATCCGGAAGCCGAGGAGAAGTTCAAGGATCTTGGCGCGGCGTATGAGGTGCTGTCGGACGAGGAACAGCGGAAGATATACGATGACCACGGCGAGGATGGTCTGAAGGAGCGTGGTAGAGGCGGACAGAATCCTGGCGATGTTTTCTCATCGTTCTTTGGCGGCTTCGGCGGCGGAGGTGGCTTCCAGTTCAACTTCGGCGGTGGTCAGAACGACGGCAAGCCCGAAACGCCACGTGGCGCGGACGTGATTGTGGATCTGGAGGCCACGCTGGAGGAGATGTACGAGGGAGAGTTTGTGGAGATGACGCGCTCCAAGCCGGTGCCGAAGAAGGCGTCGGGCACGCGCCAGTGCAACTGCCGCACGGAGATGCGCACGCAGCAGCTCGGCCCCGGCCAGTTCCAGATGTTCCAGGAGCAGGTGTGCGACAAGTGTCCCAACGTCAAGATGGTCAACGAGGAGAAAAAGCTGGAAGTGGAGATTGAGCCCGGCGTGCACGACGGGCACGAATACAGGTTTGTTGCCGAGGGCGAGCCGCACATTGATGGCGACCCGGGAGACCTCATCTTCCGTGTCCGTGAGCTGAAACACAAAGTGTTTGAGCGACGCGACGACGATCTGTACACCAACGTTACCATCAGCCTCCAGGAGGCCCTGAACGGCTTCTCGTTCGATATCAGCCACCTGGACAAGCACAAGGTGCACCTGGAGAGAACGGCGGTGACGCGCCACGGCCTGCGGATACGCAAGAAGGGAGAGGGCATGCCTAACCTGGACAACAACCGCGTCGTCGGCGCGCTATTCGTCACGTTCGACGTCAAGTTCCCGGAGACGACGCTGACGGACGAACAGCGACAGGTCATCGCCTCTGTCCTGGAGCAGGCACCGGTCCAGCGCGTGTACAATGGACTGCAGGTTTAGCACCGCGGCCCAATGATCGCGCCGTGCGTGCGTGCACATGACAATTCCCAGTTTCTGGGTTGGAATGCCATCATAAAGAATCGTGCCTTGCACCAACGCCATTATAACAGACGTCTCCGTTCACGAATCTGGTGCTTTGACACTATCAGCTGGTCTAACCCTGCTTGGTTTACGCTGGTATCGTGCCGTGTGATGAATGTGCCCTTGTTTGGGGTGTGAGGCATGCCCCAACACAATGGCAAAGGCTTGACAGATATACCCTCCCCTTGAAAGCGCCTCAGTGATTGCATTATGCAAAGACTGATCTTGGGTGCATCATAGGCACTACTCTGTACATAGTGCACATAGTTGTTATATTGTGGTGGTTGTCCTCGGGCTGCGTGGCTGCTGGTAACGTGTATATTATTATACCTACTGCTAAACCTCCTTCTTCTAAAGGACCGGTTCTTTTGTGCAAATTTTATCCAAGCTCAGAGAAAGAATGCCCTTTCCGAGCCTTCGAATACAGCTGTGGTACAATTGTATAGTTTTGCTTGCCCAAAACTCAAATTCGAATATCCCAACTTCTAAAGCTACCAACTTTTAGTGCTGCTGTTAAAAGCCATCAATGCAATCATTGATATTTTCCTTTTGCATGTGGATTCTCTCGCTGATTTTCTCTGCTATTTATAATTATGACACCCGGCCGATTCTCAGACAGGCATACCCATTCGTAACGTGCCGCTTGCATCTGGTGCGGTCTGCGCATGCATGCGTGTATGGGTGTAAAGTTGTAAACTGTATACCGGGTACATGTACCCCATCAATCCAACAGGTGACATGCACATTGCTATCCTGGTGTCATCTGTACCCATTCTAGATAGACACAGTTTGTCTGATACGTTCCGGGCCTACTACCCCGAAACAAAGCAAACACAGCCTGAAAACCTAGCTGGCTCCAATTCTACTCAGTCGTGGGGGGTGGGGGCAAGGGAAGCATTATTTCTTGTCTATCCGTCTTTCTTCTCTTTTTCTTCAGTCCTTCTTTTCTTTTCTTGCCGTGGTTGGCTATCACTCCTCTCCCGCACTTTGCGTGCCAATTGGTCATGGACCACGAGTTGAGTGAAATAAAATAAATAAATTATAATTTACTGGTATACCGAAATGCACCTAGCCAGTTTGTACACACCGTCTTTTATGGGAGTACGGTGACATTCCCGCTCCTGGCCTTCACCATGGACTAGGCAAAGCCTGATTTTGCCAGGGAAGTTTCGATATTTTGGCGCAACATTTTTCTGGCTCGTCGTTGATAATTACTATTATTTTGCTCCAATCTGAGGCCAAATTTGTGCCACGTGTGGGAAAACTGACCGACAGTGCGCGTGTTGGCTAAAATGAGAAAAAGTAAGTCACGTTCAGGAAAAAATGTGCGAACATTAGTCACGTGCACTGTATAAGTTTAAAATCTCCCAAATTCCAGCGAACATACCGATATGTTTGCTCCATTTTGCCAGCAAATTCCCTTGTCAAAATTATTCGATATTTTGCTAGCAGAATTGCAGCATTTGCTGGCAAAATGGGCTATGTCCATGGACGCTGGCATGAGCATCATGTAAGTTTCCATCGAATAATATGAACTAGGCTTATAGCACATCTACTGCAGCTAGCGGGTAAGCACAATGGCCGAGTGGGTAATACATGAACTATCCCCATTGTGTTTCCAGCTACGGTAAGTTCCCATTTTCCCTGATATTCTCGGGCTCACAGGATTGCATTGTACTAAAAAGTATAAATGTGCATGAGCCCATGTCATTTTGGTACCCGGTATTAAAGGTAATAACCAGTAATTACACATCATTGCATCACAGACAGTACCGTACAGCCCTCTCAGTCTGCATACAACTATGTCATTTTGAACGCACAGGCAACCAGACATGCTCCGCCGTCTGCTTGCGTTCGCACAGACAACCAGAAATCCTCTGATATGAAGACGAACACATATTGTCGTTCAGGTAGCCCACAAGCATAGCATATCTATGTGGCGTCTTGTGCGTTGAATGAAAAAGTCAGTTGAATGAAAGCCTATCATAAAATAGAGAAGTAACACAAAATTGCAGAAAGAAGAAGAGACAAAGCTGCCAGACAAATGATGTACTTCGAGTACAGGTGTGAGCAAAGCAAGAGAGAGAGAGAGAGAGAGAGAGAGAGAGAGAGAGAGAGAGAGAGAGAGAGAGAGAGAGAGAGAGAGAGAGAGAGAGAGAGAGAGAGAGATAGATTGATAGATCGATAAATTGATAGATTGATAGATAGATCGATAGATAGAGTGAGAGAGAGATAAATAGAAAGAAACCAAGGACATTGTGATCGGTAAACAGGGTGCTGTGGACACACCACCGGTGTTCAGGACATGCAAAGCAGTGACGTGAAGAAATATGTGCCATTCGGCACGATCCAGTACATGTAGCGGCAAAGCGAGTTCCTTCGACACAGGTCGAAAACGAAACAAGAACACTAAGCGATAACACCTATCCAAGTACCATTCTCCCGTCGTGACAGCGCGCTTGCAGCGCGAGTGCGAACACTCTAAATGGCAGTCCGATATAACAATACTAGCTCCGAGGACACAGAGAGGTCCGAGTAGAAAGAACGTGGAAGTTAGACAAATGTAGGTGAGCAGCGGCACCACCGTGCCACCCTGCTCAAGGACTACAGTACACAGATGAGCAAAACAAGAACGTCAAATAAATGCGACAGAACAATGCAGAATTGTGGATAGAAAACGTAATAGGTACAAGAGAAAGAAAAAATAGACTCAAGGCCGATTTCCAGCGATAATATACGAGCTGAAAGTGGTCAAGCGAGATGCACTCACGTTAGCAGATTAGGCAACTTTTTTGATTTTACGAACAAAGAGAACGCTGAGCAGGAAGTAGAGCGCTGTGAGCCCGAACAGGATCGTGTAGCCAAGGCCGTAGGCACAGCCAAGCTTTCCGGACGAGCCGATATGCACTTCCTGGAAGGCGTGCACGATGATACCGGCAATCGGTGTGGCAATGATCTGTGGCAAAACCAGCGCCTGCATCGAGCACATGGGGAGGCAATTGCACGATCAGTTAGATAGTTACTGACTGACAACCGGTCAAGCAAAAGGAAGGTGTGGTATCACATTGTGAGGTGGAAACAGCAGTGTGATCCAATACCCTGACCTCCCTACAATGGTCAAACCCACACCCACATACATACATACACACACCCACCCCCCCCCCCCCCCCCCCACCACCACACACACGCATACATACATACATACACACGATCGCAAACCACCCACCCACACGAGTACTTGCACTTGCTCATTGCCGGAAACTGGTGACATGGGTCAAAACCATACCTGATGCCAGACAGCCAAATCCTTGGCGCGCTCTGCCGCATTTGGCAAGACATCGAACACCATTGCCAGATCAACAGACACGAATGCTCCATAGCCCAGACCTGGATGATCACATTGGTAAGAAAAGGAAGAAAGGAAACAAGCCAGGTCACAGGAATCCTTCACAAAGTATGTCTTCTACATCACACAGCAGCTACAAAGTACGTATTGTTGTGGACTTTGAATCCGTTGAAGAGTCAAGTGGCCACTGGGCACTGGCCTTGCAGTCGTGAGCACTGCTGCTCCATTTTTACAGTCAGTACGTTAACTATAGTGTGTGTACGTGCTACAAGCAGTAAGGCTCTACTAAGGTTGCGTTTGGTTGGGCATTTTCAGAACGTAAATGACAACCATTCTGGAACGGGAATGGGTAAGAATCACCTGACCAAACTAACGCGACAGAATCAACTCGGAGTCACTTGACATAACAATTTCATGATGTGGAACGGCGGCTTTCTTCCCTTTTACCCGACTCTAGTTTCCTTGAGAGAGTCAAGGTACTTCTGAGTGCATGATTTGAGGCACTTGAACCTGATGCTACATTGTTTGGCTCGCAGCAACCATTATCATTTTTGATTCCGGAATGGGAATGCTCATTCCAGCATGTGAGGTGGAATGATCATTCTCCAAAAGAATCATTCTCAGCGATTCCCATTCTGGAATGGGACCAACCTAACGCACTTTTTGACCAACCAAACGGGCGAGAATGATTCGTGATTCCAAGTGATTCCCATTTGGGAATGTGACCAACCAAACGTAACCTAAGAACCCTGGCACCGGTCATCCCATCGGATTTCAATGTCCATGGCAGTAGCTGTTTAGTGATTGAGTAGGCTTGTATGTGCACAAGAGTACGTAACCAAGAGTTTGCAACTCCTATCGAGAGGTGCGATGAGTCAGCCACGTGGCAGGTTTTTATTATTATTGCGTCTTCTAAAGCACATACAAATAGGAATAGATGATGTGGGTAGTGCTCCCTGGTACACATCAATGAGCTGCAGCACATGCAGAGCGTCCTCAGCGCAGCGGGAGAAGCCCGTTTTGAAAGCGTCGCAAATCAGACAGAACATTCCCTTACCCAGAATGACCATGGTGAGTGCTGCCAGCCAGTAGACGCGCGTGAATGTCAATATCAGGCAGCACGTCGTCATCGTGGCACCTGCAGGACAGATCGCGTGCATGCAAGCAAGTGGTTAGCGCAAACGCACTGTTGAATTCCAGTCACAGAACTTTTAGTTTTAAAGCTAATATGCAGAAGATGAGCACACCCAATGTGTCCTCATTACACATATTCATGCTGGCCACATACCAGAGACATAGACGAAGATCTTCCTCCTCTGGAATCTGTCGGTGAGAATGCCGCCAACACCGGATCTGCAAAAGGGAAGACGGGAAAGGAACAGAGCCAGGTGAGGAGGCCTTGACCAGCAGCCAGGCATTCTAGCAACGCTACATGGATGCAAAACGTGCAGCATAGCATGCTACTACAAGTAGTGGTGCTGGTATACAGACGGCAGACATACATGTGTGTACTGGGACACTACTTAGAGTGTGCGTAACATGGATGCAACTAATAGAGAGGTTAAGATGTTCGTTATTTCTGACGCAACGCGCAATTTCATGTCAAATTTGGCGCAAAACTCCAAGTTTCGACGTGAGCTGCAGGTCACTCGCGTTGTTTTCCAACGCGCGAGCCAAATAACGCGAGCTGAACTTTCGCGTTACTTCTGAAACAACGTGTATCTTAACCTCTCCAATGAAGTTTCACCCCCCCTTGTTGACGCACTGGTCGTGAGACTAACCACCTCAGCCTTGTTTGAGTTTAGAGTGCTTGGTAGGACTGCTGGTGTAGAACATTTAAAACAATTTAGTGGATTTTTTTGATGTTTGATGTTAAAAAGTACATTGTACAGTGTGGTGCCAAATCGCTAAACTAGAATATACATTACAGTTCTCAGATCTTAGGTCATACCCAACTGCACACATCTGCAGGTTACAATGCTCGCCTGTCACGCGGCAGACAGTTCTCAGTACTGCAGTCGATGCACCGGTACTTACGAGACAGCACCGGCCACCATGAACGGTATGAAGAGCAGGGACACTGCGCGCATGGCCGACATGCAGGCAGGCAGGCGCACGACGTCATCCAGCCAGTACTCCAGGAATCTGGACGCAGAATGCACCAGTCGGGGAAAAAGAAAAAATATCCTCAATACAGGAACACAATAGCATTCATTGTGTGCTGGCACTAGACAAAGTCATGACGTGTTACTGTTGTTGTCCCTGCCCTTTTGGCATGTGTGTGCCCCTTTTGGCACGTTGGTGCGGACCGCGCGCGGTCTGCGCCGGTTTCATGATTACCCCATCCTCATGGATAGACTTCATTTCACCTAGGGGGGCGTCCGATCATGGTGAGCCACGGTCTGCCTGGTGGGCTGGTGGGATCCAGCGCTTATTTGTATCGGTTCGCCTTGCGGGTGTTCGGTTTCCGTGTTTTGCTGGCTGGCCTTTGTGCGTCCCAGTAGGGTTCAGGACGGTGTTTTTTTTTTGTGTTTCGTGAGCGGATGTGTTTCACGCGTGATATTCAGGTTCAATCCCTGTGGGGGTTTTTTCAGGTTAGAGACCTGTGGGTTTTTCAGGTCAGAGGCCTGTGGTTATTCAGGGTAGCGCCCTGTGGTTTTTCTATGTTAATTTTTGTTTGCGTATTGGTGACCGATTTGTTTGTGTGCTATCTGGTGTCCTCGTGGATAGACTGCCCCTGTATCCGTAGGCGTGTTCAACGTTGCTGTTCTGCCATTCCTTCTTGTGGTTTTTCTTGTCTGAATTTTGGCTCCTAGTATTGCTGAGATGTTTGCGTCAGTCCGTGTTTCTTTCTTTGTGTGTGTGTCTCTGTGAGTTTTCGTAGCCCCATCGGCTGCGTGTTGGTTTTCCGGACAACTCCTGTGGTGTCAGATGACTGGTCACCCGGTTCAGCTGCCGCGGTCTTCGCAGTAGCGTCGGTTTGCCTTGGCTTCGCACCAGGGCGAGGTGGTTGTTTTCCGGGGGCCCACGCCTGAAAGATGGCGGTTCCCTCTATGGGTGGGCCCAGTCTGTTTTCTTTCCACCCCTTTGCTTTGGCTTTTCCCCCGTTGTCCGGAGTTACTAATGTATCCTACTGTTTTGGCCCTGCGTATCTGCATGTGTATGTTGTTCACATTTGATTTCTTTTTCTCCTGTCTGTCTTCTCTTTTTGTTTTTCTTCTCTCCCATCCTCAGGAGAGGATGCATTTTTTTTCATGTGGAAGTATGTTGTCCCTGCCCTTTTGGCACGTGTGTGCCCCTTTTGGCACGTTGGTGCGGACCGCGCGCGGACTGCGCCGGTTGGAGATTATCGTACATGTTCTTGTTGTTGTGCGCATGCTTGCATGCTTATCGTGCGCATTCTGGTTGTTTTGGGTGCCCTCTTCCTGAGACTCTCCTTGGAACAACAATGATAATCTGTCCTCTGAGTGTGGCGTACGTGTGATGTATGAATAAGAGAGTAATCGGAAGGGCTATCGTGCGAGGGAATAAACCCCCCGACGACACTGTCACTGTTTATGCGGTGATGAAACTTAGGAAAAAGCTGCATCATGCAGAGCATATTCTATGGGTCCATGAAGAAGAATTGAATTATCGAAAGAAACACAACCCATCCACAACCGTTAACCACCGGTTCGTTGCACAGAAACGTTTCATCAGTGACTACTTCTGGTATGCTAGATGAGCGAAGATAATGGGCGAAGCAGCTCGCGGTAGCAGAAGAAATAGAATCAAATGTGCAGAAAAATATGTGCTCACCCGACGCTTGAGGCAAGACCCATCTGTAGCAAGAAACGCGTGATGAACACCCAGCTAAAGTCGGATGCTGTAGTGACCACCACAAGGACATACACACAACACCCATTACGGGCGGTCAGTACATAATAAGCACATACCGTACTTTCGCTCGCAAAAGCACATCTGCCTATGTGCAAAAGTTGCTGTTTTTGGCAGAATCGAGCGATCAGTTTTGCTCGTGTACAAGCACGCGCAATAATATGGATGAACAGCGGATAAAAAGTGTATGGCCCTTTTTGGCTGCATAGACCAGTCTTCATCCACTTTCATGTGTGCTAGTACAGTTTGTATGGGCATTGTCTGCCGGACTTGGGTGAATAGTGATTCTGACATATCAACGTCAGTGCATCAACCGGTGAATTGTGTAATAAACTGCTTGGTGCTGAGTGATTGTGTTCATACTTTAGCGCACGTGCTTTTGTGTGCGGAAGTGCAGTACATACATACACAGGTGTACTGCACAAGAGAGCAAGTTGGTTCACAGGCAACGGTTCTAATCCAGTCCTGTCAAGAATCACAGACATAGCTAGAGCCGAGCAACACCGGTGATCCATGTACACGCGTAGCTTGCGTACATGAGTACAATTATGATCGTCTCTCGACAGTTGTAGGGTAGTCACGCAAGGTAAACTCACACTGCGTGCACAATGACCACATCAGATAGACACAGGTGTACAGCTGAGCTGCCTACTATCAGCAGTGAGTCGGCAGTGTGAACGTGGTAGTACCGAGAAAATAGATGACAGATACAGTACCGCTGCTCTATCATCTCCAAGGTTGTGACTTACATTTAAACGGACTAACGTAGCCCCAAAGCAGATCCTTGATAGCTGAACATAAGAGAGAGAGAGAGAGAGAGAGAGAGAGAGAGAGAGAGAGAGAGAGAGAGAGAGATAGAGAGAGAGAGAGAGAGGAAAGAAAGAAAGAGAGGTAGGGGGAGTGAGAGTAAGAGAAACCTGTGCTGTGACTCCGAGTTAAATTATGACCATCATGCATGTGTACAGTGGGCTATATGGTTTGTATGGAGGCTCCGCAGAACGAGCACGGCTTTTATACGCAACCATGGTACACACCGGGTCTCCATATTTGTTCATCCAACTTTAATATAATATTATCTCAAGTATATGAGCTATCCTTCAACCTCTCTTCAATGAATCTGTCATTGGAACCTCTCAGCCTGTCAACCCCACGGCCGCCAGGCTCAATCATCATCCAAATGCCACCCTCCCAATGTTCCCAACAACAACAACAACAACAACAGATCACATGACAAACTTACACATTTGCATTTTCCTTGCAGGCAGAGTGTGCGTTGGTGCCTCCTGTATGGTTGCGCAGGTGACGCTAGTGCTGATGAAGCAAATAGCTGCCAAGACGGCAAAAGTTCCTCCGACTTGAATTTGCTGCAAGAGCAACAACAGGCCGCACATGAATTCACGGTGAGAGGGGGAGAATGGGATGCCATGACCCAATTCACCGTGAGAGGGGGAGAATGGGATATGCCATGACCCAAAGCAACACAACAACAGATTAGGGGCTATGTCGATGTCTACAAACACCTATTGTATCCGAGTAACACATTGACCTGGCAGTACCCCCCCCCCCCCCATAGATACCACCACCACCAATGCTGCCGCCACCAGCACCGTATACACCCACATGCGTGCCACTCGGAGTAAGCATTGCTGCTGATATGGCCGTTTGCTTCCGCAAGTCTCCTGGGCCACACTACAATCGACCTACTACTTTGTGGTCAACACATACCCACCCACAGCAGAGATGCAAAGGTCAAGGAGTGCTTGTCTATAGTGGCACACCCGCCATAACACAACCAGTCAACTCACATCAGCAAACATTCCCAGGCCAGCACCGATTAAGTTTCCTGTCAGCATCATGACGCCTACAACACCAGAGCTGAAACCTGAGCAGAACACGCAACATGCCAGTGCAGAAGACAGGTCATAGGTCTCACAGTGCTTTGGCACGTACCGCATTTTCCAGAGTATAAGCCGCACCCCTATCTTTTGCCACGAAATACAGACATCTACTCCATTATCACAGTTAATTTGATCATCGGAATATAAGCCATACGCCTTTTTTTGGGAGAATTTGGAGTGTTCAAAGTGCGGCTGATACGCCAGAAAATAAGGAAGGTCTCAAGTATATAATACACTCATACGTTGTTTATCCGGGCGGTCTGGGACCGGGCACTGCCTGTAACTTTGAAGTGTCCGTAACTCCGAATCACATACATTTTGATGCGGAAGGGTCAGGGATATGGCATAATTATGATTTCACTATTTCCACAAAAAGCGACAAACAAGTACAGTCAACTTGGCTAATAACGACCGTGGATATAACGACAATTTGCGAATAACGACAGAATTTCCATGCCCAGAGCAAAGTCCCATCTAACTGTAATATCTATAATCTATAGACTTCGGGTATAAGGACACTTTGCGAATAAGGACACTTTTCTGATGCCGCGCCGAGTGTCTTGATACGCAAAGTTGACTGTAGTAATATTTCCACTGAAACTCACCCAAAGGGTGACCGGTAGACCGAAGTGCCTGTAACTTCGGGGTCCGAATAACCGAGGCATGAGTGTAAATTATTCTCTAGTGCAACCATTCAAGTTGAAAAGGGAAACAATGAATTAGCACACCTATTAAACTAAAAAAGTTACTCGTAGGGGCGGGAACAAATTCCACCTCCAATAGTCATCAGGTTGAAGGAATGCAAAGCGGAGAACACCCTGCGCTCTTCACTGTTCGTCTTGCCCAGATGAGTTTTTTTGTTTTTCGTGTGACCTGTATCTCGATAAGGACACATGCAGATGTGATACCCGCAGCTTGGCATTCCAATAGCTGCACAGATTAGCCTACCTTTCAGACATGCTTTGAGCAGAGAACTTGTCACGATTTGAGCTATCCGCTACTACATGTATCTGATGATGCATCTGTGACACCTACACATTTCTTGCCACTGTGGTGCAGTGGAGTGATCTATTATTTGCTGTATTGAATACTATTCATTGCCTATTTCTCCAATCAAACAATGCTGTCTCTGTCTAAGCTGAGCATTACGGGAACAGGCCACGCTAACGATTCGTTGATTTGCTGCACTCCAGCAAGTGCACAGCGGCAGAGTTTGCCCTTGCAGAAGTGATGCTCAGACCCGGGGCTACACAACAGATGTCCTTCGGACTCCTATCCACAGGGATACGTTTGACTGGTTAGCAGCATACAAGTTCATGTACTACAGTGCTGGCCAAAGAAATCCAACCTCATGAATAAGATAGCGTTGCCGGGCGTTACGCAACCCTAGCACTACACACACTGGTCTGTGCACTCTAAAGCGGCGCTACTTTATTCATGAGGTTGGATTTCTTTGGCCAGCACTGACTGTACACACAGTGTGGAGTACACTTACCTCTTGCCGACGGATGTGTCTTGTCAGCAATCAGACCAGTGTATGCCGTCGTCATCATGGTATTGCCGAAGAAGAACACACCAATACACAGGATGTACAGGCCTGAGAAAAACAGACAAGCAGAGGATGTGACAGCACCGCATAGAGCACTGATTAGAAATTGCAGAGGCATACACTTCTCTGCACAACTACTGATTCTGTACGGCAAGATTGAAGCCATGTTTCTTTTCAGTTTGGTGGTGAAAGTGCAGGTGAGTTGGGTTGTGAATTTCCTAACTCGGGGGGAGGTAATGTTTTTGTGTGGAGTAATGCTACAAACACCTAAACCAGTCCTGGTTCAACGGTACCGCTCCCTTCCTCCCTGTTGAATGCATGTCAAGCCCGCAAACACCCACACCCACACAGCACTTCCAGGCAGAGGTACATGTACATTTTTTTATAGTTACGTACCGACATCTCCCGAGTTGATGTCCGTCGGGAGAGCGATACGAGGGTCGGTGAGGTTAGAAGATGGGCACCGGGGCTTGTGAACGTTACAACCGTCAGTCCCATTCTTTACTTGATCTGTTGGCAGCCTGTATGCATGGCACGATTCAGAGCAAATATTCCTTTCTTCACAACAACAACAATGTAGAGCACAATTAATATAATAAGACATATATGCACATGCTAGTGCAGGCGCGTAACACCGCCATAAGAGGTAGGCCGGAAGGAGGGGGAGGGTCCGGGGGTGTACCACGGGACATTTTTGAAATTAGGGTGCAAAATCCTGCATGTTTTAATGGTTCACGTCTTCAGATAGAGAGCGTATTGCACCCACTGTCTAGTCTCTGTAGTGCATTGAGATTTTGTTGATCGAACATGAAATGGATACACAGACAAAGCCAGGCCAAGTACATGGCGAGATGTCGCCAGAAGAACGTCTTCAGGTAGAGAGCGTATTGCACCCACTGTCTAGTCGATTTTGTGGATCGCACATGAAATGGATCATGTGACACAGACAAAGCAGGCCAAGTACATGAGAGAGTGGACGATGTGCAGATCGACACGGCCTGCGGGTACTTCATTACGAGCACACCATTCTCAGACATGTGAGTGCAGTAGGGGATCAAAGCTTGCACTCCACTGGCAAAACGGGCCGCAAAGAGTGCAGTGGAAACGTCGTGCTTACAGGCCTTGAGATTTGCTGAAGAGCGGCACAACCAAAGCGGCCAGTGCGAGTCCAATGCTGGAAGAGGGGAGAACACATACAGCAGCAGCAGCAGCAGCAGCAACAGTGCACTAACATTTAATTTAATCCGATTAGACATGTGCAACTGTTTATTGGGATGTCAAGCTCACATTTTTGCATGTGAAGAATAGTACTGTTGTCAGCCTGGACTGGATTTTTACATGTTGCAACAACGTCATTTGTACAAGTTATGAGAGCCACTCACGAGCTCAGCAAACCCGGAGAAATGTTCACGAGCGGAATGCTGTCAGCATAGCTATGGCACGCTTGCGCACGCACACATACACTCCGACACACACACGCACACACACACGCACACACACACATTGAGCTATCAACACAGTACAAGTATTCGCACCAATGTGCAAGACCATACTACTGTATTGGCAGTGAGTGAACACAGGATTGCTTACCAGGATAAGATAGTACCGATAACCATGTAGATTCGACGGCGGCCATATTTCGAGCGGCAGTTGTCGCTATGAACAAGAAGAAACGAGCCAGAAACATAATCACATATAAACATCTGAAATGATGAAGTAACTAGTTGTCACATAACCTAGCTACACATGAGCATACGCAATATAAATAAAGAACCCAATTTCTGGCACCCCGACAAATAGAGTAACCTGTCTAAGCGGATCCTGGTAACTCATACTGACCAACCACCACAATCTCAATCCCTTGACAAGACATGCAGAATCCCTGGAGTTCTCTCAAAATCCCTGGATGGCACAAAAACAAGTGAAAAAGAGCTTTTCCCGCCAAAAAAACGTTCGACTCTGCAGCTGTGCGTACAGCACAGATCGACCCTGTAGTGCAGTTTGATCAGTCGGCGCCCGCCTGTCACTTTGTCAGTGCAGATCTTGCATGGTCAGGTCTTTAAAGTGCTGTGCACAGTTCGAAGTGCGAATGAGCACCGTACATACCTTTGAAAAAAGTTAAAAACTGGGACGTTCGGGGAGAAACCATGGAGTTTTCAGGAAATTCCTGTATCAGACAAAACTTTGGTTTTTCCGGGAGTTTGCTTGAAATCCCCGGGACCCCGGGAGGAGTGTTGATTTTCCGGGATTTTCCCGGGAAAAACGGGAGGGTTGGCCAGTATGGTAACTTTTCAGGCGGAGTGTCCTTCTAAAACCATTCTTCTAAGAGATTAACCAAATCAAGCCCCCCCCCCCCCCTCACACAACATTAAAAGTGACGTGCTCATTGTTCGAGTAGATCCCGTGGTTACCGTTTGCTAGGTCGATGTATTGTGTGCTGACCCGGCACACGTGAGCATGATGCTAGTACTGACTAGACACTGTTAGGACCTGTCTAGACATGCGATTGTCTGTACCGTAGCATTAATCTAGTACATGCATGGCATGCAATACCTGCCGGATCATATGACGGAACTGGTTTGCTGATTGGCTGTAGGTCTGTTCGCTTTATCAGCTGTGCTTTTGTTGTAGTACCAGTTTCACATTGGAAAGGAGTTTTTTTGTCCTGGAGAGAGGACAACAGCAGAGTTGGTATGTCCGTGCCAAGGCACGATGATGTGTGCATACTATTAGTCTAGAGGTTTTCGTTCAGTTACGAAGAACAGAAATGAATACAGTCTTCTTTGGAGTCCAGATTCCGTGACCGAACAACTGGTCCTTCGAGCCGGATCCGAGTCCGAGGCAGTAATCGGAGTCGATGGAAAAAAGAACGAGCGTCAGGTCGACGAAGGGTAAGCCTCCTTCGCGATATGGAGAGTGGGATAGTGTCTCCCAAGTTTCCAAGAAATCCAGTAAGGAAGCCGAACTGGAACTCGCGGCCAGGATACGCGAGAGAGAGTTGCAAGCTGCTGAGGAATTAGTCCAGCTGGAGGCTGAGGCGGTCGAAAAGAGATTGGAACTCAACAGAGAGTTGGTGACCAAGCGATTGGCTGCAGACAGAGCAGCGCTGGAGTTGGAGCTCTCAGAGAAAGGCTCCACCGCGAGCAGCCGCAGGAGTCGGAGAGATGAAAGTGCATGGAGACTGTCCCACGCAGGTGTTGGACAAGGGCTCACGACAGAAGCACTCGTGCGCCATCATCAACTCCTTGAGAAGCTCAAAATTACCAGCGCAGAGTCTGGGAGAGCAGGGCGCGCCTTCAGCGTGGTAGACGCAGTTGACATCCAGCCGGCCAAGCCAAGACAAACACCAGCTGGTAGTCTGCCTCCATGCATGAGTGCTGTGGATGTGGAACGAAGAAGTCCCCAGAGCTGGCTACCAAGTAAGACCAAAACAGTGGAAGCTGGTCGAAGTGACGGACTGCCATCCACAGTGACACAAGAGAGGTTTTGCAGAGCGAACGTTCGCGCGAATTTTCGTTTGACGTCACGAAAAGCGAAACTTAGTGCGAACGTTCGCAGTTTTGAACACGAAAGTTGAAGGAAACGCGAAACAAACTTTCGCAGTAATTTTCGCTCTTTGTGGACCGCTGGTCAGCCTGGTGCACGGTGAGCGACCCTCATTTCGGCCTCAATCTTCATGTTTGTGCTTGATCTCTACTCTTGGCTTGGTCCGCGAGTGCTAGCTTTCCGATACTTGTGGCAGCCCGTGTTGCTTCATCTCCAGAACCATCTCCGATCTCCTGCTTGCTCGTCTTCTCACTGCTCAGAGTCGGTTACATCAATAATGCCTTTTTGGATCTCAGGTGTTGATGCACAAGATTACGGCACAAGCCAACCCGGCCCGTTTGTCTGTGGGTCTCCGGCCATGGACAACGTAGTGAAAGAGCTCTCGTCTCAGGCCGTGACTCAGAGTACCTGGTGCGCATGCCGCCACTCGCAACAAACAAATAATTGGATGGAGACCACTTCTCAAAAACAAGCAAGTGCACACGAAAATTTCTTGGAGCGAGAAAGATGCAAACTTTCGCAGTAATTTTCGCTCTTTGTGGACTGTTCGTGCACGGTGAGCCACCCTCAGTCCTCATGTTTGTGCTTGATCTCTACTCTTGGCTTGGTCCGCGGGTGCTAGCGTTCCTATACGTGTGGCAGCCCGTGTTGCTTCATCTCCGGAACCGTCTCCGATCTCCTGCCTGCTCGTCTTCTCACTGCTCAGAGTCGGTTACAACAACGATGCCTCTTTGAATTTCAGGTGTTGATGCGCCAGATTACGGCACAAGCCAACCCGTTTGTCTGTGGGTTTCCGGCCATGGACAAGGTAGTCAAAGAGCTCTCGTCTCAGGCCGTGACTCAGGGTGCCACCACTCGCAACAACAAAATAATCGGATGAAGACCACTTCTCAAACAAGCGAGTGCACGCGAAAATTTCTTGGAGCGAAAAACATGCAAAACACAAATTTCGCGCGAACGTTCGCAATAGTTTTCGCAACCCGGAACGCGAAAATCATTGCAAACGTTCGCTCTGCAAAACCTCTCTACACAGTCCATTGTCATTGATGGTCCAGTGAGCAGCGACAGCGCTAGGGGCAGTCAAGTACATGCAGGTATGTCTGGTGATAGTGCAGTGAATCCTGTGTTGCAGAGTAACAGTTTTGCCCCAGTAGCTGTGGCTAATACTAGTAACAATGCACAACACAGACCAGGAAAGATGGTCACTGTGCAGTCCAGCTTTGCAATTTGCACCATTCACCACAACTAGTCTGAAGCCACAACTGCCCCAAGGCCCACAGTATCAGACACCAGCTAACCAGAAGTATCACCCTGCTGTGACATCTCAAGTGCAGCCAAGTAGCTACACAGTCCAGCAGAAAGTGCCTAGCCAGCTTGGACAGGCCAGAGTAGTGAGTGCAAGAGGTCAATCAGCCAGACCCACAGCCAGCAGCCAGAATCCTGCAACTTTCTACACGCCATATTATGTACAGCAAAGAGCACCAGCAGCAGCACAGAGTCAGTTGGCTACGCAGTAGTGTTTAAACCGAAACACGGATTCTTCGAACGAATAATCTATCGAATAATTTCGCCCTCCATCGAACGAATAATCTATATTCTATCATACGCATGATGGCATTTTTCAACACTTTTTCAGCACTTTTTAAGTAGTTTTTTTTAATTTTTTGCTGATTAATATCGGATTTTGTTATGTGGAGGTGCAAAACCGGTTAACCTATACTCGTACCGCCAAGAGTACCTAACCCCCCAGACTGCAGAGTGTGCAATGCCTGATCCAGCTCTACATAGGGTCTTGGTCGAAAGTGGTCAAAGACCGAAAATCACATTCACTGCATCCATGTTTCCCTCGTATGGAAAGAACATAAGTATTACTAGATACCGATAGGAGATTAAAACTTGGAGGAGAGGAGATTGAGAAGAAATACTACGAGCAGATCTACGCCGTGCAAATATCAGCAGGGTCAGCACTGAGCATAGACCTTTTTTTGTTTTTGTTTTGTTTGTTTTTTTCGATTTTTGATAATTCCTACGACTATTCGATTATTCGTTCACCCCACGAATATTCTAAATTATTCGATTATTCGTTTCAACACTACTACGCAGTATAGTCAGCCAGATGGACAACGTCCATATACATCACCAGCTGCTTACCCTCATGCCGGGACATACAGATCCCATTTGAAGCCGTTGAAGCTACCGCAGTTTGACGGAGCGCCAGTGAACTATGTCCCTTGGAGACAGAAATTCATGAGTTTGGTGGGAACAGACCCCCACACAACTGAGCACTACAAGATGGCGAGACTGAGAGAGTCACTCGCCGGAGGGAGTGCCGAGGAACTCGTCCAGGACATTATGGACGGAACAGGCGCCTTTCAAGCAGCATTGGTGGAAATAGAAGCCTGGTATGGCGGTGAGGAGCGACAACTTGAGCGTCACGAGAAAGATATCCTGACGTGGCCCAAGATTGACAACGCTAAAGCCACCGACAAGCTAAAGAAGTTTGCTCTAAAGCTGCGGAGTACCCTGGTCAACATGAAGTCGTGTGGCATTGCTCCCGGCCTTGAACTGTAAACTAGCAGCAACCCAGAAAATACCACCGACCCTCCTGCTGAGGTATTTTGAGCTGCATGAGGACTGCGATGTTTGCAACTTTGCAGACTGGCTACTGAATCTGGTTCATATGCTGAGGAAGGTAGAGGAGAGGCAGGCAGAGACCCACAAGACACCCACATCAACGGCAGTGCTGCAGAAGTCACAGAGCCGACACGATCATCGACCACATAGAACGTTGGCAACTACAGCAGGAAATGAGACGCCAAAGGCCAGATGCAAGAAGTGCGGAGAGGGCCACGGCTTAGCTGACTGCCGGGCATTTGCCACCTTGTCAACAGCAGACAGGTGGAAATTCGTTAAGCCGTTGAATGTGTGTACCTGCTGCCTGCGCGTTGCTGGCCATCGTTCTGCTGAGTGCAGGAGCAACCCATGTGCTAAGTGCGGTGGAAAACACCATGACATGCTCCACATTGTGAGACAACAGCAGAGCTACAGCAGGAAGACGGACAAAGAGCCAGCCAGCATGAATCAAAGCAATCGACTGGACAGTCCACAGCGAGGCGGTGGATCACGTGAGAAGCCACAGCGTCCATCCGACACAGCAGCGAAGGCCACAGCAACCACCTGCACCGCTAACACCGGGGTCCATGTTGCATTCATGACTGTGCCAGTCAAGCTGCAACACCAAGACCAGACGTATGATGCAGTGGCACTGATTGACTCGGCATCATCCACCAGCTATATCAGGGCTGACGTTGCTGAGAGCTTGGGTGTCAGCGGGCCAGATGAGCAGCTCACCACCTCAGTCCTAGGCGGAACGACAGTAACAGGCCGCCGGCAGAGAGTCAACCTGACCATCCACAGTCATGATGGTGACTACAGCACGGCGTTCCAAGCATGGACCCAGCCCGACATCACAGCTCCGCTACCGGCCGTTGACTGGCATCAGATGAGCCAACAATTCCCCCACCTCCAGCAACTACCGCTACCACAGGTCGACTCGCGGCAGGTAGACATCCTGATTGGTATCGATGTCATTGACGTACACCGAGTGCTGGAGGAGGCCACTGGGCGCGCGGGAGAGCCCATTGCACGCCGTCTACCACTCGGCTGGGTTTGCTTTGGGCCGGTGGACATGCCGACGGGTGCCACATCCGAGTGCACGCTGCACGCATCTGCAGTATGTGAGCCATTGCTCGATACACTGGTCGCTAAGTTCTGTGAGGATGACCAGGTGGGCATGCAACCACAATCTGACAAGACGATGGCTGAGATAGAAGCAGAGCACCTCGTGGCTGACAGGATGAAAATCACTGATGGTCGTGTCACGACAGGCATCCCTTGGATTCGGCCAGACCACCAGCCACAGCTGCCGCCAAACCGAGCCATGGCAGAGAAGCGGCTGATCAGCCTCGAGCGATCTCTTCTCAAGAAGCCGGACATCCAAGCAGAGTACGACAGAGTCTTCCAATCATACATCGACAAGGGATATGTGGTCCGCTGTGAGGATAGTGCCGCCAGACACGGTGACCAATGGCTACTACCGCACTTCCCTGTCGTGCGCCACGACAAGGCGACCACGAAAGTGAGGGTTGTCTTCGATGCAGCGGCTCGTCAGCGGGGTGTGTCTCTCAATGATGAGATGTACACTGGTCCGAAACTGCAACATGACCTGATTCACGTCCTACTCAGGTTCTGCCGTGAACCGGTTGCGATCGTAGGAGACATTGCAGAGATGTTCCTGCAGGTCCAGCTACAACAGCAAGATCGGCGGTACGTACGCTTTTTGTGGCGCAAGTCGACAGACGAGCAACCATCCATTTACGAGTTTACTCGGCTCGTGTTCGGACTGAAGGCATCACCGTTCATCGCCTGCCGAGCTCTGAGGGAGGTAGCCGCACAGCATGGGGAACAGTACGACTCAGCAGCCCGAGCAGCGGTCGAGCAATCGTTCTACGTTGACGATTTCCTGAACTCACAACCATCAGTACCAGCCGGCATCTCAGTACGGCAGGGGGTGCAGGACCTGCTCCACATGGGCTCGTTTCACCTGCGGAAATGGCGCAGTAACAGCCGTGACGTGCTCCGTTCTATCCCGGAGGCCGACCGAGCAGCCGACGCACTGGTGAGCATCGATGATTGCAGCGACGCCGCATCAGCTGCAGTCATGAAGACGCTTGGTGTCGTGTGGGACGCAGCGTCTGACACGTTCAGCTATCGCTACAACACACCGGACGACCAGCGGCTGACGAAACGAAGCGTCCTATCCAAGATGGATAGCATCTATGACCCAAGAGGGCATATTTCGCCGTTTACGATAAGGGCTCGACTGCTGTTCCAGGAGGCATGCATTCTCGGCTGTTCCTGGGATGACCGTCTCCCATCAGAGCTGGAGACCAAGTGGCAGAGGTGGTTTGCAGAACTACCAGATCTAGCTGGGATCAAAGTGCCACGATGCTTCAAAAGCATGGAGCGCCAGGCTGACACCGCGAAGCTCACAGTACATACCTTCACCGATGCCTCGGCGCACGCCACTTCAGCTGTCAGTTATGTCTGCGCGGCGTATCCGGATGGTTTTGTGAAGGTCAGCCTTGCATTCGCCAAGGCGCGGGCAACCCCAATCAAGAAAGTCACCATCCCTAAGTTGGAGTTGCGAGGTGCAGTACTTGGCCTGCGCACCAGCAAAGTTGTCAGCCAAGCCCTCGCTATTCCTGTTGCTGAACATGTGTTCTGGACCGATTCCCTCAACGTCGTGTACTGGGTGAGGAGCCATGCCAAGAACTTCACTTCAGATGTCGCCTGCCGGGTCGGTGAGATTCAAGCCGACACCAAAGCTAGCCAATGGAGACACGTACCAGGAGTCCTCAACCCAGCCGACTTCCCATCTCGATGTATGAAAGTGCTGGACCTCGTTGGACGTCACACATGGTGGAGTGGTCCGGACTTCCTGACCAGACCGGAGGCAGAGTGGCCGCTTGTGGAGCTTGCTACCCCTCCGCAACTACCTGGTGAGCTGAAGAAGAAGCCATGTGTGACATTCGCCAGCCAGGTGACGCCATCTCGACTAGATCCTGCCACATATTCGACGTGGGAGCGTCTTACCAGGGTGACGCCTGGTGCTTACGGTTCGTACAAAATGCCCGACGGCAGACTGCGACAGTCACGAGGGGGGAAACCCACGTCGACACCGCCAACACCAGTGCCCCACTAGTCTATGTCCGTTTAGCAAGCGGTCATAAGCCAAGATCAGTAGTGACAGTACCGGTGCTGACGGCAGCAGAAGTAGCAGGAGCCGAACGACATTGGTTTGCACAAGCTCAGCTGTCAGCGTACCCAGCCACGCTTAAGCGCTTACGGGCAGGTGAGGAATTACCACCATCTGACCCTCTCTACCGGCTCAACGCGGTCCTGGGTGCGACGTCACACCCTGCTCTCATGGTCGTCAACGGACGACTGAAGCATGCTGTCAACCTACCTGTTGGTGTTCGCCAGCCAGTGATCCTACCACAGCGTCACCGAGTCACTACGCTACTCATCCAGCGCGAAGACGACCTCTGTTGCCATGGTGTCGGAACCCAGCACCTGCTGTCCAACCTACGACAGAGATTCTGGGTTGTACATGGTACATCAGCGATCAAAAGTGTACTTGCACAATGCGTTACATGCAGCCGACTGATGAGTAAGGCTGCGGAGCAGATCATGGGACCGCTACCCAACCATCGCACGTGTGGTTCTCTCAAACCATTTACCAGATGTGGAGTAGATTACGCAGGACCGTTCTACACAAAGCAAGGGCGTGGTCGAGTGCAGCAGAAGCGGTACATGTGCGTTTTCACCTGTTTGGAGACCAGAGCATGCCACTTGGAGATGGCCTTCTCTTTGGACACAGAAGCATTCCTGATGGCATTCTCCAGATTCATCAAGCGTCGCGGCACTCCGTCCATCATGGTGTCGGACAACGGCACGAACTTTACAGCTGCCGAGCGAGAGCTCCGAGAGGCGAGCGAAGCCATTGATCGCACGCAAGTCAGCAGGAAATTCGCTCATGAAGGAATAGAGTGGCGGTTCAATCCTCCGCGAGCACCCCACTTCGGAGGAGTATTCGAAATTGTTGTGAAAGCTGCTAAGCGTGCCATCACCACAGTACTCGCTAATGCTTCGCTTACCGACGAGGAGTTGCTGACCGCACTGATTGAAGCAGAGCATCTCATCAACACTCGTCCGCTGACTACAGTCTCAGATGATGCTCAGGATGATCAGCCCCTCACTCCCCAGCATTTCCTTGTGGGACGTATGGATGCGCCTCTGGCCAAGGAAGTGACGGTGCTTGGTGAGCATCAGCATCAGCGGAAGAGATGGGCGGCAGTACAGCGATTAGTAGACGAAGTGTGGCAGCGATGGAAAAGAGAGCTTCTACCATCCTTGAACCTCCGGAAGTGCTGGCGCCAGGCCAAGAAGAGCTTGAAGGTGGGTGACGTGGTGATGTGGATGAGTCCCGGCACTCCGCGCGGAGAGTGGCCATTGGGTCGCATTATGGAGACCTTCCCAGGAAAGGACAACAAGGTGCGCGTCGTGGACGTCAAGATTGGAGGCAAGATCCTGCAATGTGTCATCCATCATCTCGTTCCTTTGCCAGTTGGAAATGAGTAACAGTGATGGACATGATTATGTAGTTGTGTCACACTCGGATTGTTTTTTGTTTTTTTTAGTGTGGTTTTCTCCTCGTGTGAGAGGGGGATATGTTCGAGTAGATCCCGTAGGTTACCGTTTGCTAGGTCGATGTATTGTGTGCTGACCCGGCACATGTGAGCATGGTGCTAGTACTGACTAGACACTGTTAGGACCTGTCTAGACATGCGATTGTCTGTACCGTAGCATTAATCTAGTACATGCATGGCATGCAATACCTGCCGGATCATATGACGGAACTGGTTTGCTGATTGGCTGTAGGTCTGTTCGCTTTATCAGCTGTGCTTTTGTTATAGTACCAGTTTCACATTGGAAAGGAGTTTTTTTGTCCTGGAGAGAGGACAACAGCAGAGTTGGTATGTCCGTGCCAAGGCACGATGATGTGTGCATACTATTAGTCTACAGGTTTTCGTTCAGTTACGAAGAACAGAAATAAATACAGTCTTCTTTGGAGTCCAGATTCCGTGACCGAACACTCATAACTCTCTCATCGAATGTGAATTTATCTGAAAATACCAACACCTCGCAGTAGATATGGAGGGGAAGAATCCGACCTCCCTAGCTGGTATCTGTGCACCTATAACCTGTGCTCACCTGAGATAGCCGAACGTAGGTGCTGTGACGATGACAACAGCTATCAAGCAGCAGAGATAGGGACGAGAAGACGAGAGGATTAAAACACACACACACACACCTGTACTGTACAGGGATATGTGTAATTTGAGGGAGGGGAGGAGGAGGGTGGATTTTGAAAAGATTCTTCAACTGAAAGACTAATACCGTAATTTGACGGTAAAGTACCGCCAGAGCGCCCCGTCTCGCGAGAGCACCCCACCTTGATTTTACAGCCAGGGAAAGGAAAATCGTATGGCAGAATGCAACGAAATTTGTACGGTGTGAGAACCTTAGTGTACTAAGGTCACACTAAGCTGTTTTTTGTGTGGAGCTCGTGTCCGCTCGAAGGTACGGATTGTCTGCACAACATGCAATATGTGTACAAAGTGTCTCGTATGACCTACAGACAGGAGACCACCTCCACAATACGACCATGAAAGGACGAGATGATTGGGCGCTCTGGCGGTACTTTACGGTACAGTGAGACAGCAGTGTAAACATCCTGGTTACAACATGCTATGGGATAGAAAGGTTTTGATGACCCTGCAGTCATCTGGCTTGGATATACAGTTCCTATGCTAGAACGCATACATGTATATTGTACCGTCCTTTGGAGGTACGTAAATTGAAGTTCCACTGTACATGAGAATAGCCCTTGCCAATGAGATCTCTGGTTGGGTGCAGGCTGGAATTTGTTTGGCAAGTTAGAGGAGAGAGGCGGCGGCTACAGCACATCAGCATGAGTGAGTCTAAGTATTGTGAGTAGCGGCGAAGTAATCTCCGACACTTACTGGAGCACAGGGCGGCCAGGAGTGCCAGTGTATTCGTCTTGTGCTTCGGCCCCACAAGAAAGTTGATCTGAGCTGGAATAGCTGCAGGGACGCAACAAGACACACAACCTCTACTAAACCAAAGTACATGCAAACCAATCGAGTCAGGCCCACCTCAACAGGCACAGACAGCTTTCAAAGTACATGTAACGCTGATACAGGAGACCTTGATTTCCTCCAACAGAACATAAGCAACATACCGGCATCTCCTCTCACAGCTTGGCCGGCCATGGCCCTTATTTACGTGCTTGCGCTCATGACACAGTGCATGGCGAGGTTTCGCTACACAGAAATAGAGCGTGCTAAGATTCGTATGAAACTCTAGTACGTAACTCTCTCAACAAAACCCTGCGGCACTTTCATACTTCATTTTCATGCACTTCATGCCGAGCTTATAAGGTGCTATCCTGGTTTGCCTCTCTGCACACGGCATGTGACAATAGAGAGAACGAGAAGCGGCTGAGAGGAAGTAATCAGCACCAGCCAATCCAGTAGGTGCACTGTGTCGATGGACTTACCAGCAATGATTAGCACCATGGTGGTGATCATAATCCCTAGCCATGCCACATTCAGCAGAATAAGCCTGTGCACAGTCACAGTCACACACAGTAACACACAGTAACACACAGTCACACACAGTAACACACAGTCACACACAGTAACACACAGTAACACACAGTAACACACAGTAACACACAGTAACACACAGTAACAAACAGTGACACACAGTAACACACAGTAACACACAGTAACACACAGTAACACACCCAGTGAACAGGTCTGTAACAAGTCTGTTCACACGCATGAAGCATGGACAGCCATAGCAACAGTTGCTGCAGCACCCTACAGAAGTCGGCTTGCGTGGCGGGCAGGCACCCCACCAGCATGCGGAGGCATAGGCAAGTCAACGCACAACTTTCTTTTACAAACTACACGTAGAAAGAGACCATCAGCAACACCACCGAGAACAGTCACAGCAAATTAATCAGATGAGATGCTGAAGAATATTACACTGTACATACCGCTTTTTGGAGAGGATGTATTCATCTGACCTGGAACACCCAATACACATCACAGTGAATAACCAGATGAACAAAAAACAAAACATCTGCGAAGACAATCTTTGCTAGCGTACGCAAAGTCAGTGAAAATCGCAAATCCCACAAGCAGAAAGCTCCACAATGGGCAACTTCCACCTTGGGAGTGCTCGATGCCCACACTACCACTGCTCACACAATGCTCAATGCGGGGGGGGGGGGGGGGGGGGGCAGAGCTTTTCTAACCCAGAAGTCAGAATGAGTATTTGCCTGCAACAGAGTTTACTGCTAAGCGATCCTCAGACACTTTTCTAGCGGTATTAAATAGTAAACGGGGGAAATAAACTCTTGCATGTATTGTAGTTGTTGTACTTGTGGCTGATGCTTGTGAAGAAAAGTGCTCGCTTGCGTAGTTGCTCTTTACTGCTGTAACTAGTATTATTATTATTATTATTATTATTATGTATTGTAAGAAGAGTAAAGCGGTTGGCCATGGCATGCTGTTTTGGCGTACAGTACTGTCGGTCGCCAAAGAGCTGGAGGGGGGGTCAGCCTCGTAGCCTACTAGACCATTCTTATTTTTATTTATCACTCCCTTAGTATTGACTCACACAGATGTTTGCCATACCTAAGCAGTCAAATATTCCTGCATATTTGACTCCTTAGGGCTATATTGACCGCTTATATTTGACTCCTTTTTAGCGATTGAACACATGCTTTGGTTAGTCGTGATAAATCTAATATTGACTTCGTACTTGGTCAGTATAGGAAATAAAAGACCTCGGCTTTTATTCCCTATATTGACCTCGTACTCAGTCAATATTAGATACGTATTACAGTCTACAGGTCTATGCACAGTTGAGTTACCGTGTATACATTGGTATGCTATGCTTGATGAAATTCTAGCCTGGTCGTTCTTCGGCGAACGACAGTACTGTAGGTGGAAAGTTACGAGTGCCATGCACATGTATCCATGGTGATGAATCTTATCTTTTCTTCCAGCATTGCACCAACGTGGCTCAGTGACCTTGTTCTTGAACTAATTCCGTGATGCACCACTTACCCATCCTGGTACTGGGCCAAGTCGACACTTGTTCCGCAATCATCGGCACTGCAGACACTAGCTGTGTCCCCATTGGATTCATCAACTGCGCACAACATCGAGCAATCCAGAGAATATAGCAATTACCGGATATGACCGGCCTGGATTCGTTGATAAGTCAAAGATGACTTAGGGGCCGTCCAAGGTTACCAATAATATTTTCAAAACGAAAAGTTTCGTTTGGGGGTGGGTGGGTTTGATGGAGTTTCGTTTTGAAAATAATTATTGAATGCAGATGGAGAATGCCTAGTTACTTCTGGGTGTCGAAAATTGACATCAATACTTTACTGGAATTCGTTCTACCTGCAGAAAGGGTGGGTGGGTGGGGGCTGAAAAATACTAAAACTTTTCGTTTTGTAAAAACAATCGGTAACCCCGGACAGCCCCTTACCATAGTGCGTTTAAAAAAGTATAGACCTCTGGTTTCAAAAACCATTATGCCAGCATTTATGCCACCTAAATTACTAAAATTTGTGTACACATGCATCCTAAAAAATTCCGAAAATGGGTGTTTACTATCCAATCGCTTGGTAATCTATATGAGAAAAATCAGGAGAATTGCCTGGGCCATATCCCGAAGAAAATCCTCAAATACATGTAGCTCAAACCAGATCTGAATCACATGCTAAGTAGTAGTCATGGACCAGCAGTACATGGCAGTGCAATAAGCCTTTTGCGCGTTGTACAGATGTACGAAGTTCTGTACTAGGGCGTAGGTGTGTACAGAACCGATTGGGTGTTCATTGTGTGCTATGCATGCGCATTTGACCAATTTTCGCCTCATAATTAATGTCAAACAATTCCTTTTCCAGCTTCTTCACTTTGGTTAGAACTAATGACTAGCTAGATCTTTGTCAGAAAAGGTTTTCGTTTGAAATGCGGCCTTCAGGGCCCATTTCTAAGGGAAATAGCAGAAAACACAATAGGGTCCTGCACATTCAGCACCCATTAGGTTCTACGGGATTCTACGGGATTTCGTGCATCTGTACAACGCGCAAAAGGCTTATGGTATCGCTATCTGCAAGAAGCAATGGCTGGGGGGCCAAAAATCCGTACTCCTTTACAAGAGGCCGCACCCTGCATTGTACTGTTACTGTAAAAGCCATTATTCTAACGAGGCACATATATAACGATTTCCCCAAATTGAGTAGTTTATGAGTACCAAAGGTAACGATTCCCACTAATTCTCAACGCTCAATATTAACAGTATATGTATTGATTTCTGTATAACGATTTCTATTTTAACGACAGATTTCTCCTCGCTAACTCGTTAGAGTTAGCACTTTGTTATATATATGGCTTTTACAGTAGTCTATCCTGGTGCCCGTACCAATGAGCCAGGTTGGTCAGATTCGATGGACACTGCGCTGTCGATGCTGCAATGCCATTACAGTACGGTATGTGTATGCCAAGATGTCGCAAGCAGCGTGCAACATCATACGCACGTGTCCTTGCGAAGGACCGAACAGTGCATAAAGGATGCAAGATGCATGCATACTGGCATCAACAAGCTTGCGTCTGCTGGCGTACAAACACGTCTAGGTCGCTACACATTACGTATAATTTTTTTAAACACAACCCTAGGATATACTTGTACATGTTGGCATAGCGCTGGTGAAACGACAAGCTGATGGCCGCAAACACAGGACACTACAGTCATTTGTATTCATGCACATTATGTTGTGGAGCAGTGAGGGAGGCTGGCAAGCGTTACTGGCGCTCAGGTCCTCGTCTCAGGTCCTCGTGCATCGGCAATTCGCCCACACGTGCCGACAGTTTAGCAGCAGTACAGCACAGTTGAACGGTGCAGCGAGAGCCTTACCCAGCACGTTGTACGAGGTGGATGACTGGCCAAGCGCACTCGACTTCAGTGAGACACTGCACCACACATCAGTGTGCATAGACATACGCATGTAAACACAAGCACACAAACACACACGCACACACACACGACGGGCAGGCAGGCAGGCAGGCAGGCAGACAGACAGGCAGACAGACAGACACATACACACACAGATTTCAGTCTGAAATTGATGGTGTGAGCGGAACCTGTACATGCATTCTAAAGCGGACTTCAATGTGGCCTGTAGGATTGAAACTGGTAGAGGTGAATGGTGCAAACTACAGTCTGTGCTCACAGGATAACGCGACTCTGTATGGCAGTGTGTGACTGGTGTGGTATGATTGAGTGGTTGGCGTGATCTTCTCCTCTTTTTTCTCTGTTTTTATGATTAGAATCGGGGACGATTCTACTCCGGGGAGGGAGTATTGTTGTAGTGCGCTATTTTGTGAACGTCATGTGTACGTAGTGCTAGTGCGTGCACATGTTGCTGTGATGTGAAAAGCAGTCTTCGTCTTGAGTTTGCCATGTCCAGTTATGCTTCGGTCATCTACTCGTAATAGTCTTCCCAATATAAATATTTAAAGGATTAGGAGAACTTCAAATTCAAAGGATCAGTCGGGGAAGTGGACTGCCTGAAAAGATTAAAAGTGCTCCTTTCAAAATTAATCAATTTCTTTCGCCTCTCGTAGTACGTTCCAGAAACTGACCGTGGTTGGTCCCCTGTAGGAGGGGAAAGGACCCAGGAGAAATTCTCCGAGAAGCTAGAGAAAACAAGCACGCACCCTTAGTGTGGCGATGGCACAGGGCTGGGGGCAGGAATGAATAACTGGACGTACACCAGTGCTGCTCAATGAAATCCAATCAAGCACAAGTGAATGCCACACCAGGTGGCAGGTGCTGTGCAGGCCTAGACCTGCGGACACCAAGGTGTGAACTGGCACAGGGCACAGACTTGATTCACACGACCGGACTTCATTGAGCAGCACTGTACATGACAGAGCTCCACTGCCACAGTCTTTAAACTAGTCTACACGCTTCTACTGCTGCAGACTGCAGTACATGTACAGTCCGACCTCGCATAACCGCACACATCCGTTTTCCACAAAAAATATCTGGATGGGCTAGGGAACCGGATAATCAAACACACATACTGTACTGTACGTATGCATGACATATGCTGTAAATCGGTAAACACAGTGTTGCCAACCGCCCGTATTTGTCCGTACTTTTACGGAAAAAATAAGTTTTGTCCGCAGTACGGATTTCAATCGGATATCCCGCAAACGATCATGTATATGATCAATTGCTAAAACCTTCGTAACTCCATCGTTTCTTGTGCCAATTCAACAATCGAAGGATCTACGTGGCAGCCAAAACTCCAAGCTGTCCAATGCAACACTCACGGAAGCGTTACGATATCGGATTCCAGAAATATAGACCAAAGTTATGACCTGGTGAAGTTGAAAATTGTACTGAATTCGTAGGCTTCGCAAGTGAACACTGTGGCTGGAAAAGTTGTACAGTATCGTTTTTTCTTCCAAATTACACTAAATCAGTCAAATTGTTGACCTGAAAAACGAGTACGGAAAACTCTGAAAAATTCTGCAAAATGGCACTGGGCAGTACGCATGGGGGTAGAGGGCACTTGGTAACACTGTAAACAACAATTTTCTTCCGGATGGCGAGGGATCCGGATAAAAGAGGACTGGATAAGCGAGGTCTGACTGTACCACCGAGAGTACATAACCCCCTGGGGGTCATGACACTCTTGGTACGACGAACCTTGAAACGTATTTCTCCATTTACAGTACAATGTCATGGTTGTATGTGTACTCAATGTGAGTGCATGTTCAAACACATGAACTATACTCGTGCTCATGCATGCTTGAAAAAGCTAAGAGCACCTGCACCCCGGCCTCCAGTATTGTCCATTGCGTCATCCCTCTTTGTAGAGTGTTCTTCGAGTGTCAATCAATCCATTCCTATGCGTAGTGGTACAGTCAGTTGACAGAGAGGAGGATTGACTACTTCGCACATGGACAGGCAATTCTGCCAAAGCTTTCCACAATACCAAGAGACTCATGGTAGACCTACACCGCCATGATACGTACCGTGTTCCTTTCTTCTCCATCTCATCGCCCTCCATAACGTAGGGGTCGTGCGTAGGGTCGTGCCTGCTGATCGAACCGCCGGAAATGATGAAACCCCTACTTTGTGATCTTGGCAACAAAAAATTACCAGAGAGAAGCGTCCACTCCCTCCCAAGTCTCGCAACTGAACTCGACTTTGCCTCGATCTCCAGTGTACCACAAACTATGGGAAAGGAACGGAAATCCGCACTCACTTCCTCTTGTCAAAGGAAAACTTTTCAAGAACAGTGGGCGTTTACGAACACAGGACTGAAGTGCCTCTTCTGATCTAGATCTAGAGCAGAGGTTGGATATTTTTCGCCTTCGATTCAGGAATCCAGCTTCGACAGCAGGGTAGATAGCTACGGCCGGCCGGCAGTACGGGTGGCTGTATGTAGTCAGGTAGCTGCCGCCTGGGTCTGGGTGACTTACCGTACATGACGTAGCTAGCTACTTTACTCCTGTCTTTACGACTACCCACTGAGTTTAGCTAGCTCGACTTGACCATGTTGCATGCATGCAGTGTTGGACGCACTTCCTCCCCACTAGCGCCGCTTTCAGACTTCTCACTGACTGAGCGCTGCCACATGGTCAATGCCGCATTTGCGGAGATCATGGCCATATGGAGCTCCGGAGATAGACCGCGTATCGCGGTACGCCATCACATTTTTGTATGCTGTCCAAATTTGGACACTACGTACGTAGGGAGGTTCTGCTCTACGTGTTCATGGTGTTGGGAACGCGACGCAAAGTTTCTTCGCGTTCCCGTAACGTAAAGAAATGCTGTTCTGCTCTACGTTTCACCTAGACTGGCTAGAGAAGTCACGTGGAATGTGTACTGGGAATTTCCCCTTCCATATTTGGCAGTTTTCTGCATGCAGTTGATCGATATACATGTACCCAGCAAATCCGTACGCATTTTCTCTGCGTGTGCCACAACGACGTAGAGAACCCCATATATGGCCCATCTCCGCGTAGAAATCTGGAGCCAAAACACGCGAAGCCGTAGACTCTAACCCAGACACCTGCTCTCTACGTGATTTCTCTACGTTTCACCAAGAGTAGATAAGGCCATGGTAAAAAATAAAGTTGATTCTCAGGTCATGAGCCTGTGAAAATCGGTGCGAGCGAGCGATTTATTATTTTAATTCCCACAATTTTTTTATTTCCAAAGATAGGGTCACACATGTGTACGTCACAGGTTCATAATTAATTTATAATTATTTTATTATTCAGGCCAGGGAGTAGAAAAATACAGGTATTTTACTACTCCCGGATTCATACCTTTCGCATTGACCGTTTTCATGCACGCATATGCATGCATAGAAATAAAAAAAATCGTCGGTGCGCCGCCAAAAATCGATGCGCGCGTACTTGAGAATCAAAGGTATTTTTTACCATGGCCTAAACAAGAGTGTGCAACTCCGGATGGATTGGCCCACGGCGGAATTTTTTGTTGACGTAATCTTTTCGACGACGCACGCGCTGCGAGCCTTTTGGAGAGTTTTCCCTCGTGCACTTGGCTGGGCTTTACACTACAAGGTCGGTGCCCAGCACGTGCTCTCACACTGCTCTGCGGCAAAGCCGCGTTTCTCTGAAAAAAGGTGACGTAAACAAAAAATTCCGCCGTGGGCGCGGGGTATCTGCAGATTGTGCAGGAGAGATCCGGAGTTGCACACTCTTGTTTATCTACTCTTGGTTTCACGTATAGCAGAACCTCTCTAGTGCCAAAACTTACAATACATACATAATTACAGTAGTAGTATAGTACAACATTTGCATGCTTGCATGTTTACGTTTATCACAATACTTACACTAGTAGTACTACCGGTATAAGTACAACATATTGCATGCCTACACACCAACATTGCAAATTTGCCTGTTACGCCGTAGATTCAATATCTACGCTGTAGGATAGATTCCCATTAATTGCTCTTGGGGCCCCTGGCGTTTTGGCGGCCCACTTGTACAATTACAGTTCGCCCGCTTTTGCATAAATTGTGCAACTGCAGGGATAAAGTTAACTGCCCCATGCATGGAAACTGCCAGATCCAGTCAATCGTATACAAGGCCAGCGTGACAGAAACCGGAAAAGACGAACGAAATGAGTACCTCGGCTTAACGGAAATGACGTTCAAGAAGCGATACGACGGACACATGACGTCGATGAGGCATGAGCGAATGGAGAAGAGTACCGAGTTGTCGAAGCTCATCTGGGACATGAAGCGCAAGAATGCCGGGTACAGCATCAGTTGGTCAGTTGTCGCCCAAACACCAGCATACTCCAATGCCACCAAGCGCTGCCCTCTCTGTCTGCGTGAGAAGCTGGAGATCTTGCATGCTGACAGAAGGGTGAACATCAACAAGCGATCGGAGCTAGTGGCCAAGTGCAGACATGACGGAACAAATTCTACCTATCTAACTTCACACCTCCAGTTACATAAACCAGGATTACACCTGATGTCTGGCGCTAATCTTGCAAGCACATGCATAGAATCACCGCTTGACCTTATTTGCGCTTAAATTCTCTGATTCCACTGGCACCTTACCACACTATATCAACAACATTCATTGAGTTTTTGTAATCATTGCTGTCTGATGATCGCCATAGGCGTGAAACTCGGAGTCACAGCCAACACAAGCTTCGTATTCTATTCCTTTTGTATGAAGCTCTGCACCCCGGCGGTGCATTGAGCACTCTTTCGAGGACCACACCCAACCTTCCGTGTGTAAATTGTGTTACTTTGTCATTTGTCTATCACTCTGATGATTACTCTTTGAAGGATGAAACCGGTCAGTAAAACTCACTGCAAATGACTTTTGTGAATTGAAAATGAGTGCTTTGTGTCGGAGGAGCCTACCTCCCTCATTTCTGTGTTGATCGATATCGATCAGCAGATCAGAGAGCTCAGTTATCATGGTTATCTGCATACTCTTGATCTAGTCTTGATGACGTGATCGTGATCGCTTCGTCGGCCACGTGGTGTGGTTTTCTTCGTTTTCACCGCGCGCCGCTCTCACAGCTCAGTCTTGGAAAAACGACTTGGCTAGCACTTGTTGACAGTTCGTAGTCGCACTTGTTGACAGTTCGTAGTCGTACAGTTGCGGCCTAGCGCCTAGCGCATGGCTCGGTTGACAAGGAGACAAGAGCCGCGCTAGCCGGGTCCATGCGAGACAATAATGATGCTACAAGATTCAAGAGTTCCATCTGCTAAACCTTCTCCTTCACACCAAGACTGCAAGAGTACATGAAAAAGGTTCATGATTGTACTCTCGTCTTGGTTTCTCTTGTTCACACTCACACAGTCACAGTTTCACTTTCGAGGCAAACTCAACTAACGTTACTTGTGGTTACCAGGGACTACATGTACCGTGTTACCATGGTTACTTGAAGTCAAGATCAAGACTCTATTCACTTTCGAGGCAAACTCAACTAACGTTACTTGTGGTTACCAGGGACTACATGTACCGTGTTACCATGGTTACTTGAAGTCAAGATCTAAACTCTTGACGTCTTGTTATCGTCTTGATCACTGAGATCAATCCCCAGAACTGGCAGAAGTAAAAAAATGAATGACGTGTGCTGTAGCATGTAGCTAGAGTACGTCGTACCGATAAAATAATTCACAGTATCACGTGCACGACAAAACCATCCATTTCTTTTCAGGGTCCGGAATTCCGGATCGCGGATAGGATGCTAAAATGTTATGACGAGCGCTGGCCCAAACAAATGCCGCGAGAAACGGTCATTACAGTATTACTAGTAGTATGCGATAGGCGATATTCTCAACCTCAGACAGTATTCCTTTCCCTCAACGTTACTCGTATCAAGGGTCGCGACCAACACAGTGCTAGGGCAGCAGTGGCGGACAAACGAGTTGAAGAAAATGGCTGCTGCAGGAAATGCCAAAATTCCATCATTTCGTGAGGACTTCGTGTTCGGATCGGCTCGATTCTCGCTACCTCACTGGAACGATGTTGATCGCCTAGTGGATCGCATTGCTCGCAACCTACTGTATTATCAAACCAACTACTTCGTCCTGTATGCCGTCATCTTTTTCATTCTTGGGTTAGTGACTCAAGTTTCAGTCACTTGTGCGCCAAGTTGTTTTAAACGAACTTCTAAGTTATTTTTTGTGACCAGGCTGTTTCAGTGCCATCGCTACGTGGCAGGCATGACATTACTCCTAGTCCTACTCACTACTGCCTAGTCTCTGATATGCTACAGTATAATGATGTGGTGCTCAACTCTGTTGGGTCAGTACTCGTAATGTTGAATTGCTCGTAAGAGCCCACCGTAGGCTCATAGCGAGCGCATGGCCTTAATATTTGAAGTGCGCATTGCGGTGCATGTGTATGTGGGGTTTTTCCTTCACAGGCTGCTCTATCCAACTCAAGTGCTCGGCGGTGCGTTCCTCGTGGCAATTGCCGTTACTCTGTGCTTGGTTGTCAATGGCAACAGCAGCCATGCTGCAGCAAGGAAGTCGACGGCTGCCCGGGATGCCGCGGGTGGGAACACGGGTAGCGGGCTGCTGATGGTCGCAAGCTTGGCGGCCGTGGTCGTGTTCGTCTATCTGCTTGGCTTCGTCATGATCTTCATCGCCAGCGTGATTGCACCAGTGGCAGGTCAGTGCATACAACTGAGGTGCGTGATCATGCTCGATTGACCCAAGTCCCGTGAAAACTCCACACTTTAGTCTGGGATTTGACTGGGTCGGTCCGTGCGCGCACATGGTCGTCGCCAGGGAGTACTAAAAAAGTTTTTTTAGTACTCCCTGGTCGTCACGGTTCAATTCACCATTTTTTTGCAATTCACTCTGGGGGCGTTCGTTTTTGATCTACAGGTTTGGGTAGAAACTACTTCTTTCGGTAGATGCGTTTCTTTTTTCTACTCAAAAGAGTAGATTCTACTTCTCTTTGTGCCGCATCTGAAATTACTTGGGTTCTATAAAGATTTCACTCAAACAGCCATGGAATTGAGGTGGTGGGTTGCTAACATGAGCCTCACGAAGGAAGGAATGGTATTCGAATAACTTATTGCAACCTGAAAGTGCTTATCGTAGTTATGTATACTCTTGTGTGTGTCTTGTGCTGTGTGCATGTGCCTTATCCAGCAATACTAGCACATGCGGCTTGTCGCAAGAGGAACCTCAAGAACAAGCTGAACTGGACTGTGGAGCGCGCTGGCCTGAAGACATCGCTCATGGCTGAAATCCTGTACGGACTTCATGTGCTGCTGGACATTGATGACTTGGTAGCCAGTGATAACGATACTGCAATGTAACCTCACAGAAGCACCAGAGTCGGAGAAATCCGTGCAGCTGCTATCAGTATGGCATCCATGTGGATACTCTTGTAATGATTGTACTTCGAAGTATTGAAGTGCAGCCACATTGAACTCCGCAACATCCTCTCCCAGGTGTGCATTGTCAGCGCAACCACGTCAGGGATACTCTAGTGACGATTGTGTTGAAGTGCAGCCACATTGAACTCCGCGGCATCCTCTCCCAGGTGTGTGCATTGTAAACGCGGCCGCTCAGTCACTTGACATGGGCTCTAACCGCGTGTGCACCCAAGCACTGCTGGCAATGCACCTGTGTGAACACACACACACACACACACACACACGCAGCGGTTCGTGGATAACGAGCGCAACTACTAGTGAAGCGATGCGCGGCGTGATGACTCCTGATCTAGAAGAACGGAAGATCGGTGTTACGCTAGGCGTCCATGTATGTCAAAGTACTGTGCAAGGGACTCTTGGTTTAGATGATTTAGATCACGGAGTTATCCCCAACCATTCCACTGAGTTGTATCCGAGTTGGTATGCAGATTTTTTTGGTGTTAAAAAAGACGCTTTACCAACCGGCAGTATTCTTGAGACTTCCCTGATGATCTAGACACAGGACTATCATCAGACTGTCCAACCTCCTGGCCACCCTCTCTAAAGCTGTTCTATATTTTCTCTTATTTTTTACTGAAAAGATCTGAACGTACACAAAGTGATACAAGTGGGCATGCAAGTGCCACGCCAAGCAACAAAATATGTTATTGATAAAACTTAAAACAACACGGTCCATGTGCACGGTGGCTAACGGAGTAGCAAGAACAATCAGTGTATACTGACTGCTATTGATTGGTAATAATCAGTGCACTGTAGTGTATTGTAATTTCACAAATTTTCGGTGTACTTTTATTTTCGTTACTTTCGGTGCCTCTGCTTCTTACCTAAAATTTCAATACACCGAACATACACTGACACACATCATCCAATAGGGGACTGCTTCCCTGTACTTAAATTTTCTGTTCACCTTACCAGGCCTTTTGCCCTCATACCGAAAATATTGAGCACCTAAAATTTCTGAAATTAGAGTATTGTGTTGCATTACGAACACACGTACAATCTTACAAGCAGTCTATTGCGCAGATTACAAACTGTCTCAGCCAACAGCTGAAAACAGTGGAAAGTGGTACAAAAGTGTTGATATTTCATGAAATCTGGACGAAAGGCGTCCGGATGAGGACCTCGGCAGGACGCAGGACATTTTCTCTCGAATCTGTTCTGTCCCGACAGGACAGCTGGACAGTCTGTATCATGCCCTTTGGACCGGGAATGTGTATGCCCACACGGCTCGACAGGCGATGTAGGACCTCCTCGCTAATGCTGTGGGCTCGTAGTGGTGCCCTTGACTTGTTCCGGTTTGATTGACTATTTAAGAGGTGTCTTGTGCATGTAGGAGAACGGCAGATAATCATAGCATAGATAATGGTATGATTGAGTATTTCCTCTTGCGATTGTACGCGATGGAGACAAGACGATTAAATAGCACGGAGTAGTTATTTTACTACTCCCGATTTTGAGTTTTCCTGTATTCATGGTATTTGCTGCCTTCTTTTTCAGCGTACGAATTTCTGAAAGGGGTTCAGTGCTGTGCCCACCCTGAATGGAGTACTTTATTTCCCAGAATATGTAAATTTTGAATGAATGTGTTGACATGATGAGTACATGCACACTGTACTGTACAATTATTGAAATCAATACAAAGTGAGTCTTCATTACGTACCCTGCATGTCCACATCATGCCCTGCACTCATGCACTCAAACCTACAATCTCCCATACCAGCACATCCATCCGGCGCTCTTGCTTGATTCGGTCGATTACCTACCCGGCCGGTGCATGGGAGCAGAAAGTTCTACTCCACAGTCCACTTCCCTACGAAAGTTAGTTTCAAAAAGCAGGGACAGTGTGGTCCTCAATTTTCCGCAGTGCTTGGATTGTCGCTACAAGGTAACAAAACAACATACCGTATTTCCTTGAACACCCACCGCCCCTTGATTACCAGCCGCCCTTGAATAAGCGCCGCCAGTTTATTTGAACTGAGGGTTATTCGTAGACAAGTGCATGCAGAGCAGTTCACAATTTATACGCAATTTCACAGCTACGAGATGACCTTCAGCTACGATGTCATACTCCTTCACATGCAGCTAGTGCTGCTCTCTGTTCGGACAAAGGACTCAAAGGCGATCTAAAGAAGGGAATAAATCGAACACGCCATGATGGTGGTAATGAAGGCAGTATCTCGTGCTTCTGGCCCAGAGAGCAAAGACCGCAGCTGCATACTTTTGGTGCCGTTCATGGACAATAGAGCGAAGGCTAGTCACATGGAAGCTACAGCCGACAGCACACAGACCACATGATTTTATCGGGTCTCGAAAATCTCCACTTTGAAATTGGATGAAGCATATCAAGGTTATAGCAGTTGAAGGGAGGAATATTAAAAAAAACCTTCATCTTTATCATTTCATGGGGTAAAATCTTCAAAGGAAACATTCGAGATTTTTTTTATGAAGGCATACAGCACCCACAGTCAAGTCGCACAAGACAGTGGCAACGCGATGCGCAGCATCACACACCACTCACTGCATGCATGGCTGCCACTTGAACAAAACAAATGATAAAAAAGGTATAATGCCACGCAGTGGCAAAGCATTGTCACGATTCACAGGCAACCCGGATGGCGAGTGCCTACAACAAGCGCTATCTCAGAAAGCCAATAATGCTCGATGCGGCTGTCATTCCTTTCGACGACGACTCTGAGTCTAAGTGCTGGACAAGGGACTCGAGTAGGGTTACACCGACCTTCTTTGCTTTCTGAAAAAAAAGCCAGATGGAAAAGCAGAAGCAAAAAATGATGGATAAATAAAGGAAGTTCAAAACAATGAGGTCCGTGGTTCTACGCTCCCAGAGCGATTTCGGAGCGTTGAAACAGAATGTCGGTGAAGTGAATCCAAGTGATCTCAAAGACTGCATACTACAGACTGGTGCCATACACACATTCTCAGTAATGCCAACCACTACTTCAGTGGTGACAGTACAAGAAACAATCGGAAACTACATTGTCGACAGCACACATAGAATATTCTGCCTGAGAAAATATTAAAAATAAGGTCCCACTCACGAAACGTTTTGTAACTTTTCCTAACTTTGAAAAAGTTCTTTCCCACCTCAATCATGACAAGATTTCCATAAACCACACATCAACCTGAAGGGCTGACGCTGTACTTTGTGCAATGCAGACAGAATTACACGCCGGCACTGGATGAAAACTGTCTACTGTAGACCGCCCAGTATTCGCGTCACTAAAAATTTTCTCAGAACCAGCGAGTTGACGATGGCAAATGTTCGCGGAGCACTGTGGTCACACATATACAACCACTGTTGAAGTTTGATTTCACGATGGTTAATATTCGTGTTATGCTCTTCTCGCAAAATTAGCAAACATTACTACACCGCAAACATTACAATATGTAGGCAGTTTACAGTATTTCTACAACAGTAGCAGAGGCTCAGCAGACTTACAGAGAGCATGTCAAAGATCATGGCCGGCTCCAGGCCAAGGCGACCGGACTTGGCCGAGTAGCAGACCGTGCCGGATTTGTTCACTGCCACCATCATCTTGGCATTGGTGCACATCTCCTCGTCGAGTGAAGGGTCCACCACGTAGCAGTCACCAAGCTGTACCACCACCAGCAGAAGCAGGACACACCACAAAAAAACTTGAAGTCAGTGAATAGCTCACAGGAAAAGAAAGTACTGTATTTTCCGGAGCATAAAGCCGCCCTTTGAACATTCTAAAATTCACCCCCGAAGAGGGGGGGCTGTGCGACTTATACCCCAATGATCAAATAAATGGTGATAAATAGGATAGATGTGTGTATTTCGTGGCAAAAGAGGGGGGGGGGGCTTATGCTCCAAAAGACTGACATGGGATCCTGCAATATCCTCAATGTTACAATACATTTTCCTCAGTATCCAATGAACAAAGGTGTTATTTGCATGAGGTGCACGGAGCACATGGTCTTAAACTCGAAGCTCATCTATGCAGCTTCAATACTGTACTAGACATCCAGCAAATACAATGGACATGAAAAATCCGTACAAGATGCAACCGCCCTTGAAGAGAATAGGGACGATGATAAGGAAATCAACCAGTACAGGCAAACACAGCCATTTCGTTACCTTATTCAGCGTGATGAGCGCTGGCAGGTTGGAGATGTCTATACTCTTGCAGTCGTACGGGTTATCGGATACATCCAGCTCCATGGGCTCGCCGTCACCTCCGCTCACCGTCACGTCTGGTAGTCTGAAGTTACAGTAGGGCACATAGATCCATACGTGGTATCAAGCTGTATGCAGGCACAAGCTTTAATATACAACAGAGAGGTTCTAGGCTGTCCAATAGAGTACTCCGTACCGAAAGGAGCCAGTTCCAGAAAAACTGTTTTCTGATGATCGCTTAGCGCGTGAAAAGCGGAGTAAAAACACTTTTTCATCCTCTTATTCTTACATGCTGTCCTATATTCAGATTGGCGACACTATAGATGTCCAGCATTCTCCACACGAGGAGTAGAATCCTTGCACGCCAGCAAACACTCCTTCCGAGCACACCCGCAAACAAGCGAGTCTGTTAGGATTTGGCTTGAACAGCATGCATGCACACAACCGGGTATGGAGTAAATATGAACGGCAGCGCGCATGTGCACCCACCCATGCCCACCACATTAGGCCAGTGCAGAGTACATACCGTATTTTACCGGTTGTAAGTCGACCCCGGTTATAGGTCGACCCCCGTATCCGGAGGTCTCAATTCTGCGTTTTAAAGTTTTCACCCAAAGAAGCACTATTACACCACTCCCTGCTACTAACACAACAACAAATCATGTAAACATTCCTTATTGGAGGGTATAACATCCCTATCCTTGAACAAGGCCAATAAACTGGCAAAAAATGTGTACAGATGGTGCACTCGCGCATGCAGTGCAGGTCATTTTTTGTATGATACTGATAGTTCCCGGTTATAAGTCGAATCCCGGTTGTAAGTCGACCCCCACCCTTTCTCCTTCTATTTTCAGTCGTAAAAGGTCGACTTACAAGCGGAAAAATACGGTACTGTAAAACAAGTTATTTTCGGTGATTTCGGTACAGAAACCAGGCACCTAAATTTAAATTACACCTAAAAGGCACTAGAGTATGCACTGTATATGCGGAGAAAGCTGGTCACCTAATTCTACATTTACACCTGAAACCTGTCAGGTCCCTGACACTGAAATTGTAATGCACGTAAAATTACATGTTTTACAGTATTAGCTGATTCATGTCCTGCAAACTGGCAAGCAACATCGTGTGTGTGCATCGATTGATCCAAAGTCGAGGAGAGAGAGAGAGAGAGGGGGGGGGGGGGGGGGGCAAACGGTAAGAATACAACAAAACCAAGTCATGCAACACGTACATTTACATGTATAGTGCTGGCAACTGAAATCCCACCCCTGAGCGGTGCGTTCACATTCTAGCGGTCTCTATTTCGTAGTTTTACAATCCCATGTTGGGTCTTTGCGATGTGAGCGCACCGCTCAGGGGTCTTCAGTTGCCAGCACTGGCCAAAGAAATCCGACCAACGCGCGGCCCTCGGATGGGTTTTCGGACCGTGCATGATGTAAAGGAAATGGAAGCACGACGCTACTTTCGACTCGCGGGTCGGATTTCTTTGGCCATGACTGTCTTACATGTAGTTCGCTTGAGCAGTAAAAGACGAGTACACTCACCTGGTATCATGCAGGGCTGCCACTATTGCCATGCAAAGCACATCACAGACACTTCCACCGCACTGCAATACCTGCACAAGCAATACCGGTCGACGAAACACATACACACATACATACATACACACAGACACACACACACACACACACACACACACACACAGATATCTATAAACCTATTCCTCGAATACACTCACAAGCACAAATAGCACAAACAGCTCCAACACCTCGTGGTATTGCCGCTACACGTTATATACATGCACGCGTACATCCTACAGCCATTCAAAGCATGCCAATGGGGATCGAACTGCCATACGAGCAACACGAAGCGCAGTCCTACTACACACAGACACGCCCGCCACCGTGAAAGAAGGTAGGAGCACTTCGAATGCGGAATGGTTAATCATGCACGCAGGCAACACCACCTAAACATAAAGCGAAGCGTGAACGATTGTTGCCGTCCTTAGAGAAAGTTGAGCTCTTACCACAGCGTCAATGTTCAGACACCAGCATTGTTGCTCCTTGCGGATGCAGAGCTGCTTGAGATCGAGGCCGGGCCGTATCGCGTGTTCCGCTATGCTGGCCAGTTCCAGGGCTAGATCCTCGCCGCCATGTCCCTCGAAGTCCGGGTTGGCGTGAGCCGAGCTGCAATGGAAGCACAGGATACATGATTGTACGGAGTGGAAGTCATGCAGCAGCACTGAACACAAGAACAAAAAGACTACGGGCGAAAACGACCGCCGGGGGCCTACTAGTAAGCGAGTGTTTTCCTGGCGCACCAACTGTGCTGAGCTTGACTAAGGTGACCAACTGCGTTCATAGACTGTGATAGGCCAGCACCATGGATGGTTGGTTTAAGCTCTCCAGAGCAGAGTATGCATCCATGAACAAGAACACACATACACAAACACATGCACGCACAAAAACACTGTCCTTGTGAAGAGCTGTCGCATGCAACAAGCAAAATGCCACATGCAGGCACAAATACAGTGCTGGCCAGAGAAATCCAACCTCATGAATAAAGTAGCGCCGCATTTAAGTGCACAGACCAGTGCGTGCAGTGCTAGAGCTGCGTAGCGCCCGGTGCTATTTTATTCATGAGGTTGGATTTCTTTGGCCAGTACTGTACTACGCACACCTATCTTACCAGTCAACAAAGAACTCCACAGTGCCCTCTTCAGGCTTCCATGACAATGGCTGCACAATCTCAGCCTTGACACCGACCAGGATATCGGTCTCACCCTGGAAAAACAAATAAATGAAACAGAACACAGGTGCAACACACGACGCTTCTCAGATTCCTTTCGAGGAAAACCCCACAGATTCATAATCGCTGGTGCACCCGGTGGTGAAGTAGTGATAACACACAAACCAGGAAAGCATTGTACCAGTCGCAAAAAGTAATGAGGTTGTGCGGCGCATAGTGTTATTTTGATTTGCCGCTTCCTTGTAACTAGCAAGAGTACATAACCAAGAGTGTGCAACTCGACGATCCCCCAGCCCATGGCGGAACCTTTTCTATGACATTAGTCATTGGTGGCTGTTTGGCTCACTGATGCCATCACGCATAGCCAGAGATCAAAGTTCAAATTATTTGTACATTACAGCTCCGGCAGTCGAAGCAGAACAATGGACGATAGACCGATGTGTCTTGAACCTGATGAACTCTCACCGTATCTACAATACAAGCGCAGGAAAGCATACGCACTTCATCATACTTTCTACCAAAGAATGGCACAATAAAAAGATTCCGCCGTGGGTGAACCCATCGCAGCTCCAAGATAGGAGTTGCACACTCTTGGTTATGTACTCTTCGTACTAGGCACAGTGGACGCATGTTTGGCACAACTAGCACCATAAATTCCCAACAATCCAAATCCGGAGAAATACAGCGCGCAAGTAGAACCATCGCTGAGCACATAGGCAAGTGCATAACAAAGAACAGCCAATTTATCGTCCTAGAAGGGCTGTACATGTATGTGGTTGCAACGCTACACACCCAAGACGTCACAAGCAACAGGATCAGGAAACACACAAACAACAGCGGTGAAAGGCTGTGTGGCTGAAACTTCAAGTTTCACGCATTTCAGCGATCACCAGACAATGACATTCACTATTTTATTAAGTCTCTAGGAGCGGGTCGATATAAGTATGGTGCTGCATGTAGTATGGAAGTTAACGCGCATGTGTGAAGTATATCAGGAAATATGTCGGTCAGCATAGCGTATTGCTTCAGGAAGATGGGCCTTGCCCGAAAACTCATATAATTTCATTATTTTCAGTGATTAGTGTAGGCCAGAGACCGTTTGGAGTGTGTTGTGCAGATGTATGGGTATTGGATGGCTACAGTGGAGTCTTCGCATAGTGAGAAATGTATCCACTGTAACTGTTACGTAGTTCGCAATGTCCATGGAGTGAAGCCGCATCAGTGAACACACTTTGATGTTGATGGTCATCACCAGGGAGCCATAGCATCTAGGGAGATGACATGAGCTAGTACAGTATGGAACGGTGGGGTTTTCGCTACCGCGCTGCCTGTTTCAGCTGCCCTTCGGGCAGGGCCAATGTGTGCACGCTCACATACAGCAACAGCGGTCTGGGCCGCATACCAGGTCAGAAGATCAAGACGGGGAGCTGCATAGACCCCAGACCACATTAAACTTTCGAATCCGGGCTCGAATCGCACATAATTTTCATGCACCGTGGTCTCGTCTCGTCTCCCTGGACGTTAGAACTCACGGATAAACACCACCAACAATCTACCATACCACATACCGGTACTCTCTTCTTATTCCGCTCGGGAAATACAGAAGCAGAACGAGCTATGGGTTTATCTTTGATATGTATTATACGCACGTGACTGTACACATCATAGTGCTTCTCCACGCGTGCGTACACCAAGTACTCCGCAGTAGTCAGGAGACAAGAATTCTTCTGGTACTCGTCATTGTTCTACTTTATCTTGTTGTAAATACACTCTATTTCTTGTGCCACGACTTGTCGTCGTTGGAAAGTAGACTAGCGGTAACATTACATGGCGCAGTGAACATTTTTTATCCTTTAGTTTTGTAGCATTTTAGTCGCCTCGTTGTCATGTCGAACTCTGAGGGATTCGGCGCCGATTCGGGTGCGCGAGCCGCCGAACCGAACCAGATGAATTTGCTGCTCAGATTGATGGAGAAACAGATGTTGGCATCCGAGAAACGCGAACGGGATATGCAAGTGATGTTGCAAAGTGCGTTGAATAGGCAGTCGGGCGCTCGTACCTAGTCGTCGTCGAACCCGTCAGCTGTGTCACGTCCTCGACCCATTGGCCATGCAGAGGTCCCACATTCGATTTCTTCGGCAACAATGGTGGATTTAGGAGCATGGCGAGAGAGCTGGGCTGATTATAGTCAATGTCAGCACATGCAGGACCAGGACAAGGACATCTGTGCGGCTGCTCTACGCCAATGTCTTGATGACGACCTGAAACGATATATTCGTGAAGGTGTCATCTCGTTTCCGTCCGCAACTGACGTCTGTGAGATTATTGCCGCTCTGCACCACTACATCCGGAGTCAGCGCAACCCGTTGCTTGACAGAATTGAGTTTTACAAGCGTCACCGGGAGAACGGTGAAAGTTTTGATAATTTTTACATTTGCTTGCGCGAGCTGTACACCGCTTGCAATTTCGAGTCATACGTGTTGTGCGGAACCTGCCATTCCGCCTGTTGTGCTACCTGTCAGCATCTGGTAACTACTGCGTTGGCTAATGACACCCTCCGGAACAGAATGGTCATCGGCGTTTCGGAGGACGAGACCCGGCATAAGCTACTTGCGATGCAAAAGCTGACGCTGGATGCTGCCATCACCACCTGTCGATCAGAAGAAGCAGCCCGACAGACAACAGACAGCTTACCTACGCCAGGCCTGTCCGTGAACGCAGCTCGCTGCTCCACCTATCAGAAGCGGAAAACTCAGCCTGCACGGGAATCAGGCAAATCTGACAAGCCGAGCAGTCCTGCAAGGAAGTGCCCCAACTGTGGCCGATCAACGCACACTAAGTCGGTGTGCCCGGCTGCTGACAAGGTGTGCTCTGCTTTATCTTGTTGTAAATACACTCTACTTCTTGTGCGACGACTTGTCTTCGTTGGAAAGTAGACTAGCAGTAACATTACAATCTTCCAATGATTATATCTTTTCTTTCAGTGATTTGTGTAGCCTAGAGACCGTTTGGAGTGTTATGAAGATGTATGGGCACGCAAGATAAGCAAGCTTGGGATAGTGAAAATGGTTCTCTGACAAGAGATTATTAAAAAAAAGTTGATATCCACCAATGTCTTGAGAAGTATCTTCAGATGGGTTCTTTATTTCCACAGTGGCCCATGGCCGGTTTTTCAGGTAAGGGCATCGCAGCTCAGAATGTGCTTTCATCGCATCACCCGTTCTTACTGAATATGCTGATGTACTTACTTGTACTCATCCCGACCAGGTATACGTGTAGTGTATCACATTATCAATTTTTATAGAATGATGGGTACTTGGTCACAACTCTTTTTATAGAATTTTATAGAATCATGGATATAAAAAGGAAGGACAGAAATGTTACGAATTATGACTAGCTGTCCACCAACGTAACCAGATCATATACAGTCAGCTAGTGCGACAACACGTTACATGGCACAAGACTGACAAGGAGTACTGAGACATTCAACGATCTAACACCTAGCTCCAACACATCTACTAGGCGCAAACCAAGAACTTTCCAAACGTCAGCTCACTGAATGTCTCAGTATTCCTTTTCAGTTTTGTACCATGTTGTCGCACTTGCTGACTGTATATGATCTGGTTACATTGGTGACATATTCGTCCTTCCTTCTATCCATGATTAGGCCACACGTTTTTATTTCTATGTTTCTCGTCACCCACGCGCATACAATTCAGGAGTCTGGAAGAAAAAAAAAGAAAAGAAAAAAACTGTGCTGCACTGACTGTGCATGTGGCCATGGGGACCAGCATACTCATGCATATGTACAGGACATAATGTGGCCTGGACTGCGCGACACATGATGCGAGGTCGCCATTTTTAGTGCGCAATCTAGCTGCACGTGCACAGATTGTGACAGAAGCTCCTACCACATACTAGGTGCTATGGATGCTATCAAGAGTACAAAACCCTGGGGGTTATGTACTCTTGATGCTATTTTGCACGGTGTATTGGTGGGTTTTAGTGTGAACAAAGGTCTAATATACTTTTTTTATTTTTCGGTCATTTATTTTTTCCACCTCTCGCATACGTTTTTAGATTTTCAGGTGACGAGAAACATAGAAATATAAACGTGTGGTCTTACATTGGCTCAACATCCGAGTTCAACTTTAATATAGAATCCCCAAAGATTATTCGGCTTCCTAAAAAAGTATTCTTACCAATCTCAAACGGGCCGATCCATTTGTGTGCGATACCAAGCCACACTCTACTTCAATCACGCGGTACTCTTCCCACGATCTGCCATCTTCCCTCCGATCTCCCTGAACTCCACCAATGATGAACTCCTTCTCTTCGTCCGACAGCATATTCTTTGATTGCTTACAAATTTACATTTTACTAACCCGTACAAGCTGAAGTTACTTGCAAGACAAGATTTGTCAACTGTTGAGTTCTGAACCTAAACTGTTGATTTGTATGATGTTCTGTACTACTTGCTACTTTGTACTGTAGTACCGGTAAGTAGTATCGGGGAGCGCGAGCGCTCGAGCGATCCTAGCCCACGGCCCGAGGCTACAACAAGTACAGTAGATATGTGTGCGTGTAGCTCCATGATCCAGTACTCGTACTGCACTGCGCTGCATGCAGTGCATGCAGTACGCGCGCGTGTAGTACAGTGTAGACTGTTACGTCAGTGACTGTGTGGTGCATGTACGTGGTGTATGTAGATCAGCTACACAGCATGCATGCATGGTCGCTAGTGTCTGCGTACGGTACTGACTGTAGATCTACGCTACCGGTATGTGACGTGTGGGCGCGCCTCGTTTGATCGTGTGCATGTGTGGGTTTATTATTATTATTATTATTATTATTATTATTAAATTTTGAATAGGGCAGTCCCACAGGCCTAGGGCCTTTTTACTATGAATTGTTGAATAGATGAACGGGGTTTGAGAGGCTGAGCTGAGAGCTCTCCTCTGAGTACATAGTAAAGTAGTATCATCATGATAATAAGTAGACCTAGACGGCTAGAGGCTATTATTATTATTATTATTATTATTAAACTCGGATGTTGAGCCATAAATAAATGTAGAAGAGAAAAGGATATAAAGTATCATGTTACAGTGATGGAGAGTTACTCTTAACTCGTATCCATATGTCCTTTTCTCTTCTACATTATTATTATTATTATTATTATTAAATTTTTGATAGGGCAATCCCCACAGGCCTAAGGCCTTTTGACAGGGTACCCTAAAAAATGAAGAACAGAATTACGGAAGGTATGCAAGGAAGAACTTGAGCGGACCTCCGCTGGGAGGGCATTCCAGCGGTCAGAGCCAAGGAAAGTGACAGAAAATAAACCATAGCGACGTTTGGCTGTCGGAAGAGCAAGGGAAGAGGACACTTGAGAGCGGGTGCGAGAACTAGTGCAGGTAGAATTAGAGCGGAGACAGAAACAGTTAGCAACAAAGACACTAGCCAGATCATGAAGCGCACGGTACGTTAGAACGTACAACTTGAATTGGTACCTGACAGACAAGGGAATGATATGGTAGCGGGCAAGAACAAGGGAGACATCAGATAGGCGGGGCATGCAAAATACAATACGCAGCGCTCTATTACTAAGTCGGACAACACGGTCATGGAGGGAGGCAGAAAGGCAGTGAGCAAAGGAATTAGACCCATACTCAAGTATGGACTGAATGGAACAGATGTAGAAAGCCCTCTTAGCATCGATCGTTAAATGGTCTCGGACCTTTCTAAACAGCCTATTTTACGTTCTAATTGCTAGCCTACAATAATAATTTATAGCTAGGCTAGAGTCTAGCTACATTTGTAGCTATCTGCAGACGTACGTGCAGGCCGGGAGGCGAGGGAGACCAAAAACCGTTGCAGGCGTATTATATTCGTGGATGTAGCTAGGGGTAGGGGCACCGGGTAGTGACTACGTACGTAGATCTACGATGATATTACTAGTACTACGGTACTACCAAGAGTGGGGGGGGGGGGGGTTATACCAAGAGTAGATAAACAAGAATGTGCAACTCGCGGATGGGTTGGCCCACGGCGGAATTTTTTGTTGACGTAATCTTTTCGACGACGCACGCGCTGCGAGTCTTTCGGAAAGTTTTCCCTCGTGCTCTTGGCCCATTTGCATATTTGGCCGGGCTTTACACTACAACTTTAGTACAAGGTCGGTGTCCAGCACGTGCTCTCACACTGCTCTGCGGCAAACTGCGCGTTTCTCTGAAAAAAGGTGACGTCAACAAAAAATTCCGCCGTGGGCGGGGGTATCTGCAGATTGTGCAGGAGAGATCCGGAGTTGCACACTCTTGTTTATCTATACTCTTGGTTTAATATACTAATCATTTCCTGCTTCTTTCTTCTTTTGCGTGGTTTCAAGCAGGGAGTCGTAAAAGCCCGGGAGAGGACACGGCACACGGTACACATTCCCAGAAAACATCTTTGCCTCGCGCTGCCGGGGAACGCTGCCAGGGAACGCTGCCAGGGAACGGTGTTGCGAGGCAAGGAAATTAATTATTATTTTCGAAAATTGTGATGTCTTCTTGAAATACTAATTGGGACATTCTCCGATTTCTCTTAGAGCACGGAGACGAGTGCTCCGTCGAATCTTCTGATCTCTATTTTCATCCTCAATTCTTCCAGCTGCCTCACTCATTCTCTCTCAGTTTATCGAAGTTAATTTATTCTGAGGCGATGGAAATGCAAGATAAATCCCTAATTGTACTTCACTTTTATTTGAGTTGGGGTGAACGAAATGAGATTTGTGGAAAATGACGCCACTTCCCGTGTTAGCCGCTGGTCGTATCATACAGCCCATATTCCATTGCAGGTGATGGGCGAACGTTCGTGTTGAGATCCGCTGAGCTTCCTCGTACTCGTGGAGTTGAATGTGTGGCAGAAATTGCACTGAATTGCAGTCAAATGGTTGTGAATGAAACGAGATTTGTGGAAAATGACGCCACTTCCCGTGTTAGCCGCTGGTCGTATCATACAGCCCATATTCCATTGCAGGTGATGGGCGAACGTTCGTGTTGAGATCCGCTGAGCTTCCTCGTACTCGTGGAGTTGAATGTGTGGCAGAAATTGCACTGAATTGCAGTCAAATGGTTGTGAATGAAACGAGATTTGTGGAAAATGACGCCACTTCCCGTGTTAGCCGCTGGTCGTATCATACAGCCCATATTCCATTGCAGTTGATGGGCGAAAGTTCTTGTGGAGATCCTCTGAGCTTCCTCGTACTCGTGGAGTTGAATTTGTGGCAGAAATTGTACTGAAATTGCACACGGCCAAATGGTTGTGAATGAAACGAGATTTGTGGAAAATGAAGCCACTTCCCGTGTTAGCCGCTGGTCGTATCATCACAGCCCATATTCCATTGCAGGTGATGGGCGAAAGTTCTTGTGGAGATCCGCTGAGCGTCCTCGTACTCGTGGAGTTATGAATTTGTGTCAGAAATTGCATTGAAATTGCAGTCGAGTGGACTTCTGTGCGTGTGTTGTGAGTGAATCGCAACGGCTCCCTTCCTTCAGCATCGTCAAAACGCAACATAGAGCATTATTACGCACTCGTTCCATGATTCATGATGTTGCCTGGATTCTTTTAAAAACAATCAATGTGTGTTCCCTATCTATCTACATTCAGGTCGTTATTTATAAATCTTGATAATTTCAACACTTTTCTACTCGTATACTGACTTTAGCCGTTTAGGAAACGGAAAGCTCAGCCTCCAGGTTGGCCAGAAAGGTTCTCAGTGAATCTAACCGAAGTCTTGGCGAGTGTACAAAAGGTAAACCTATCATTTGTACTTCATAACGGAATTGTGCACAAAATGCACACACAAACACTGTACAAACACACACAAAAGTACAAGCACATGTGCACATACACACGTCTCCTCCCCCCACACACACACATACTCAACTCCCCACCCCCTGTACCATGTGTACTGAGTCTGACAGACAGACACAAAAATCATGTTTATGCTTCCTTCGCCACCAGTTTCGGATATGGTGTCAACAACGAGTTGTAAAATATTGGTATTTTAGGACTCCCTACCCTGAAGACGAGCACAGCGCCGTGGATCGAGCAGATCCGGCCGCGCCGGCCTAGCGTGCTTCACTTTCTGGCCGAGGCAAACATCGTCCGCGTGCGCGCATCCCGTGTCCTCTCCCGGGCTTTTACGACTCCCTGGTTTCAAGTATTAAAAAAAGAAAGAAATTACTCTTGCTAGCGCTACTTATTTGTACACGTCTACCAGGTCTACAGTTGCCGCGATCCAAGACCAAGTCACAAGTGCACAGCAGTCAGCATAGCCATAGCCATAGCCATAGGCGCTAGGCACAAGGCATAGCCCTGGCTCTACACCGACCGACCCGGCCGTACACGCTAGCGCTAGTAGGGGCCTAGGGGCGCCCGGGCCCGGGCGTCGCTGATCGGATCGCGGCAAGGCGGTGCTGCCCTCGACAGACAAACAGCGGCAAAGGAAACAAACAAGCACTCCAAAACTGTTTTCAAACTTTCGATCAAAGGCAATAATCTGCCTTCTTATGAGGTCGAGTTGGCTGAGCAGAGTGGTTTCTTCTTTGCTTCTGTCAGGGTTCATTGCGAATATTATAGTGACCGCTCTTATCCAAGAGAGTATGGAGCGTGGTCGTTTCCCATCAACGATTGCCGAGTTTGGGTACACTTTCGACGAAAATGGCGAGCTGAAGGGCAAAGATGGCCAAAGGTTTGATTTTGAGGTGCGAAAAGGAGACAAGGAGTATAACCAGCGCCACTATGAAGCACTAGGAGAGTGCATCACGCAACACGTGTATTCTCTGCTGGAAACTGATTGTGGCTTGGAGCGTGCAACGGTACCCGAACGCACTGCCACCAGAGGTCAGCCTACGAGCTTTCTATTTCATTCGTCTGACCTGGCGACGAACGATCGCAAGCTCATGGTGCTCATTCATGGCAGTGGAGTTGTACGGGCTGGTCAGTGGGCAAGGCGGTTAATTATCAATAACAATCTTAACGTCGGCACCCAGATCCCATTCATTAAGCGAGCCATAAGTGAGGGCCATGCCGTGCTGGTGCTGAATACAAATGAAAATGCGGGCCTTAACAGCAAGGGAGTGCGTACCTACATTCCAGAGAGCGATTCGCCGGAAGCCCATGCGCTCTACGCGTTTGAGTATTTCGTCAAGCCTTCGCCTGCGCGAGAAGTCTACGTAGTAGCGCACAGCTACGGCGGGGTAGTTGTCACTGCGTTGGCAAGAGAGTCACATGCGGCTCGCAATCGCATCACTAAGATCGCCCTGACAGACTCTGTGCACTCACTGCACGGCTGCTCGCGCAAGGTCGTCGCCTGGCTGCAGGAGCGCTCGATCAACTGGGTTGCTTCAAAACTGCAGTTGGGTTTGCCCGTTTCTAGGTACGGTGGTGGTGCCCATCTGCCATCAGTGTCGGCAGGTGTTGACGTGCATGAATGGACGAGTTCGAGCGCGATGGAATCAATATTCACCTTCTTCAACGACCGACCGAGCGATCCAGGCTCTGACAGTAGTCCAAAGTCGTCTGCTGCAAAACGTAGTAGTGACGGCGAAGCGTCAGCAGATGCGAGAGTGGACAGTGGCCTTGCGGACTTGAAAAGCGAGCAGGACACGTCTAGTGTCGCACAATCCGAATCTGTCGAAGAGAGCCTACCCATGGAGGAGTCTCAGTGCGTCCGGGAGAGCCAGCCGATGGAAGAATCGCAATGTGTTCAGGAAAGCCAGCCAATGGAAGAGTCACAGCTTGCTGGAGAGAGTCAGCCAATGGAGGAATCACAGCCGGCGTGAGTGGGTAGTGTTCAGAACCCAGACCGTAGCTTCCGCCACGGCCAAATCCAGATGTATTCGCGTGGTGTGTTACGCTAATGTGTGCTATGAGCTGGCATTCGTTACCCTGGCAACACATCAATGCCCATGTAGTTATTTGCCACAGCTAGGAGGTGATAAGGTGCTCCGGAAATGGACCAGAATGTACTCAGGAGGCGGGTACTCCTGCAGTTCTCAGTATGTTGGTATTGTCATGACTTATGCGTGCAGGCTGAAAAGGTACTGCTCAGCCAGACAACTTTCCAAACTCAGTCTTCTATGCCTCATTATTTTCACAGGACCACCAGAGTAGTCCCTGTACATTCCCACTAGAGCACGCATATGCACGGTGCATGATTATCATTCCAGAAATTAGGTGCTTAAAAAAAGTTCAAACACATTATACAAGTTGGGTTCCCTTGTTTTGAATATTTTCAACCGTATGTAGGTGATCGTTTTGTGCTGGCCGCTTTTTGTTCTGAATGTCTAGTCTGGATCAGAGTCAAGTTATAATAATTCTAGTTTACCATATTGCACAAGCTGAGTTGCTATTTACTTGGACAAAGTGCTCGATGCCTCGAGTGCAGAGCCAGATGATAAGTCAGCGTAGCAGTAAATAAATAGCCTTGTTCCGTTGCCGACTTGTCAGTGTAGCATACCATGATTTTAGTGTGTGTGTTTATTCTCTCACTGCACTCTTCTCCTGTACACTTTACTATTCTAATATTAATTTTATAGATTTCTGATTGCCTGCTTCTTAGTAAGGCTGCCATCACCACCCATATGGCCATGCACTGTGTCCAGCGCCATTCGTTTCGACCAAATTTCTACGACTTTAGCGAGAATACAGCTCGCCTCACTGAAAGGCCTTGCCGACCTTCCATGAAAGCAATGCAGTATTTTGTCAACTGAAGCCTCAGGTATTCCCAGATAGGCTCCCACAGTCCCTGGCCCCGGTTGCATCAGTCCTTTCAAATAATAATCAGCCTAAGTGACTTCGGAATCTTCTGTCCATGTACTAAGTATTCAAGAAAGAGCTGCGCAAACATTCTTGTCAGTATTCAGGTCTACTCGCTGGCATGCCGTTACCCTGTTCATCGTAGGCCCCCCCCCCCCCCCCTTCCCAATCTGTACTCTCTTGTACCGTCATCCTTCAATGCGACGGACTCCACAATAGGCGGTCATCCTAATAAAGTTATTATTATTATTCAAGATGTCTCCAGTCTTTGGGTTATCCATAATAATTATTATCAATAAATAAAAATGCCATATGGCCAGCTTTAGAAATTATTAAATTTTGTCTGGTGATAAGTAAGCACAGAAGCCATGACATAGCACATACCGGTACATGTAGTTTCGACTAGGCCTAGCCTCTCGTACCATGCATTACTTTTCAAGTGACTTTAGTCGAATACATGTATACAATGTCAATGGCAATACATTAATGGTGATTGGCAAGATTGAGCAAGCAAGTACACATGGTACGTACTACGTACATGTATATGTACAATCATGGTAACGTGGACGTGGACGTCACGTCATGGACACGTCATCAAAAATAATTCAAAACGTAGGGCATTGCATGATTGATTGGGCAATGCAATGCATGCATGATGGAGCAAGAAATTCAAAATCATTAATTTTTGGAACCTTCCTTTTACTTTTGTAAACGCTTGGAAGAGGACGGACGTTATTGTCTTGCATAGCTGTTGCGGGGATCGGGTAGCTGAAATACTTCTGTGTGTCCCTGCCCAGCCAGGCGATCACAATGCCTGATAAATCGGAGACGCCAACAGATCGTCCTCTGCTGAGGACCAATTTCAGGCTTATTTCAAAAGCTGATGAAGACCACCCGGAGGCGCGTCGCCACCACTCGATGGTTGTCTACCAACATTGTGCAATCAAGGGTGCACAGTTTGGCAGTGTTGCCTCGCTGGTCCTTGGACCGCCGATTTTCTACCTGCGTGGGCACCGAGGCGGGTTCTTGGCGCAGAAAACTCTGCAGCTAAGTGTGTTCGGCGTTGTAAGTAATGAGGCAAAGCACTTTAATACACGTATCTTAATAGTGTACGGTAATTTACAGCAACACTGACCACAAACTAGAAGTGGTCTACAGAGTACAGTACATGCATGATGTACTGTAAATATACAAAATTTCGGCGCTGCAAAATTTCGGCACTTCACGATTTTTGACATTTCGGCGGCGATTTATTTTCGGCGTGGGGTAGACATGGTAGAGGGCATGGTATAGTGCGACAGATGCTGTGAAAATTTTCATCGGCGTTTTAATTTAGGCGTTTTGGGTCGGTGCCGAATATAGCCGAAATTAAATAGCTGCTGAAAATTTGTATATTTACAGTACATGTACATGATTGTACTCATATGCAATTAATATTTGTAGTCACATGGACAAATACGGTCCTGTACTTGTTGGTTTGACAGCATGAAACAAGGTGGAGGACACTGTGTTCGGAACACAGTGACCTTGCTACAACCATCCACGGTTGGTTGAGCCCCGGTCCGTTGGGACCACCTGAACCATAATGTCAAACCAACAACATGTGTGAACTATAACAAGGTTTATCTATTACTAGAATTGTACTAGTATTGGGTTATATAATACCAGTCATGTACTTGTACAGTCATGCCGCTTGTTGTGAGTTGTCTTCTTTAATACAAAAACATTTACGAGCATTGAATTAGATAGGAAACTGACAGCTAAAGAAAACAATTAAACACTCACTTTGAATGACAACAACTTCTAACGTCACGCGGCTGTGCATGTCTTTGGAAACTGAAGTGAGTCATCCAGTACGGTTCCGGCTTTTATCCACCCAAGTGATCACAGTAAAATCGTGTTCGATAAATTCCACCTCATCTATCGTAATCTAGCACCAAGAATACCGTAAAATTCCGTTAATAAGCCCCGGGCGTATATTTGGGCATGGGCGTTATTTCGGACGCAATCTGCAGAAGATCAATCTATCAGCAACCCACTAGTTTCAGTGAACCACCATTTACACTGAGCACGGTACAGGTACATCAAACCACAGCTGGAAATTTGGTCGTAACCAAGAATGTAGCGATAAATTACAGATTTGATAGGTAAACCACTTGCTATGGTAAGTACAAGGCTGTGTGCAGTTGGATGGCACGCACTCGATCTACAACTGTTCTTCAGTTTGTATGCGAACGCACGCTTGCGCGCTGGTCATTTTGAGTCCACTTTACGCCCTGAGCTTATTGCGGGCATGGGCGCTAAAACGAACTTGAAGTGTACACCGCCTAAAACTGGGCTTATTATCGGACATGGGCGTTATTTAGGGTGGGCTTATTTACGGAATGTTACGGTACGTTATCCCGAGAGGCTGGGGAATTTGCCCATTTCACAAGCAATGATGCATGGTGATGTGAAGTGGGGATTGTATGAGGAGCGGAGATATAACGGTGTATACCAACCCGAAATCGGGTTTTCCTTTGCTCGAGATAGCTTCTTCTTCTTTACCCTTTTTTCAGCGCATTATAGATCTTATTCAATTGGGAGGGTGCCAGGGTGGGACTCAGGAAAATCCCACAGTACCACCGATTCCTGCGATCCCTCCCATTTAGGTGTGCTCAAGAATGTCACGCAACGGACCCACCACGTTCAACAACTTCGCCTGTGTCAGGTACTGAGCCCTATCCGGCCGAGCCTCCGAACAAGGTGGCTTCCTGTCAGCACCATATACCATGCGGGCGACTTGCGCACCCAAAGCCGGGACTAATGCTGCTGGAGTGTCTGGGCGAGGGTAGCGACGGGAAATGGCCTGCCGGAATTTGCGTCGGAGTTCTGATCTAAGACAGGACTCGAGAAACTTAGTAGTTTCTGACGAGACATGACGGGTAAACCCTTTCTCCTCCTCATCCCTGTCATCTGCTGGCCAGTCAGTGTTGGGACCTGCACAGTCAGACACCAGACTATGTGTGCTACCAGACTGACAGTCCAAATCATCAGTCGCCACACCAGATATCGCTGTACCAAGCGGCATGTGGCTTAATTGCGCCAGACCTACTGGACCTCCACTCGTGTCTGAGGGGAGAGGTCGTAGCCTAGGTGGCTCTCACGAGGTCGACCGAGCAGCAAGTGGCTGCAGCGTGGGATTATTTATCAGGTCGCCGTCAACGGACCCACCACGCGTACGCTCAAGACCGGCTCTAGAAGCCTAAGCGGGCTGACTACTGCATGCGGTAGACCTCGCCAAAGGGGAGTCAGCCGATTGAGAAGCAACCGGGATCAGGTGTGGATCAGTTTCCGGTGTATATGCACGATCCGCGAGTCATGCTCTTGCCCGGAGTTGGACTCCAAATTTCCCACGGGCATCCACTGGCCGTCCAGGGATGCCAAACGCCTCTCCAGTGGGCGTAAAGCATGGGCCAGAGCCTGCAGGACTAGCGGAAAAAAACATCCTGAGATGGGGAATCCATACCGAAAACTCAGACAACAGAAAGCTTCGACTACACGCTTCCTCGAGCAAAGAAAAAAGGTGGGAGAAGAATCTAGAGTTCCCGCGTTTGAGCTGAGGGATCACGCGTGGGGCAGTTTTCTTTTACCAAAATTTGATTAAACTTTTCAAATTTTTAGTAAAACTGCGTTTTGAAAATGCTACCTCGAGCAAAGGAAAACCCGATTTCGGGTTGGTGTACACTGTTTTATATCAAAGCTCGAAGCTCCAATATGCAAGTGGATGAGTGACCCCACGGGTTATGGAGTGAGTAACCGCAGGCGATTGGATTGGATGAGCAACCCCAGTGATTTTGTACCCTTGCTAGCACATCTTGTTCCTACACACAGTGCAGTGTTTGCAGTGTAAGAGTTGGGTGGTGCCCGTCGCTGTCTCGTGGGGTCGGATACCCCAAAACACGACTATACCTTGTGCTAGCCTCCTGGCTGCAGCACGAAGTCAGCACGATAGGTGTGCTCTTCCATTCAACCACCGTTTGCAGGACTAGCTGACCAGCCGCTCATCATTTGGCAAGGCCTCCGCCAATTTGTTTAGTTGCCACAGTTATCGTAGTGGATGCGACAAACTTCCTGGAGAGGGGAGGAGGAGAGTGGTATGTGTGGTATCCATCCCTTAGGGAACAATAGCAATTATTCACTTAAGGCCAAGTAAAAATAATCGACCACTTGCCATTTGTACAGATCCACGAAATCCCGTTGACCCGGTAGGGTGTTCATTGTGTGCTATGCATGCGCATTTGACCTTTTTAGCGTCATAATTCAATGACCAGCAATCGCTTTTCCAGCTTCTTCACTTTGGTTAGAACTAATGACTAGCTAGATCTTTGTCAGAAAAAAAGGTTTTCGTATGAAATGCCTTCAGGCCCCATTTCTTAGTGGAAATAGCAGAAAACACAATAGGGTCCTGCACATTCAACACCCTACCGGGTCTACGGGATTCTACGGGATTTCGTGGATCTGTACAAATGGCAAGTGATTGTTGATCGTCAGCGCCCGCCCCGATTTTTCAGTCCGTCCCGGGATTTATTTTATTTTTTATTTTCGTGATCAACGGTAGAAAACTCATGTTTTTAGCGAAACGCGAACTTTTTTTAGCAGTACGCGCTTACGCGAGCTCTCATGTACAGCTTCAACGTGCTTTTTACCGTAGCGACACGCAGTGCAGTGGGATTCTAGTGTATTTGTGTGAAATCTGGCAACTACAATACCTGGCACTGTAGTATGTACAGTGTACCACCTGATATCTACGCCTGCATTCATGGAAACTATGTGTACTCATGCACGCGAGTGTATGTGTGTGTATGTGTGTGTGTGTGCGTGCGTGCCCGCCGTATATGGCAGGAAATTGTATCACAGAGTCATCTGCACATGTTCAAAGTGTTTGGAGTGTGCCCAAGCAGACTGGTACTTGGTAGCAGTAACAACCAACAATGGTAGTACACCCATAACCCCATAGATGTAATACATGCTAAGATTTCAAGATGTCCGGTCGATGCAGATATAAAAAAGTTATGAAATAAAAATAAAACCCTCCCGTCCGCCCCGATTTTTCTGAAAATTCTGACGATCAACAATCTTTTTTTTTTACTTGGCCTAATGTGGGGCTTTGAATAAAGCAAGACATGTGACACGAATACATCAGTCCTTTGGGATCAGGAAACCCCCTCGACAGGCAAACAGCCTTTGAGGAATCCTTAAAAAATATGAACTTAGAAGTTGCGACTTCGGCGGTAATAGTCATGAAGTTGGTTGCTCCAACGAGGAGCACACGCTTCTTGTCGAACTTGACACTTGACTGACTCACGACTGCCATCCGGAGCACACGAGGAGCACGTCTTCCGCTCGGCAAACCTGTAAGAAAGCACCACTCCCTGCTCAATACACAGTGTTTCGGGGAATTCACGGAAGGTGCGACGTGCTCCTTGTGTGCTCCGGATGGCAGTCGTGAGTCAGTCAAGTGTCAAGTTCGGCAAGAAGCGTGTGCTCCTCGTTGGAGCAACCAACTTCTTAAAAAATATATAAATACAAATACAAATGAATTCCCTAGTCTGCTTTCGCTGGTGATAACTACGATTCCCTGATGAAATTAGGCTGGGAGCGACCCTATGGCCAACTCAAATGTTTGTGTCGCTCACTGTGTGTGTGTGTGTGTGTGTGTGTGTGTGTGTGTGTGTGTGTCTGTGTGTGTGTGTGTGTGTGTGTCTGTGTCTGTGTGTGCGTGTCTGTGTGTCTGTGTGTCTGTGTGTGTTAGTGTGTTAGTGTGTGTTTCGTGTCCATCCCTGAGTGCACTGATAATCCTTTTGAAAAGGAGAGCGGTGTTTCCATACAGGTCTTTTGTGTAGATGTTGGTGAATGATCCAGCAATATCTGCTTGCGTGTAGCAATGGACGCTGAACCCCTAGCGTTGCAGTGTGTTTGTAACAATGCTCAGGCTCAGGTAACGTTGCACTGCACACTTGTGTTGTGTCCCATGCAGGCGGCGGGAATGCTGGCCAGCGAGGCCATGTGCTACATGATTCTCAGAAAGCAGCCGGACGAGGGCGTGTTCGACCGCGCCTATCGCCTGTCAAACAGCGAGTCGCAGAACCGCGCCGATGTGTTCTCGGCCGTAGGCGCCGTCACCATGGCAGCGCTTGCTTTTCGCCTGCCCATCGGATACATGCCCGGTGCCTGTGTTGGCTTCGGCCTGGGCATTCTTGCTCACTGCGCCTACAAGCCGTTTGCCAAACGAGAACCACTGACCACTGCGGCATAGTGTCCTTGGGCTGGCAATGAACGCTTCTCGATCATTTTGGTTTCTTGCCTGCTCTGCTGCTGCCGACAGTGGCGCGAAAAGCCTTGCTGTGTTTGCCAGGCCTGCCTGTTTATGTACTCTTGGCAGCATGCATTGTGGCTATGGCAGAACCCCTGTTCTGTATCCCGTCAGACGAAGCTCTGAATTTAGTCTGCACCGTGCTCCCATCTTCTGTTTCTACGTTCATAGCGAACCATGTTTTTTTGCCACAAAATGGTCAGTACCCTATGCTGTGCGTGCACAATGTACGCACACTTGTCCCTTTTTTGTGTTTTTGAAGCTTCAAGTCGCGTAAGTTGATCGCATGTGCTGACTGTCTGTAGCTGTTTTTTTTTTGAACTAGTCGAATTTTCCCGTAATATGTATTTTCACTTTATACTCAATTTGGTGCCCCTTCAATACCTTCCATTGCACCACCTAGTTATTATTAGGTGCACTGTTTTATTTAAAGGTTTTCTTTGGTAGTGGAGAATGTACTAGAAGTACATGCTGTTGCTAAAATGCTTGCAAGTGTGAGCCTTTTGTTGATCCGTCCGCTTTACCCAGGGCCGGCGGGGGTTCTATCGGGAGTCCTACCATCTACTGGTATACATCAGCACATTTGGCCACGGCCTAGCCAGAGAGTAGTACGGTACCATAATAATTATTGTACTACTTTCTAGCCACAACACTCAACAGTACAGATCATGGTTAGCGATTCACTCGGCCGCCTGATCATTGTGTTGGTTGAACATTGCAGAATATTATTACCGGTATAATGATGGCGTGTTGGCAAGAGCTCTAGTACGAGTACATAACCCTATTCTTCATTGGACCAGTGACAGTGGCTCAACATGTGCTTTGTGTAAGGTGCATGACGTGTCAGCTACTATACCACTCACGTAACTGCCGTTGCGTATACACCGCAGTGCGAACACCACATAATTATTACACAGAGTGCATGATCTGGGGTCACATGTATTACACTAACAGTTAGTACATGCATGTATATACACAATCCGTAGACTATGGTGTGACAAGAAGAATTTCATATGCCTGGTTTTGGAATGCTGTGCATGCACGTGCCATCAAGAACATGCACATGCATAGTGATAACTGTTGTTTTGCTGGGTGTTTGTACAACCAACATACACAACTTTTTTTGCAAATACGCGATCATGGCAAGCAACTCGAGGGCCAATAAACACAAGCTCTCTCACCCATGTGTGTGTGTGTGTGTGTGTGTGTGAGAGAGAGAGAGAGAGTGTGTGTGTATGTATGTGTGTGTGTGAGAGAGAGAGAGAGAGAGAGAGAGAGAGAGAGAGAGTGTGTGTGTGTGTGTTCGTGTGTGCGGGCCACCATTGTACGAAGTGACCGGAAGATCATCTACGAGTACAAGCGGCTAAGAGGTATACTAGAACTAGAGCAGGGAGTTGTATGGACTCCATACAACTCCCTGCTATGGACTCCATACACCTCCCTGGCACAAGTGCCACCCCGGCAATGACTCTGGAGGAAAGCTCTCTTGTTATCTCGGTCTTTCTTCTTCTTTTTCTCCATAATTTCTCCACCAGAAACATGAAGTACTGCAGCGACAAGCTTGGCCTCACAAATACATAAAATATAGAAAAGAGCACACCGCGGCAGAATCGGTTCATCTGTTGCGAAAGAAAACAGGCCAAATTCATTACACTAGGATTAAAAAAATCAAGCACCCTAAAATTGAAAATCAGATGTGTTGAATTGATAACGAATCAAGTATCCTTTATCTCGAAACACGGTAAAAATAGAGAGGCCCACCAGGGAAGCGGAGTAAAATACCCATAGAATAAATACAGAAAAGCGGCAGGGCCGACCGAGGGCAGGAATCTATACGCTCCAGAAACTCTTTTATCAGGCAGACTGTTCTACCAGCACCTAAGGAAACTAATTTTATGATACAGTATACGTACAGCTAAACATGGAGTATATACTTGCTACTTCTCCTGCGCGCGCACATCGGACGTGCCAGTAGTTCACTGCTACCGTACACGGATCGGCATGCCCTACAACACAGTGTGAGGTGCACCGGAGCCGTGCTGTCAACACAGCTACATACAAACAAGAGAAAAACAATGGTCTCTTGATATAACGGAACATGCTCGTCTCGACCATGGCAGAAGACGCTTGATCAGTCTAAGTTGAAACCATTCCAGATGGAACAACGGCGAGGACAGCAAGCTGCCAATTCGGCCCATCAACCAATACACAGCAGCATACACACAAGGATCACTACAGCAGGTACTGAACGACTGTCAGCATGTGTCACTACCGCTGGCTTCGGGATATCTCCATTTCAATGTCGCGCAGGGAGCTCTGCAGGGTCTCCACTTCGTCAAAGCGCTTGGCTTTGCGCGCCTGTTCAATGTAGCCGCGCAAGAGATCGCGCTGCAGAAGCAACGGATCCTGGTCGGGGTCGGCACCAGACACGATCGGAGTAACCTTTGGCTGCCAGCCAGATGGCGAGTTGGGCTTCGATTCCTTCGAAGGCACTTGCGAAGAAGATGATGGTGTACTGAACAACACAAAACGAGACAAGAACGCATACACACACACACACATAGTCATATAAGCAAATAACAATGAAACCAGCTATAGCTATGAAAAGCGGGAGACATGAGATGAACTACAGTATGTACTTGATGCAGTCACACAGCTCTCAGGGTTGGTGCTGGGTCCAGTGACAGTGTGATGAGCTGATCAAAAATCACGCTGGCCCACGCAGCCATGGGCTGCCAACGTCGGGTGAGTTGTCAGAATCGGTGGGTGACTGGCTGATTGCTGTACATCACATTACTAGGACACTTTTAATCTAAACATCGAAATATTTTGGATGTGAAGTATGCGGTGTCTTCAGTGCACCAGGTAGAGATGAAAAGGCCCAAAAAGTAGCTGGTCACCATCAACATTGCGGAGTAATGCGCACCCCAAAATTGGATATTTTTCGGATTTTGTTTGCGCAATACGGGCCATTATGAGAAATTGGCCCGAAATGTTTCGCTAATTATCAACTCTACCAATTGTAAGTTACTTGTAAATCCAAGAAACGTGACTGTTCACCACAAGCTATTCTTTTTTTATTTCCTTTCCGGCTACCTTTCGGTGCAAGTGCGGCGTGTTGTATTAAAATACACTACACCGCACTTGCTCTGCTAACCATCACCAAATAAGGCAACAACGTACCCATCGGTCGACGTTGACATGGTCTGTAGCTCCGACGCAATCTTCTCCATCTCTCTCATCTCCATGGCACGCTCAGCGGCCTCGCGATCTCGCCGAGCCTTCTCCTCGGCGGCGCGAGACCGCTCAGCCTGCAAGCGCTTCAGCTTATCAGCATCTGGCAGGCCGGGCAACGTCACCATGTGTTCCTATACAGCACAGAGCACAGAGAGAGAGAGAGAGAGAGAGAGAGAGAGAGAGAGAGAGAGAGAGAGAGAGAGAGAGAGAGAGAGAGAGAGAGAGAGATAGCAGGCATTGTCAACAACGGGACCCATGGGAAAGAACACAGAAAGATACTTGATCACACAGAGAGATAGCAGGCACCATCAACAACGGGACCCACGGGCAAACACACAGGGAGATAGCAGGCATTATCAACAGCGGGACGGACCTATGGGTAGTCCTGCCATTGTAACGTTTTTTGTTGTGCTGGACGAGTTCACTTCAGACGTCGTACACACTCCGCTACCAGCCCAGTGTAAAAGGCCACAAACTGTGTACAGTATGATCATGCTCACAAATGTACTGAAGTCAAAGAACTGGTTGTGCATGTCTGGTATGGGACAAGCTGTACATGCACAGTTGTGGCAAGCCAGGCCCAGGCTGATGTGCAATTGCAGTGCTGAACGCCACTAGCAATTGGCCATGACGTCCTGAGCACTGTCCCTAGCATGTACACACGAGGTCAGCGTAGTCGGCTTACGGTGGCAAAAGGGTACATCGGCCTGGATTTTATTGCCACGACTGCACACATGCCATCGGCTCACAGTAGACACCCCCCCCCCCCCCCCCCCGGCTGGATATCTTGGTGAGAAGAGAATGTGTGAGAGTAAGTGAAGTCTTACTACGCTAGCATGGCTCACATACCTGCAGAAACGCACTGGCAAACTGGCGAATTTGCTTGTGTACATGCATCTGGCGTGGAGTAGCAGTGGGCCGCTGGTCCTGTTGCTTCTCGACGTTCTTTCCCTTTCCTTTCTGTTGCTGCTGCTGTTGCTGCTGAGGCGGTGGCTGAACCATTGCAAAGATTCGCTTGCTACACGCAACAACACAGAGGACAAAATCAGAAAATCATGGTGAGTACGTACATGCTGGTGTGTGTGTGTGTGTGTGTGTGTGTGTGTGTGTGTGTGTGTGTGTGTGTGTGTGTGTGTGTGATGGTGTGTGTGTGTGTGTGTGTGTAAGTTACAACCCCAAACATTCATTGTACAGCAGAACAAAACATCCACGTGATATTTCATCTTCAACAGGGGGAACGTTCGGGCTAAACTTTGGCAAACACGATGGTACATTCTAAAAGCACTGAAATCGTTTTCCACATCCACGAATGTTACTCACTTCATAAAAATACTTACAGCACCTCAAATCAATAAAAAACAAACCCAGAGAACTAACCTGGCTGCATCGACAATTTCAAACATCTTGATGAGGCGGTGACGCGTTTCCTGAGCTACTGCCAACGAATGGGTCTGCTCGCCCGCACTGCAGATAGAAGCAGGCGCAAAGAAGCACACATAACAGGACATAGATATTGGCTACAGAGAACAGCATAAGCGTTGACTATCGACAGCCCAGACCTTGAAAAAAGAACTAGAAGAGAAGTGCATCGCGAAAACTCTTCCCAAGTTTAAATTCGTACATTCTAATCCCGATTAGGGAGTACATACGCAAGTCCTTACGGAACTCTCAGAAAATGCCGCGCGCCTATGTCGTTGATCAGTGGTAGTCTAACTCGCATTTGCTTTCCAAGTCTGGTCGATTACATGTACTTGCAGCAGTACAAAACCCCATCGTACATGTACTCTCGATGGCACCAAGACGTTCTAAATGGGCACAGAACTAATGCTCGCCGATGACCTGGGTTTGAGGATCTGTAAAAGCTCTGCAAAAGGCCTCGGACATCCAAGCACATATATATACTCTTCATTGGTCGGCTGCTCCGCGTTGAGTTTTTTCTCTCCAGTCTCGTACTACAGCGTTCAGATGTAAGGGTGAGGCCTCCTGCAGTGTTGTCAAGTAGGGTAACGCGGGTTCAGGTTTCATCAGAGGTTTCTTTAATTTTTTTACTTGCAAATACTTTTTTCCCCCCACGACAGGCCACGAAAGCAGGCCACGAAAGGCTTGCACAAGAAAGAGGGACGCACAATGCTGAGAAAAGAAAACACAGCTATCAAGAATATTTTAGTGCATGCTCGAGGCAGACTCATGTAGCGGATTCTCGGTCACATGACCTGATTTACTTCGGTTTCAATGAAATTCTCATAATTATTGGCTTCATGAAATTCTCCGGTCTCGCGGTCACACTTATATGTATTACGACCGCTTTACCGTATCAGCATGCGCCGTTCACTTCCGCACCGTATTATCCTTATTTGCATGCGTACTACAGCTGTGTACAACTAGATTCCAGTGCGCCGCTGGCCTTCCCTTTTGGTATAGTTGTACCGTACACCGTATTCAGCAGGCGAGCAGAAGTCGCCGCTCCTTGCCTTGCTTCCATTCTCTCTCTCTCTCTCTCTCTCTCTCTCTCTCTCTGGTTGTGAGCCGAACAGTAATGTTTCTGTCCTCTCTGTAATCTACAAAGTAACATTAATTATGACACCAGATTCAATCGTTCGAAGTTAGTTCTAAATTCACGAATCCAGACTTTTGTATAGAATTACGTAGCGCACTGCTACAATTGGTGACCCCGTCTAGTGTTCGATCGCTCAGTGGTCTGCACGCAGCATTGAATTTTAGTATTTTACGAGCACTGGTACAGTATGAATACATCAAACTCCGCAGCTAGCACACCTATCCGCAGCGTAGGTCGTGGCCAACTGCTGTCCAGAATCACGGGCGCTGGAAGTACCGCAGCAGGCGGCACAGCCCGCGACAGTGAGGTGGCCGCGGTCAGCTTGAACGTCAAGCTACCACCTTACTGGGCTGCTGACCCCCAGGTTTGGTTCGCACAGGTTGAATCCCTGTTTTCCACCCGTCGCATCACCAGCCAGGTGACCAAATATCAGTACGTGGTGGGATCACTGACACCAGAGTATGCGGCAGAGGTGCGTGACATCATCCTGGATCCTCCTGCTCAACAGCCGTACGACGCTCTCCGCGAGCGTCTCATTCACCGCACGCAGATGTCAGAACAGCAGCGTTTGCGCCTGCTGATTTCGGACGAGGAGCTGGGCGACAAGAAGCCTACCCAGCTATTACGCAAGCTACAGCAGTTAGTAGGTGAGAACGCCATGCCCGAAAAACTTTTGCGAGAGCTGTTTGTCAGCCGGTTGCCCCGATCGGCCAAGTCAATAGTAGCATCCTGCCCTGCATCACTGCCGCTGCAGGATCTGGCAGAAACGGCTGACAGAATAGTGGAGGCAGCTGGTCCCAGTGCGGCAGTACATGCAGTTCGCAACACTGGCGAGTCAGAGACAATGGCTGCCATTGCAGCTCTCCGGGACCAAGTTGCCGCCCTGACGACTACTGTAACCGAGCTGAAACAGCAGCACGGCCGCCCTCGCTTCCGCGGCCAACCCCGCAGTCGCTCGGTCTCACCGCATAGCAGTGGTTTATGCCATTTTCACCGCAAGTTTGGTGTGCAAGCCCGGCGGTGTGAAGCCCCGTGCTCCTGGTCGTCGGGAAATGCCCCGGCCAGCCAGTAGCGGCTCCTGTATCTGGCCCACCTACCTTCCGCCGCCTCTATGTCCGTGACGTCACCAGCGGAACCCGTTTCCTAATGGATACCGGTGCTGACGTCAGCCTGCTGCCAGCCACTTCTGAACACCGCCACCACGTCGATCCGACTGGTCAGTGTCAGCTCCGTGCTCCTAATGGCTCTGCTATTCCGGCTTTCGGGCAGAGGTGTTTGACCCTTGACCTTGGTCTTAGACGAACATTCCCTTGGATATTTGTCGTTGCTGACGTGAAGGAGCCGATCCCGGGGGCTGATTTCCTCCATCGGTTCAGTCTCAAAGTCGACCTTCATGGACGCACCATCCGTGACAACTCCACTGACCTCCAGGTCAATTGCATTCCTGCCGAAACCGCATCGCTCAGCTGCTCCTTGGTTTCCGCCCCGGTGGCCACAGCACCAGCATTCACCGACCTGCTTGCCGAGTTCCCAAGCCTCACCAAACCATGCTGTTATGACCTGCCGGTCAAGCACTCGGTGGAGCACCATATTGTGACTACCGGCCCGGCACTGCATGCCCGCACTCGTCGGCTGGCTCCAGACTGCCTGGCAACGGCCAGAGCTGAGTTCCAGCATATGCTGTCCCTGGGCATCATTCGGCCATCCTCCTCGCCCTGGTCCAGCCCTCTCCACATGGTTCCTAAACCCAATGGAGACTGGAGGCCATGTGGAGACTACCGACTCCTGAATAAAGTCACCGAACCGGATCGGTATCCAATTCCTCATATTCAGGATTTCACCAGCAGTCTCCATGGTGCTACAGTGTTTTCGAAACTGGATCTGGTCAGAGCGTATCACCAGATACCAGTAACCCCGGCCGACATTCCCAAGACTGCCATCACGACTCCGTTCGGGTTATTTGAGTTCATCAGGATGCCCTTCGGCCTCCGGAACGCGGCACAGTCATTCCAGCGGTTTATCGATTCAGTATTGCATGGCCTGGATTTCTGCTACGTCTACCTCGATGACCTCCTAATCGCCAGCTCCGACCACGCTACGCACCTGCAACATCTGCGCCTGGTGTTTGAGCGCCTGCAGCAGCATGGTTTGGTGATCAACCCCGCTAAGTGCGTTTTCGGCCAGCCGTCCCTGACGTTTCTGGGCCATCTGGTTAACGCCCAGGGCATCAGCCCGCTACCGGCAAGAGTCGACGGCGTGGCTCAGTACTCCCTTCCAACATCTCGCCGCCAGCTTCGCGAGTTTCTGGGCATGGTCAACTTTTACCGGCGCTTTATTCCCCAGGCATCCGACATCCTCCAACCACTGACGGATCTGCTTGGTGGACCTCAGCGTCCGAAGAACTGTCCCCTGAAACTTGGCACTGCCGCTGTCACGGCATTCCATGCTGCCAAGGACGCGCTTGCTGCAGCAACGTTGCTCATCCACCCCATCCCGGATGCACCCCTCCAGCTCGTTGTGGATGCATCAGATGTCGGAGTGGGCGGGGCCCTTCAACAGCTTGTTGATGGGGCATGGCAGCCGCTCGCTTTCTTTTCCAAACGAATGCAACCAGCTCAGAGCCGCTACAGCACGTTCGGTCGAGAATTGCTAGCTGCGTACCTGGCAGTAAAGCATTTCCGGCATCACCTGGAAGGCCGCTGCTTCCACATTCTGACGGACCATCGCCCGTTAGTGTTCGTCATGCAAGCTGCTGGTACTAGCCACTCACCTCGTGAGCTCCGGCACCTGTCCTACGTGGCTGAATTCGCGACGGATCTCCGCTTCCTGCGTGGGGCTGACAATGTTGTTGCTGACGCTCTGTCTCGCGCCACTGTTGATGCAGTAACCGCGCCGCCGGCCGCGGTAGACTTTCAGGCTCTCGCAGCCGCCCAGCAGTCTGATCCCGAGCTACTCTCCGCTCAGCAAGACACGCAGTCGTCTCTGAAGCTTCAGCCAATCCCGTACGGTTCCGCTACCCAGCCTGTGGTGTGCGACATGTCGACCGGCACTGCCCGCCCGTTTGTACCGTTGTCCTTTCGCAAGACCGTCTTCAACAGCCTGCACTCCCTTGCACATCCGGGTATTCGTGCCACTCAGCGTATGGTTTCGGCACGCTACGTCTGGCCCGGCATGCAAAAGGACGTCCGGGAATGGACCCGCTGCTGCCCCTCCTGTCAGCTGAGCAAAGTGACCCGCCACACCCAGGCTCCGCTTGGCCAGTTTCTGCCACCCGATGAGCGCTTTGACCACATCCACATTGATTTGGTCGGCCCTTTGCCTCCCTACGGTGGTTGCACCTATCTGCTGACCTGCGTGGATCGCTTTACCCGCTGGCCAGAGGCCATTCCGATCAAGGACGCCGCCGCGGAAACAGTCGCCACCGCTTTCATCGCTGGGTTGATTGCCCGCTTCGGCGTCCCATCTGTCGTCACCACAGATCGTGGCGCCCAGTTTGAGTCTGCGCTTTTCCGCCACTTGTTGGCCCTACTCGGCACCTGCCGGACTCGGACAACTTCCTACCGTCCACAATGCAATGGCCTCGTCGAGCGTTTCCACCGCCACCTAAAGGCTGCTCTGAAGTGCCACCCTCATCCTGGTGCCTGGAATGCGATGATGCCCCTGGTGTTGCTGGGCATTCGCGCTAGCCTGCGCGAGGAGTTCCAGTGCAGTTCCGCGGAGCTGGTCTATGGCACCACTCTCCGCTTGCCATCTGAGTTCTTCCAGCCACCGCCGTCTATGCCGTCGGTGCCCGTTTACGTTCAGTTCCTCCGGGATGTATTGCAAAACATCCGGCCCTCGCCAGTCCAACCTCCCAGTATACGTGCCTAAGGATCTGTCAACGTGCGACTTCGTGTACATCCGTACCGACAGTGTCCGCAAGCCGCTCCAGCCACCGTACACTGGTCTGTTCCGGGTCCTCAAGCGTGCTGACAAGCATTTCACGGTCGACGTCAAGGGCAAGTCCGACCAGGTAAGCATTGACCGCTTGAAGCCCGCATATGCTCTGCCTGTTACAGCCGCTGCTGCTTCTGCTCTTTCTCTGATTGTCCCGCCGGTTGCTGCTGCTGCCCCACCCCCTGCACGTGCTGTTCGCTTTGCTACCTGATCGGCTGGGCTCCTCCGTTCTTTGTCGCCGTTGGCCGTTTATGTCGGACCTTTTCCGGTTGCCGTGCGGTTTTCATTTTTTTTCTTCCTTTATACGCTTCTTCTTCTACGTTGCTGTTGTCGTTTCTCTCCTTTCCAAGGTCATCGTTTCCTGCCTCCGGCTTGTACACTGGCAGGGGAGTAATGTAGCGGATTCTCGGTCACATGACCTGATTTACTTCGGTTTCAATGAAATTCTCATAATTATTGGCTTCATGAAATTCTCCGGTCTCGCGGTCACACTTATATTTATTACGACCGCTTTACCGTATCAGCATGCGCCGTTCACTTCCGCACCGTATTATCCCTATTTGCATGCGTACTACAGCTGTGTACAACTAGATTCCAGTGCGCCGCTGGCCTTCCCTTTTGGTATAGTTGTACCGTACACCGTATTCAGCAGGTGAGCAGAATTCGCCGCTCCTTGCCTTTTGCCTTGCTTCCATTCTCTCTCTCTCTCTCTCTCTCTCTCTCTCTGGTTGTGAGCCGAACAGTTATGTTTCTGTCCTCTCTGTAATCTACAAAGTAACATTAATTATGACACCAGATTCAATCGTTCGAAGTTAGTTCTAAATTCACGAATCCAGACTTTTGTATAGAATTACGTAGCGCACTGCTACACTCAGAGAGGCGACACTTCACTGACCATCTACATTACAAGTGAAGAGTTTTGGTGCAAAAAGCGACAGGCACCAAATCTGAGAAAATGAGATTTTAAGCTCAATGTAATCAAATTGTCTAGACGTACCTTCAGGCAAAATTTCAATTCAAAATTTGACTTGAACCACTTCGAAAATAGTGGCCAAGTACGGGTTTAGATTAGGGGTGAAACGAAGGTACCAAAGATTCGAAGAACCTTCGTTTTCAATTCAAAAGAAGGTTAACACACGATTTCTGCACTCACACATGCACTAATCTTCCTTGTATACAAGAGGTACTGTACTGCAGTCAGTCCAGTCGACTAGTTTTGTGTCCACTTGGCTTCCGTAGGTGCCATTGGAAGTGCATAGTAGGCCACGGACTGCGCTTGAGCGTGGCCATTCACAGCCACGGTGTGCAGACGTACGTAGTCTTGGGCAGTTTGAGATGGAAACTGCGCAGTGCAAAGGCTATGGGCCTGCCAATTGTGGTGACTGCATAGCAAATATGTGCACAGTCATGTACTTTGTAAGGCACATGCGCCTAGTGTGCTTCAAGGGGAACTGTGAACTGGTAAAAGAATCCTTCGACACCTTCGTTCGTTTTGATGAAGAAGGTTCGTTTAGCAAATTGAGACCTTCGTTTCACCCCTAGTTTAGATGCAAATCGCATTATAAAATGAGTCCTTTTTTGGTCATTATCCGAAAAGTGATGCATGGATATGTTGCGTATTACACCTAAACTCTTTAAGTACACGTCAGGACTTTCGGACCAACACACAGGCTTACTTTAGAGAATCCGCCATCACCAGGTACCTGGGCTGCAACGAGGACGCCTCCTCCATGGACGATGTCATTTTCTGCAACAGTAGCAGCATAGCAAGGAGAAGGAGCCCTAAATGTACATACATCAACGGGTATCAACTCTCACTGGAAGAGAATAAAATACTGTATGTCTACAAATTTTCAGCACATTCAAATTTCGGCCTCCCAGGGCTAAAACACATTCCGGCTGCAACACATTTTCGGCCGCAACACATTTTCGGCCTGTACTGCTGCTGCCTGTATACACTGTCACACAGAACCTTGCAAAACAAAATTTCGGTTGCAACAAATTTTCGGCCAAAATAAATATGATCAGGCCGAAAAAAGCCGAAAATAAATATGCGCCGAATATTTGTTGACTTACAGTAAATGATCCATATCAAGAATCCAGAGAGCTATAGCACAATCCTACATGTTGATAAGTGGGACCTAGACTGTACTGCATTCTTCAGTGTATGCAGGTTAGTGATTATTATTATTATATATTTTTCTCATACTTCCAATCGTGACAGTACCTCGTAAAGCTGAACGAGAGGTGACCGTTTGTACTTGTCCTGGAGACGCTGAGATCTCCTGTGAACGACAACAGGACATACACACACAAACACACACAAGGCGATTCGTGATCAGTACAAGAAGAGAAGGAAGCCCAGACATCATAGCCGACGACTTACAGCATGCAAACAAAGAATGCTGAAGGTATTTAGCAGTGAATACAATGAGTGATGGAGAGTGCAGCACATATACAGTTGCCTGTAGCAAGCGTGCATGAGCAAGAGCAGTATTGAAAAGATATGCACGTACATAGTGATACCACATGCCCGGGTATCTTCAGCAAGCCCAGTCCAATTATGCACATGTACAGCAATCAATATGGACGGGAGCAGAGTCAGAGGGCAAGCGGCCAGGCAAGGCAGTACATTCGTCTTTCCTCACCTTAGCAGTAGGCCGAAGCAAGCAAAGCAGGTTCGGATATCGGTGTTGGGATCGGTCTCCATCTCCTCGCCCATCGGTGCCCTCTGGCTCTCGCCCTTGGCAGCCTTCGTTAAACTCTCTGTAGGAATAGAAAGAGCAAGGCATATGTTATTTGGCAAAGAAAATACGACAAGATCTGAAGCAGGGCAACATAACGTAATCTCAACTCTGCGCAACAGAGAGAGAGAGAGAGAGAGAGAGAGAGAGAGAGAGAGAGAGAGAGGGAAGGGAGGGAGAGAGAGGGAGAGAGAGGGGAGAGAGAGGGAGAGAGAGAGAGAGGGAGAGAGAGAGGGAGAGAGAGAGAGGGAGAGGAGAGAGAGAGAGAGAGAGAGAGAGAGAGAGAGAGAGAGAGAGAGAGAGAGAGAGAGAGAGAGAGAGAGAGAGAGAGAGAGAGAGAGAGAGAGAGAGAGAGAGAGAGAGAGGGAGAGGAGAGAGAGAGAGAGAGAGAGAGAGAGAGAGAGAGAGAGGAGAGAGAGAGAGAGAGAGAGAGAGAGAGAGAGAGAGAGAGAGAGAGAGAGAGAGAGAGAGAGAGAAGAGAGAGAGAGAGAGAGAGGGAGAGAGAGAGAGGGAGAGAGAGAGAGGGAGAGAGAGAGGGAGAGAGAGAGAGAGAGAGGGAGAGAGAGAGGGAGAGAGAGAGGGAGAGAGAGAGAGGGAGAGAGAGAGAGAGAGAGGGAGAGAGAGAGACACACACACACGCACACACACACACAGAAACAGAGAGAGACAGAGAGAACGCAGCTCACCTGCAAACGGCATTGCAATGAACTCCGAGCAGTCCGCGCAAATGATTTGACCACAGAGGCGGCAGTGGTGCTTGCGGCGTCTCACATTGAAGTTGCTCTCACAGAAAGGGCACCTCGATGCCATCGAATCGGCCATCCAAGTCACAACCGTTTGCTCAAAGGCTATCAGAGAAGAAAAGAAAGAAATGAGATAGGCAGATGAAGTTTAGGGCATAACAACAATTAACCCTTTCACTGCCACTGTCGACTGCAGTCGACAGCGCATTCATGCACTTTGAGTGCCATTGTCGACTTGCGTCGACGAGTAAACATGCAGTCCCCAGTGCTGTTGTCGGACTTCCGTCGACAGGCAGACCTCAACCAGTTTGGGCCACTATTTTCGAGTATTGGAGATATTCAGCCGTGGTAGACGGCTACTGGGCCCTGGACGATGTCCATACCCATCGAAATACGCTGCCAGAAGTATGGGTTGCCATTTGAAATAAATCGAATCAGCGTCGTTAAATGCGCATCCAATTTTTAGCTGAGCGGCGAGGAAGAAATAGGTTCTCACGCACTTCCACCTCGCTGAGTCGGTGCGAGTATTTTTCTCTTTCCCATCAACTTTCATTGCACGGAGCATGGAATTTGGCTCAGACTTGATGCCTAGCTATTACCCAAGACTCCAGGCGGCTATCCGTTGCGATAGGCGGTTGGAGTCACGGGTAGAGACAACCAGACGATGAATTCCTCGCCGACGCATTCACTGCAAACGTGACGGAAACAGCGCTGGCGGCGCTCACTGGGTCCAGAACTAAGAATTTCTAAGAACTACCACGTTACAATGGCGACCAGCACGGTCAATAGACACTACAGGTATGTTAGCTACAACATAATTATATTCTTTCTACGACACCTACCTCTGGCTCAATACCTGACGATCTACTGCAAGCTGATGCGAAGATGCGAGGGATCCGGATAAAAGAGGACCGGATAAGCGAGGCCTGACTGTATTGGTTTTCTCATTCTGGACACCCCTAGCATTGCAAAAAGGTGTCAAACTGGTGAATTTTGCAAAAAAGGTGTATGGCATTCCACCGACACAAATCTACTGTGGAAGTGTACGATGTCTGGGAGCAATGCTACACACGACTGTAAACGTGTAGGAGCATAGAATAGAGACCTGATTTTCCGCCACCATACTTGTACAGCCATGCACTACTACAGTACTACAGTCCACAGTGGCGGATCCAGGACTTGGCCGAAGAGGGGGCCCAAGGTATCCGTCCTCCCCCCCCCCTTCCCAAAAAAAACAACAAATACAACAACAACAAAGTCCTGAAGTTGTGAAGAGCTGTTGTATTTAGGGTCCGGCGGATTCTGCCGGCAGAAAAATTGGCAGAATTCGGTACTTTTTCTGGTAAGTTTCATGCATGTTTGGTATGTGGATAAAAAAAATGGAGGTTTGTATGGTTCTGCCAATTTCACTGCTTTTCGAGCAGAATATGCCACCTTTTCGAGCAGAATCCGCCGGTCCCTAGTTTTATTCCATTCTCACGACATTTTCAAACTGCACTGGAACATTTCCACTCGACAGCGGCTGCGAGGGACCTTTGGACGGCTCTTCAACGCGAACTCTCTTATCTACCGGTCCACTGAAGAACGACCTGATGTCAGACCCTTTCCTCTTCATCGCATATCTGAAGGTAAACCCGTTGGCTACACGCGAAGTAGAGAGAGCGTAATAGTTTCTGACAAGTGAAAAAGAAAAAAGGAAGGACGAAGTCGACAGCACCGTGCACCATACAGGACTTCAGCCCAACGCGATCGCTGCACTATGCACCAGGCCCTGCATTTTTGGCACGTTTTTCACATGTTTGAAGTGCGGCCGTGTCCTCAGGTCGCAGTGCGTACAGTAGTTGTACACAGCGCGCTGGCTAGTACAGTGCGTGACACCGGGACACTTATAAAAGTACGTAGCACGCGTGACCCACTTGACACGGCAAGTCAATTTTCGAGCGCTCATTCTACAGTCTACTGACAGTACTGTAATCCTAGACCAAGGTCGAAATTTTCAAAGGGGGGGGGCCTAGGCCCCTGGGCCCCCCCCCCCCCCTGGATCCGCCACTGGTCCATTTCAAAACTATAGACGCGTACCTAGGCAAAAACCGTTATGCCAGCATCTATACCACATAAAATCAGTGATCACTTTGTGCATATTTTTTTCCAAATTGGGCGTCTGTTATCCAATCGTTTAGAAACTATATGAGAGTAATTGTGGAGCCATCCTGAGCAATATTCCGAAAACTATTCTCAAAAAGTTCCAGCCAAATTCGAAATATTTCAAAAACCCTACGCGTCTATAGTTTTGAAATGGACTGTAGTAGCACTAATGGCCACTCACCTTTCCTTTTCTTCTTTTCAGACTTGAACTCAGCGCGATTCTTCATGAGGCCGTCGTAAAGCTATAGAGAACAACAGAGTGAACAAAGGCCGAGTAAAATGCATGGCATGTGTATTACGGTATACAGGATGAGCAGTACAAATCACTTTGAAACAAATTATAAGTCTTGCAAAGAGACTGAGAACGAGAGACCTAATACTACCAAAGCAATTCTGTGCAAGTGTTAGTTGTTGCAGAGAGCAATGGCAAAAAAAGCAAGATTGCTTGATGAACGAGAGACGTTTGCTTCACTAACCTTCTCTAAGCGAATGACTTTCTTATTCGTCTCGATGACGGTGCGCTTCACATTGTCCTCGCGAAGGCCTTTGAAGCGCTGGAAATGGTCTCGAGTTGCTCCTGGTAGCAATAATCAACACAGCAGATTCACACAGCGCAGAACAAGCAGAGTACTTTGGAGAATAGTCAACTTCGTGAATAACAACCTCGGTTATACCGGTAACAACAACTTGCGAGTAACGACAACTCACTAACTCTGAACGACAACCCCGGGTATAACGACAAATTGCAAGTAAAGACACTCTCTTCAATTCAGACCTAATAAGTAGTAATAACCTTATCAGGACCGCCGGAAGCAGTTTTTTGATAGGTCCGGTAGTATCATGGCCGTTCATACAGTTTGTGTATGGTATGGCTGGTACGCCTGGCCTCCACAGTAGGAAACACGTGTTGGTGGCTGAAAAGTTGGTCCGGTAATGACCTGACCAACCGGACCGGTTCCGGCGGGCCTGCTTATTGACTGCACACTTTTAACGTCATGAAGAATGACAAGCCACAGACTATGAACAACAACCCTGGGTATAACAACTCGCGAGTAACGGCTCTAGCCTCAGACCTAGCAGCCTTATGGACTGCACACTTTTAACGTCATGAATAACGATAACTCACGTAGCACAGGCGTAGTTAGTTTGAATCTCACTGCAAATCTGGTCAGTCCAGTGTGCGGGCGGATTGCACTGGCCAGTTCAGACCAGGCCGGAGTAGTAAAATACTTTTTTTACTACTCCCTGGTCTTTACTATAATTATTATTGTAAATCGGCGTAACTTTCGGACCATTTAGACATACATACAGTGTCGTGGGTGTATGGTCGCATAAGAACGTTATTGATAAGAGAATCCGGAAAACTAGGAGTTTTTCCTCAGCGATTTGGGGTCCAAGTTATCAGGATTCCACATGCAGGTATCGGATCCCTTGCTCGGCTTGATCGCTGCACTTGTGTACCCAGATATATTGGTGCGACGGAACTAGTAGCGAGAGATAACTAGTTTCAATTTTTCAGGCACTTTAAAAATACAAGTATCAATTCCTCAGTAACTGAACTTTAGAAATTAACCGAAGGTTCATTGCTAGTACTGTACATATACGCATATTCGTCGGGTGGGCTATCCAGCCTGATTGCTAGCCAGTGCTAGGAGTTGCTTACCAAACTCCTGTGGCTCCCAGAGCACAGGATCGATGCCGCTGGCCTCGGATCCGCTCCGCAAGCGGGACACTTCTTCTGAGTCACCAACCACAGTCTCATTGTTCGAGGACGCCAAGTCTCCTAACAGCTTACGCTTGGCACGACCAAACAAGCCTTTCACAGCTCTCAGGCCAGCTTTATCCTCACTCGAATGGGCATTTTCAAAATGGCCCTGAAGCCCAGCCAAGCTATCCAATTCCTTCCGGCAAATTGGACAAATGAAGCCTTCCTTGATGTTGTCTTCCATCGTATACTTCTTGAAGGGCAGATCTCAGCAATTCAAGGCATTCTGAAGACAATTTAGTTGAATTTTCAAAATATAAATTTGACTAAAATACTAGTGTAGTAGAAAGTAAGAGACATGGAGCGGCCAGCCAGCAGAAATATATTTTCAGGAGCACTGGTACGGAGACGTCCAATTGGCCAATGGAGATGAAAGATGACAGTCACATCTAACCCTCGCTTCGGCTGCCCCAGCAGATAAGAGCTGGTGGTTCGAAATGTCAAAATGTATGAAGCACAAAATGCAAAAAGCTACTATTTTCGTCTGCTGCATGCATGCATGCACTGCATGGATGGGTGCACGTAGCCATAAACGTTGACGTGACAGGTCGACAGGCGTTCGACGTTCACAATTTTTATCGTAGATCTGTACACCATGGTACACGGTTCACGCATGCAGCGTGAAAGCCGATGGTGGTGAACCTGGAGCAATCAAAAAAGCGAACCAACTCTGTTTTGTTTTGACTGATGAGTTTTCCTGAATCTCTGGTTATACCCTACAATTGTAGGAATTCTCACCATGGCTAACTTAGTTAGGTTTCTGGCTCTTTCTCGTGGAGCGATGGCGGCCTCTCCATCGGTGGGTGTTCCGAATGAGAAATCGTAGCAAATCACCTTGGCGTTGGTGTTCCTAATTGATTTGTTGTTTGGGCAAATATTCCCTGTCTTAGGCTGCCAGATCGTTCTCCATGTCCTCGGTTGCTGCTGCGAACAAGGTACACAATGCAACTGACCTGTAAATTGTGTTCTGGATTCACTATCGACTGACCTTTTCGTGTACATGTACTGATCAGGGTTCATAATTTAGTGCCATCAGTCTCAAATATCCATGAACGAAATTTGGCAATCAAGTCTGTATATCCCTGTAGCACGTTTGCTCTGAGACTAACTCATACTAGATTGGTTCGTCTGATCCCGTGTAATATTGGGTGTTTTTTCTTGCACAAGCGCCTTACGGTCGAAGCTCTTTTGCTGAAATTGATCATGCATCCTCAGATCTCCACATGACGTAATTATTTTAGTGCTATAACTTCTAGTAAATGTAGATCCGCGTACAACGCGATGCATACTTGTCATGTTTCTTATCCCAGTTCCTTTTTGTGAGAGGTGACCTTCAGCATCTAAAACATGCTCTTTGGCTCACACTGTGGCCAAAACCCGCGTCCATGCGGTCAAGCAGCTAAGTCGCATGGCAATGCCATGCACGTGACCAAAACGTTGCATCTACGTTTCAAACTCTTATAGGCCATTCACACGACGGGCAAACCTACTTTTATCGTACTGTTTCCAAGGATATTTACTCGGATACGATAAACTTGGACACACGCGCGCAACTGATTTTTTTTATCTTGGCCGAGGCCCTTTTGCTCGCGATTATCTTTGCACGCCAGGAAAGTGTCGGTTGTTGAAAGTGCGTACTGCAAATGCAGTGCTTGAACAAGGGAAATTTCAAAATTGAACATTTCCCGGCATTTTCAGGAGGTCACTATGGATACATTGACGGTTGCAAAGTTTGCCCAGCACCGTGTGAACTGGATCACGGTTTGCCAGTGTTATCTTGGTCACACACGTGCAAGTGTTTACACGTCGTGTGAATGGCCTATTACCGCGATCTCGAGAGGTGGGTTCCACAGCTATGGACGTCGAGTCGCATTGACTTGAAACGTATTTCGAATGAAACCGGGCCTGAATTCAAGTTGTGTGACCATCGG